TTTTTAGTCTGACCACAATTGACTTTCACTACTGATTTGAAAAAAAAATAAAAAAAAAATCCTACATCTCAATTTTGCCGAAATAAGTGAATTAAAGAAATAAATGTTCGACAATATCGAAAAACAGGAAGCTATATATAATTTTTTTTTTTTTTTTTGCCATTGTGTGTGGTCGCGATCATTGACCCCTGTCACGTCAATTTTGTTGGCACTTCAACTTCTATTTTCTCGGAAATTAATACATGAGAATTCATAGAAACATGAAATAGCACTTTGTCTCTCCATTTTCCACAGCTTGTTGCAATGACATTTGGGACGGTGTTTTTTTTTTCTTTTTTTTTCGTTAAGCAATATGTAATTCCAAACTAACTTTTGCAAATCCTTTGTTACATTTTCATGATTTTAGAATTTTCTAAGCTTCATTTAACAAAAAAAAAAAAAAAAATTAATTTAATTTTGCTTCAAAATTTTACAGTATATGTAACTTCAATCTATTTAGTAACTTTATAATAGCTTCAATTTGTAATAACTAATTTCTCGTAGCAAGAAATTTTTCTTTTTTGACTATTTAATGGAAGATTGAATGTGATTATAATGTTTTTGAAAAAAAACGTGCTCTCGAAAAAAAAAATTAAAAAAAAAAAAAAAAATAGTTGCATCCATATTATATATACTGTATGCCTTACCCCCTTCATTGTGTCTAGATGCTTTGTTGTGTTGGTACCTTGCGCGCCTTGTCGACTTTGAATCACGTTCGATTAAGCTGGACTGACAGTATGTGTCTGATCAGATTTTTTCCACTTGGCGTAACGGCCCTTGCTAGCACATTCGATAAAGTATCCTTGTTCATATGGTGCCCAGAGAACACAAAGTGCCGCGTCACAAAATCGTCACTTATATATATATATATACTTTAACATATAGAAACTTTTCATTATTTATAGTGTTTCATCCCTTCTTCGTTCCTGAAAAAAATTAAGATAAGGGGGTACAAACATTTTTATTCTTCCTTTCTTAAATTCATATTTGAAAATTTTCATTGTCAAATTGAGAAATTCACATTGAAATTAAATTTCAATTCATTTTTCCTATAGCAAGAAGATTTAATTTTCAAAAGTGAAAAAATTCTGTTTACGATTTATTTAATAGTAGATTCTTGTATGTTAACTAGAATTCTGGTTATATTAAATAGAATTCTCTGGTTGAAATAACAAGAATTCTGGTTAATCTCATCGGAATTATAATGAAAAAATAGAACCTAACCAGAATTCTAATTGAAATAATCAGAATTATGGGTAAAATTAACTGAAATTCTGGCTGGAGTAACAAGAATTCTGATAAAATTTACTAGAATTTTGGTTGAAATAGAATAGAATAGAATTCTGGATAAATTAACTAGAATTATAATTAATCTAACCACAATACTAATTGGTATAACCAGAATTCTGGATAAATTACCTAGAATTATATAATTAATCTAACCACAATACTAATTGGTATAACCAGAATTCTGGTAAAATTAACAAGAATTCTGATTAAATCCAAAAAAAATTTAACCAGAATAATAATAGTTTAAAATTTTAGTAGAATTAACCAGAATTATAATGAAAATACAGGCCCTAACCAAAATTTTAATTGTAATAATCAGAATTCTGGTAAAATTCACTAGAATTCTGGTTGGAATAACCAGAGTTCCGATAAAATTAACTAGAATTCTATTTGAAATTATAAGACTTCTAGTTGATTTAACCAGAATAATTGTTTAAAATTTTTTATTGAATTCACCAGAAATACATTTGAATTTGAATAGAATTTTAGATAAATTAACTAGAATTATAATTAATCTAACCACAATACTAATTGGTATAACCAGAATTCTGATAAAATTAACTAGAATTCTAAATGGTATAACCAGAATTCTGGTAAAATTAACAAGAATTCTGATTAAATCCAAAAGAATTTAATCAGAATAATTGTTTAAAATTTTAGTAGAATTGAACAGAATTCTAATGAAAATAAAGGCCCTAACTAAAATTTTAATTGTAATAATCAGAATTCTGGTAAAATTTACTAGAATTCTATTTAGACTTTTTGAAATTCTAGTTAAATTAACTAGAATTATGAATGAAATTGAATTCTGGTCAATGTAACCAGAATCCTAATGAAAAATATATACCCTAACCGGAATTCCAACCGAAATAACCAGAATTCTGATAAAATTAACTAAAATTCTGGTTGAAATAACCAGACTTCTGGTCTAACCAAATTAATTGGTTAAAATTCTGGTTTAACCCAATAGAATTTTTGTTAAATTAACCAGAATTCTGGTTTGAATAACTAAAATCATAATGAAAAATATGTGCCCGAACTAGAATTTTAGCCAGAATATCCAGAATTCTGGTTTAATCCAATAGAATTTTTGTTAAATTAAACAGAATTTTGGTTTAAATAACTGAAATCATAATGAAAAATATAGTCCCTCACCAGAATTTCAACCGAAATAACCAGAATTCTGTTAAAATTAACTAAAGTTCTGGTTAAAATAAGCAGACTTCTGAACTAACCAAATTAATTGGTTAAAATTCTGGTTTATATAACCAGAATTTTGGTTTAATTCCATTGGATTTTTTGTTAAATCAACCAGAATTCTGATTTAAATAACAGAAATCATAATGAAAAATATATTCTCTAACCAGAATTTCAACCGAAATAACCAGAATTCTGTTAAAATTAACTAAAATTCTGGTTTATATAACCAGAATTCTGGTCTAACCAAATTAATTGGTTAAAATTCTGGTTAATATAACCAGAATTTTGGTTTAATCCAATAGAATTTTTGTTAAATTAACCAGAATTCTGATTTGAATAACTGAAATCATAATGAAAAATATGTCCCCTAACTAGAATTTCAGCCAGAATATCTAGAATTCTGGTTATTCCAACCAGAATTTTTTTTTAACCGAATACAACAAACGTATATACCTAAAATTTGTACTACATAATTTTATTGGAAGAAAAGAAATTGTATCGTATAAATTTTTAATTTGTTTACAAAAAGAATTGTTTTCCACAATCAAAAGAAACGAAGGGGTAATCTGATAATTAAAAAAAGAACAAAAATATCGTAACCACAGAAAATAAAAATATATTTTACTTTTTTTTTATCAAAATGCCGATATGAACAAAAATGGTTTAATGGACGTATATATTTGAAAAAAAAAAATTACATCGTTTGGAAAGTTTTCGCAATATATCCGCGTGTCTATTCGTTATATACTTTGAACGATGAGTCGATCTCTTCTGAGCATATAAAAATGCTTGAATATCTCGTACATTTTCACAGTTCTCATATATATATATATATATATATATGAAGTTAAAATCAAAGTATTCGAACGTGCCCTTCGTTTATATATATATATATATTTCTATTTCTCTCATCTACACCCATACTCACAGATTTGGCACAACCTCGTTTTTTCGTTGCTTTTCTGTCTACATACGGACTATCTATCCTTTTCGATTGGATTTACTTTTTATGTATATATAGTCAAATCCGAGAACGAATCTGCAGAAGGGATATTTTTTTCTTTTAATTTTTTTTTTCGATTTTTTGTCTTCTTTCTAATTTTTTTTTTTTTTTTGTGTAAGCCATGGCAATAACGAACACGTCAATTGTCCATATCCTACGAACTGTCCACGAATTCTATTTCATTCTCTTCAGTTGGAATTTTATATCCATTACTGCTTTATAATGGGGGGTGAGGGGGAGGGGGCGGTGAATATGATTGCTTTTTGCATTTCAGAACACATATGTACGTGTCTCACGTGTCTTTTATCCAATGTCGATTTTTCCAATTCATCTGCTTCAGATTAATTTACTTGTCTGGACCCGAACGCTTATATAAAGGATCTCTAAAACAATATATATATATATATATTCCAAATCATTTTTACTATTCTGACAATTTTTTATTTTTGGCTTTAAAAAAAGAAAATTGCTTCTAATTTTTTTTTTCATTTCTGAAATTATAATCTAATAATTATAATTGGATTTTATGTACGGAAGAATTTTAGAAATCGTTTTGGAAATTATATTTTTTTTTTTTTACTAAATTTTTAATTTTCTAATTTAATTTTCTATTCGGAAAATGATATGTTAAAAAATAACATATAATATGAAAAAAAAAATAAAATAGAAAATAAAATTAGAAAACTTTTTTTAAAACGGAAAATTAAAAAAAAATTTATCTAAAAAATGTTCTTTTTTTAAAATTTTTTTTCTTTTTTAAAAATTTATAATTTTCTAATTTATTTTTCTATTCGGAAAATTATATGTTAAAAAATAACATATAATATGTTAAAAAATAAAATAGAAAATAAAATTAGAAAACTTTTTTTAAAACGGAGAATTAAAAAAAAAATTTATCTAAAAAATGTTCTTTTTATAATTTAATAATTAATTAACTTTTACGATCACTTTTTTTATGTATTTTCTATTATTTTGAATAAATAAATAATAGATTATCGTAAAATTAAATTTAAAAAAAAAAGTAAAATTACTATTTTAATTTTTTTTTTTTAATCATTAAAAAAGAAAATTCTCTCAACATAACAACATAAACGAAACATATAACAACAGAACAGAAAATTTAAAAAAAAAAAAAAATATTTGCATCATTACACACGTCTTATTATAATCACTCTCTTTCTCTTTCTCTCTTTCTCTATTTAAAACCCCGTAAACCCTTTTAGTGAAATGTTACCAAAGTAGTTTTAAGTTTGGGACTCGTGAATGCAATATTTATATATAAATTTTTTCAATGATTGTACATGTTATGTTCTTAATGTGTATATAAATATATATATATTATAATGTAATCTTCGTTTTATATGGATAATTCGATCAATATTATTTGGACTTGAAAAATTCATAACGACATTATTTATTCTTATAAAAAAATAATTTTATTAAATTCTTTTCTTTTTTCTGTTTTCAGCTGCCCAAATTCCACAGCGAGGAAGTAAGTAACAGTTTCTTTTTTTTATTTTAATATTCTTTTTTTTTATAAAAGGGTGTGTGATACATTATTTAATTTATTTTACTTATTTCATTTTTTTTTTTTTATTTATTTATTTAGATTCTGTTAAATGAAATAAAAAATTTTAAATTATTGATTGAAATTTTGAAAAATTAAAAAAATTGGCAAAAATAATTTCGTTTACATTTTGTTAATTATTTTTATTTATTTATTTATTTACACGGGCAATACCGGAATAAAGCCCTGTCGTACAAAATACTGTATTTACAAAAATTTTAGACTTATTTTTATTTATTTATTTATTTATTATTAAAAAAAAATTGTTTATCACAGTAATTTGTCACACACCCTTTTTTTGAATTTAAATAAAAAAAATTATTAAAAAAATTTTTTTGAGAATCAAAAAAAACATTTTTTTCTTCACATGTTGATTAAAAAATATAACATAATTTTATTGAGGACAGTGACATGAATTTTAATAACAAAAAAAGAAAAATAAAACTTGAAGAGTGAAATAAATGGAACGATTCGCTTTTCAAATAATCGATAACTTATTATTTGGTATGAACAAATTTTTTATTATTATTGGATATAAAAAAAAAAAAGTTTTTATATACATGCGAACAACGATATAGAGAATCGTTATTGTGATAATTGTGGTTAAAATAAATTTGATAATAACTAAATTAAATTTGCGATAGATTGAAATTTTAGACATCAACATATAGAGGGGAAAAAAATTTTTTTTTTTTTAATAAATCTGTAACGATCCTTTTTATTTGTTTTTTTTTTTTTTTTTTTTTTTTGTGAAAGATTGAGTAATTAAAATCATTAGAGGCAAATAATATCAAGAAATATAAAACTCTGTTTTTTTCTTTCTTTATTTTTTGAAAAAAAAAAAAAAAGGTTTGAAGTAAACGAATTTGTTAGGGGGGTGGTTTTTTTTTTTTTTTGCTTAAACTAAATTTTAATGTTACAGCATGCAAGAGGAAAGACGAGATGGCGAGCCAGGCAGAACACCAACAGCCCGCCCCCAAGAAACCCCGCCTGGTTTTCACAGACCTTCAGCGCCGTACTCTACAGGCTATTTTTAAAGTAAGAGAGATAAAAAAAAATAATTAATAATATATTTATTTTTGAATTTTCCTAGATACATTTTTTTATAAAAGGCAAAATTTATTTTTTCTAATTTTTCTGTACAAATTTTTTTTTTTTTTTTTTTTTTTTTTTTTTTTTTTTAATAATATTTTCCTGTTCAATTATATTTGAACCTTTTTGGGTTGATATAAATAGATATTTTTTTTTGTATGTTCAAATAGTCGATTATTATTTAAATCAAAAAATAATAAAAATTTTTTCACTTTATATATCAACACGCATTGAATAATTTTGCTTTGGCAGCGAACTATTAGCTGTCACAGGCAAAAATTACGTTAGCTAATATATATATATAGGAACGGTGAACAAATTTACTGTGGGGTCAAAAAAAGTTTGTTGTGACAGTAAATTTTCAAAAATTAATATTGATATTGTTTATCGCAGCAAACTTTTTTGTTGTCATGGAAAAAGATTTAGCTGTTGTTACTAATTTTGATAGATCCGATAGCAAACATCAGTTAGCATCTGTAAGCAATTCCTTTTTTTCCGTGTAATTAATTATTGTTAATTAATTATGAATTAATAAATATTAAAAAATATTTTGTTAAATTTTGGGTATAAAAAAACAATTTTTTAAAATGTTGACTTCTCTAAATTTATTATTATTATTATTATTATTATTATTATTATTATTATTATTATCTCTTAATTTATTAATATATATATATATATATATATATATATATATATATATATATATTCTTTATTGTAATTTATTATTTATTTATTTAAATTTATTTTTTTATTAATAATTAATTTGTTTAATTAATAATTTATTTATTGATATGCTTGAATGTGAAGCGAAATGAAGTCTTTGTTGAAAATGAAGGCGAATTTTGAATATATAGAAGATTGGTTTGTGTTTAGACATTTACAATATATGTGAAATATATATATATTTATGTCGAACAAGAAGGTGCCTCCTGAACAAAACGCAGTAGTCGTCCTACTTTCCAGTCAGACAGTAGTACATAACGTTTCAAGTCAGCCGCATGGGTCTAGACAGAGAAACTCATCGTGATTTATGGAAAGTTATAATAACTGCCTTTGACTTTTAATAAATTACAAATATATACATATCCCTACGTAAAGTTACATTACTTTTTCTAAAAAAAAAAAAAAAAAAAAAAAATAGAAAAAAATAATTTAATTAACACCCGTGTGGAAAAAGCCACGATCTTGCCCTCAAGAGTTCGGGGCCCCCGGCGGGGGCCCATGAGGGCTGATCCATATGGCGAATCCATGAGGGGCACCGTAGGGGCCCCGCATGGATCGCCCTCATGATCGATTAGCAAAATTTTCTAAGTCCAAAAATCAAATATTTTTTTATCACCAAAAAATTAATGTTTATAATGATTCACAACAATGAAAAACGCGTTTTTAATTAAAATATATTTTCACTTTTTTTGAAAATAACACTCACACTTATGGCGAATCCATGAGGGGCACCGTAGGGGCCCCGCATGGATCGCCCTCATGATCGATTAGCAAAATTTTCTAAGTCCAAAAATCAAATATTTTTTTATCACCAAAAAATTAATGTTTATAATGATTCACAACAATGAAAAACGCGTTTTTAATTAAAATATATTTTCACTTTTTTTGAAAATAACACTCACACTTATGGCGAATCCATGAGGGGCACCGTAGGGGCCCCGCATGGATCGCCCTCATGATCGATTAGCAAAATTTTCTAAGTCCAAAAATCAAATATTTTTTTATCACCAAAAAATTAATGTTTATAATGATTCAGAACCACGAAAAACGCGTTTTTAATAAAAATATATTTACACTTTTTTGAAAATAACACTCACACTTATGGCAAAATAGATGAGGGCCACCGTAGGGGCCCGCATGGATCGCCCTCATGATCGATTAGCAAAATTTTCTAAGTCCAAAAATCAAATATTTTTTTATCAACAAAAAATGAATGTTTCCAATGATTTAAAACAACGAAAAACGCGTTTTTAATAAAAATATATTTACACTTTTTTGAAAATTCGCCTGAGATGATTCATGATAATAATCATAAAGCATATAATTAATTATATTTTATAAATTGCATTTGATTGGAAAATATAATTTAATATCTTAACTTTAACTAAATGATGTTAAGCACTTTTCTTTGTTAGGTATTTTTGAAGTTTAAATAGCATCAAGAAGTTAGCATTCGTTTTGAAGTAGCGTACGTAGCGTAGTTGGTAAAGCGTTAGACTCATAGTCCGTAGGTCGTAGGTTCGATTCCCCCCATGCGTTAGATTTATTTATTTCTCAGGTTTGCGTTTAATCATTAATTCTATGTATGAATTAATTGAAAAATGAAAATATCCGTTAATAGTATGCATAAATTAAATATTTTTTAATTTTTTAATTAATTAATTTATTATTACTTTTAATTATATCCGACAGTTAATTAATTAGAACGTTAATTAATAAATTGAATTTGAGTAAGAATTTAATTTAAAATTGAATAATTATTAAATAAATATGTTATTTATTCATAACTTAAGCTTATTTATTATTAATTAACTTTTATTATTAATATTATTGATTAAAAAACATTATGGCAAACTTGAGGGCAAGATGAGGGCAAACGTGAGGGCCCATAAGGGCGCCCGTAGGGGCACCCTCATGGATCGCCCATGCGGGCGCCCTCATCGATGAGCATGTCGTTTCCATGAGGGGCCCCTATGGATCATCCATATGCGGCCCTCATGGCATGAGGGCGATCCATAAGGGCCCCCGCTGGGGGCCCACATCACTTTTCCACACGGGCATTTTTTAAATTTTTTAAATAAGCAATTTTTCTTTTTTTTTGATGTATTAATTTATTTTAAAAAAATTTTATTTCACTTTACGAAAACATACTAATTCAATTAAAATTCAAAATTTCTAATTATTATTATTATTATTATACACAAAAAAAATTTATTTGTTCCAAATACAAAAATTATTGGCTCAAATACAGTTTATTTAATTCAAATATAAAAATTATTTGGTCCAAGTAAATATTTATTTGATAAAAGTAAAGTAACAGATTATTTGAATGAAATTAATTTTTTTTTTCAGTGTTAGCTTCACTTTATAAAAATAAAATTAATAGAATAATTAATTAATCTGTGATATCTTTAAATTATTATTATTATTATAGCTTCAATTAATAATAATAGAAATAATAATTTATAAAATACTTAATAAATAAAATTAAATTTAATTATAATAATTTAATTCAATTTTTTTTTTGTGTCTTTTTAAAAAAGAGAATTTAATTAATCGAATTTTGTGTTAAATTAAATGCAAAGAAATTTATTGCAATAAAAAATAAATGCACACTGAAAAAAAAATTTATTTAATTCAAATACTCGATTACTTTTGACTATTATCAAATAAATATATTTATTTGTATCAAATAATTATTATTTAAGTCAATTAAATGGTATTTATTTCAAATACAAAAATTATTGGTTCAAATACAATTTATTTAATTTAATTAAAAATTATTTGTTTCAAGTAAATATTTATTTGATAATATTCAAGTAATCGAGTATTTGAATCAAATAAAGTTTTTTTTCAGTGCAGTAAAATTTTTCAATAAATTAATAAATTATTAAATTTTTTTTTATAATTGTCAGTTAATTGTCAAGTTTTTCTTTTTCATTAACTGAATCATATTTTATTATAATATAAAATTAAAATTTTTTTTTTTTTTTTAATAAAAAAATGACAAATGATTAATTGTTAATTTTAATAAAGAGATTCGGTAATTTTCCTCGCGATTGAAATATATATATATATATATATATATATATATATATATATATATATATATATATATATATATATATATATATATATACATAGAAAAAAATAGTTGCAAATTTTCTCTTTACGGAAGAATTTATTGTTCTTTACTATATACTGTTTTTCTCAGAGACAGAGCGATTCTATACCTGCGCATTCATGTGTACATTCGTAGATAGTTGAATTCAGTTGCGCGTCAACCGAGCGTCCAAGTATCGATCCATCTTGAATAATTTCGCGAGCAGTTCTTTACCTGATACTCAGTATTTCAGTTATTTACTTCAAAATTTTTATGTATATATATATACATAAGCGTCGTATATCAAAAATTTTTTACAATAAAAATATTTAGTTTTTTTTTCAAAAAATATATTTAATACAAATTATTATTTTCATATGCATAAATATTTCAATTAAAAAGCGTGAATATTTTGAAAATAATAAATTTATAAATAAAATTATTTTTGAACGACGTTTACATTTACAAAATATATATATATTTGCAATGCCAATTTTAAATTGATATTTATGACGCGCCAATGAATATTTAATAGTATAATGCCAGTAAATTGTGTCACATATATATATATATATATATATATATACATATAGTAAGATCTAATATTATATATTTTTAATGTCAAAAATTCATTATAAATTATAATTTTATTATATTCAGAAAAATTTTACATTCATTTTAAGGAACATTTTTCGTTCCGTTAATTAATTCTCGCTGACAGATTTTCAATTAAATTTTAATGCACTGTCATAAAATGAATCCTTTACTAAAAAGATACAAAAAAACAAAAAAAAAAAAGTTACTAAAAATTACTTTGATGTTCATGTTACTTTTTCTTTTCTCTTTTTGAGTTTTTATTTTCTAAAAGGGTCTCAATACCTTTTTTTAATAAAAATTTATAATTTAAAAATTTTTATCGCAAAATTTCGAAAAGAAAATCCTTTAAAATATAATTATTAAATAATTAATTACTGAATAAATAATAAATAAATTTAATATAGGTAAATTATTAAATAATTATTTTTCTTCAAAGTAGAGAAAAAAAAATTGTAGGCAAAAAATTTTAAAAATATAATAAAAAAAATTTATCGGATATAAAAATTTTTTTTACAGAAATTGGAAAAAAATAAGGAAAATAATACTTTTAATAAAAAAAATATTACTATTTAAATTTATATGTTAATAATTTGATAGGTATATGTAATATTATATTCGAATCGAATTAAAGAATATTAAAATAAGATTTTTAAACGAAATTTTATAATATAAAAAAAAAGAGGGAAAAAATTATAAACTCGTGTTTTAATAAAATTAGAAAATTAAAGAAATATTGGAAGAAAAGCAAAATGGAATTGCATATATAGTTATGGAATATTCAATTAAACGGAAGGGGTAAAAAGGGGGCTAAGAATATATATATATATATATTTAAGAATAAGAGATAATATAAAACATCTGCCTCGTTTCTTAATTTTAATAAAATTATTCTTATTTTAAAGTTCTCATTATATTTTCTTTGGTTCTTTCATTATTCAATTAGTGTATATTAAATTATTGAATTTCCAGCAAAAATTAACATTATTTCACATATTATTTCTTTTAAATATAGAAATTAAAACTAATGTATATTTTTCCAATTAAAAAAAAAAAGAAAAAAAATAGTAAAAAAATTTTTTTTTATATATTTTCCTATTTTAATTCAATAATTTTATTGGAGTATTTTTTACATGGGAAAATATTTTAAATATATCAGTAATTGATTTTGGAATTTAATTACCAGTCAATGAATTAATTATCAATTATATTCAGTAAGTAAATTTATTAATATAGTAAAACATCAATTTTTTACTGAATGAAAATTTTATACAAAATTTTATTTTAAGAGAATGATTAAAAAAAAATAATTTATTTTTATGTTAAATAATAAAATTTGGGTTCAAAAAAAAATTTTTTAAAAAAATTTTTCTTTTTAGGAAACGAAAAGGCCGTCGAAGGAAATGCAGGTGACAATCGCACGGCAGCTGGGCCTGGAGCCGACGACAGTCGGAAACTTCTTTATGAATGCACGACGTCGTTCAATGGACAAATGGAAAGACGAGGACCCAAAAGCCCTTGCAGTGGATGAAGGACAATTGTCCCCATCGCTTGGTATTAGTCCACGACAAGCTTCTGACGTTTTGTGACATACGTCCGACCACGAGGAGTATCACGACGAGTCACCCGAAGAGGATCTTCCTTTTTCGTAAAAAAAAAAAGATCCAAAAAAAAAACTCTCGTTGAATTAAAAAAAATTGTTTTTTTGATATTTCACTTTTTTTTTCCTCAAAAATCACAATAATTTTTTTTTTTTAAATCAATTTAAATAATAATAATAAATAAAAAAAAAACAATTTTGTGATAAATAAAATTTTACAATTAATATTGCATGGAAAATTAAAAAAATTGTTTATTGATAATAAAAAAAAAAAAAAATTTTAATCCGAATATTAAGTGAAGTATCAAAAAAGCAAATAAAATCAATTTAAGCCGCAGTTGTCGACGATGAAATCCATCGTTTCTCTCTCGAAAATTTATTAATAATCGAATCTCAAACAGCGATCAGTATTTATGACGTGTTCTATGTTTTATGTTACACAAGAGAGAAAGAGAGAGAGAGAATAAGAGAGAGTCGAATTCGATCGAAAGACCACGTGATGATACAATGCACGTTTCGATTTACGTGAATAACTTTATAATTTTTTTTTTTTGTATCACTCTATATAGAAATGTCAGTGCCTTTAAAATCCTTTAATATAAAAATTTTTTTAATTTTTGCAAAAATTTAAAAAATTAGATTTTTTTGGTGAAAATAGATTTGATTTTTTTATAAGAAAAAAATTTTTTTTTTATAGGATTTTGCAGATACTGATTTTTTTAACCTCTGCTCAATGGTTTTTAATCTAGTGCCATAAATTGCCATTGTTTTTTTTTTTTTTTAATACTTTTAAGAATATTTCTAGTCCTTATATCGTTCAGAGAATTCTTATTTCTATAATTTAAAAAGCAAATTCAATTATTGTTTTGCAAATTAATTATTAAAATGATATGCAAAGCAATTTTGCTGAATCTAGTCAAAAAAAAATTGGAAATTTTTCTTATTCTTTTTTGTAAATTGAAATAATTTTATTAATATTTCATGGATAATTAGTAATCAGTAATTAGTGAAAATTATTCAAAGAAATATTAAGTAAGTTAAATTTTCTTTTTTTTGCAAACAAAATGTTGCGTGACTTGTTACTATTTTTTTTCTATTTGCCATTTATGTAAAATTTTTATTATCGACAAACTTCACCTCATACAAAAATTAATGAGACATATTTTTTTTTTTTTAAATATTTTTATTCCCCTCAATTAGGAAATTAAAAAAATATTTTCTATTTTTTTAATACAGAAAATCTTAATTTTTTAATTATATACACTGAAAAAAAAATTTATTTGATTTAAATACTCGATTACTTGAGTATTATCAAATAAATATTTATTTGAACCAAATAATTTTTATTTGAATTAAATAAATTGTATTTGAACCAATAATTTCTGTACTTGAAACAAATACCATTTAATTGACTCAAATAATAATTATTTGATACAAATAAATATTTATTTGATAATAGTCAAGTAATCGAGTATTCGAATCAAAAAAAAATTTTTTTCAGTATAGAAAAAAATGGTTATTCCAAGTTATATTTTTAAATCAGAATTTAATTCATATATAAAAATACTCTCCCCCAAAAAGAAAAGAAGAAGGAAAAATTTCCAATTTTATTTTTATCACGTCAAAAAAAAAAAAAATGAGATAAAATATTTTCGAGAAAAAATGTTAATTAAGAGACAAAAGAATTTTTGGGAAAAAGAAAAATTAACAAAAAAAAAAAAAAAAAGAGAGGGTAGATAAATCATCGAGCAACTAGTGGCAGCTCAAGTCAACGAAAGTAGACTCGTCAATTCCTCGTTGGTCACGTAAGTGTGAAAAACGTTTTTTTTATACGGGCATGTGCTAACGCGGTGAACTTTTTTTTTTTTTTTGCACGTGCACCATGTGATATATACATATATATATAAATATATATATATATATAATATCTATGGATGGACGCTCTTGTGAAAAATAAAAAAAAAAGGAGAGAGAGAGAGAAAAAAAAATAGAGGATAGATAATATGTTAACTGCGGTGCATCGGTGCAAAGGAGAACTCAGAGTCGCACTCAATATCGCGCTGTATTGTGAGCTGTGCTTTTGTACATACGAAACTTTTATTACGTAAGCGATGTTGTGTGTGTGTGTGTGTGAGAGAGAAAAAAAAGAAATTGAGCGAATGAAAAGAAAAATGGTTCCGCAAATACCGGCATTAGCCCCAAAACAAAATTGTTGTTCTTTTTCTCTTTTTTTTTTTTTAAACTAATCAAAAAAAAAAAATTATGCCAAAAATTTTTCCAACTATTATAAAATCTTTTTTCAATTTTTAAAATATTTTTTCAATTATAAAAATTATATCAAACATATCAATTTCTAATAGTTGGAAATCGAAACACAAAAAAACATTTTTTCTTTGGAGAAGTTTTTCAAATATTTTTTTTTTCTTTTTTTTCCCTTTGACAAAGAAATAATTTTCATTTTTGAAAGAGAAAGAGAGTTTCTTCGAAATATTTGTATTTGGAAAAAAAAGGAGCATTTTTTCTTCTCTTTTTTTTTTTTTTTTGAAAATTAAGATATAAATTTTTATCGAAATTTATTAAGCGTTGAGAAAAAGAAATCTCCTCTAATTTTTTTTTTCTCCAATCTCTCTTCTTTGTGCATATTTTGCCTCCAATAATTATCCTCATTAATTAGAAGATTGAAAAAAAAAATGACTCCTCCGCATCTGGAATCATTATTGTATAAAAATTCACCGTACCAAAATGCGGCAGTATTCCGACTGTCGGACTAAGATCATATAATAGTACAAAGTAAACATATATTATTATAATAATAATAATGGAGTAAATTAAATATGTAAGTGAAATCGGAGGCTGTCACCGCTTAAAGAGAAAAACAAAAAAAAACAAAACAAAACAAAGGACATAGCAAGTAATAGAGATTAATGTTGCAAAAAAAAAAGGACGCGTCGATTTTTCATACAAGAAGTTTCATGAAAGAGTTTGGGGGGGGGGGTAGGGGGCATTTAGGTGCATAGCTGTATATTACGTGATTTAACTTCGCAAATCTCGTGTGTGAAGACGACGTTCTCCAAAAAAAATAAAAAAAAAAAAAGAAATTATTTTTTTAAAACCCTTTTTCAACACATTTTGAATTTTTTTTAAAAATTATTTTGTAACACTCGTCATATTTTTAAAAAACTAGACTAGAAAATTTTTGGTTTTACTATTTACAGTATAACAAAATTTTCATATATATATATATAAATATATATAAATAAATTGTTGATAATTTATAAATAAAAATTAAAAAAATATACGTAAAAGTAATCAAAAAATTTCTAGTATTACAAAAAATATTTTCACTTTTTCTATAGTTTTTTTTATTAATGTTTTTTTTTTTTTTGTCAATTTCATCATTAAACAAAACATTCTAGATTTTTAAATATATAAACAATTGTTTTTTATGTAAAAAAAAAAAAAATTTTCCGAAAAAATTGTATTTTTAAAAAATCTTCCTAAAATAGACTAGTTTTTAATCATTTGATTTTTAATCACTACTTTCCAAAAAAAAAAATATTTAAATTTTTTTGTGAAAGAGATTTAATGTTTAATAATGAAAAAAAGAAGGAGAACTCGTCTCTCGCATTCTATGCGCACTTAAAAAATAAAAACACATGAAAAGAGAAAAAAAAAACACACAGAAACACGTGGCGTTAGGCGTCTTTAATAAACTTGTATAATAATTTGTAAATACATATTAGTTGCGAAAAAAGTTTATTATATATATTAAATTATTATTATTGCGATTATCGGATAACGATTATTATTAATATATGACTATTAAATGCAAGTGTTTTTGTTAAGGAAAAAAAAACAAAACAAAAAAAAAAACTAAGACATAGGTAGAGGTACACATTAGGAGCGGTGGTGAATTTCGTAAAACGTAACGAAAAAAAAAAAAAAAAAAAAAAAAAAAAACACTGGTCACACCTAGGTAAAGCAAACATGATGTAAAATGGAGTATATAGTATAATATATTAATAATAATGGTAATATATATAAATATATAAATATGAGAAAGCGAATAATATATAGTACGAATATTAGAAATGAGACCGAAAAAGAAAAAAAAAAAAAATATGGGCGAAAAAGAGCCTTTGATTTTATCACCCAATTAACGACATTTATCATCAAATTTAATTAATTATAAAAAAAATTAATAACAAGCAATTAATTTTGTTATATTTAATTAATAAATTATATACAATTAATTAATGTCTTTTAATTAATTTGATATAATAAAATTAATTATCCGACTCAGAGAAAAATTAATAATATATTTATATATTATTAGAAAAGGCTTTGTAAAGAAATCATTGTTTTTGACACTTCTCTATAATGTATGAAAAACTGTTAAGTTGATGGTTTTTAGTGTGTGTGTGTGTGTGTGTTTCTTTTTTTTTTAAAACAAAAATCAGAAAAACAATTTTCTTTATTTCAAACTTTTTTTTTTATTTTGACAAAAAAAATGTTTATGATTTTTGTTTTTAGATAAAATAATTTTTAATAATTTTTTTATTACATTCCATGTATGCATTCCAGTATAATTTTTTTTTTTCAGTTAGGTATAAGTGAAAGAATATTATTTATTGTATATTTGGAAAATTCTTTTTAGTTCTTTTGTGTATGTTTTTTTTTTTTTTGGTATTTTGAACTATTTTTTTATTACAATTTTTGAGTGCGGACATTTTTGATATAAAAATTTCTCAAGGTCTCGTAGAAATAAATGCAAATTGTAAAAAATCGAAGGTATATTTATATTGATACTTAACAGGTAACACATATCCAACAGATTAGGGAATAGCGATAACAGCTTAAAAAAAAAAAAAAAAAAAAAAAAAAAATTATCAGTTTATTTAATTACAAATTCTCAAAAATTGTGACCTGAAAGAATTTTTTTATAAAGAATTTTTTTTTTATTTTATTTTAATTTTTTTCATTATTTTATTATTTATTTTAAATTATTCAAATTAAAATTTTATTCACTTTTTCTTGTTTCTTACTCTTAATTTTTAATTTTTTGTTTTTTTTTTTTTTTTTTTTTTTATTAATGAGAATTCTACGCAGAGAAAAAATAGTTTTCTGATAAAAAAAAAGAAAAATTATTGTTCCTTCTTATTGTCACAGTTTTTGCGTGAAAAAAGGGTTTGAAATTACAAGATGAGATACGAACAAGATGATATAATTTTTAGGTTTAATTTTTGAAAAAAAAAACGAAAATTTAGCTTCAAATTGGCGTAAAATGGGGTCCAAACGATAAAATAAAGTGGCCATAAGAACAAAAAAGTATCACACCGTGTAATTTTCAAGCATTTTTTTTTATTTTTTATTTAGAAAAAAATAATTATCACAATTGGAACAAGAAAATTAGTGAAATTTTTTTTTTTTCAAATCTAACTCGATAGAATATTCGGATTAAAAGAAAACAAATTATTTTAATTGATTTTAATAGTTTTTGCTTTATTAATTTTTAACTTAATTTTTAATTCCATAGTTTTGAATTCATTAGTTTAAAAAAAAAAAAAATTTTTAAATAATTTTATCAATAAATAATTATTATAATTATTTATATCCCGTTTATTATTAAATAAATAAAGTACTTAATTTTTAAAATATGAAAAATAAAAATTTCTTGAAATTTTTAATCCGAATTTTGAAAAATCGAGTTTGATATTATAAAAATTATAATAATGATCGAATCGTTTTTAGTATCTGGTTTGTATCTTGTTTAAAAAAAAAAAAAAAAAAAAAAAAAAAGAGGAACAGTGTAAACAAAAAGAAACAGTTCACACGACAATAAGGTATCGATTAGTTGATTGATGGGGATATATTGTAAAATACAAATACAAACCAAGTATACACTATTATATTTATTATATTAAACAGAAGTCGTCGTAAGCGATGAGAGTAAGAACCAAAAAAAAATAAATAAATAAAATAATATTAAAAAAAAAAAATGAATAAATAAAATAAAAATACACACGAATGCATGGGAATATGGTCTCTTTAATGGGGCTGTTATATGGTGTATTTAGTGAAAATGGCAACCAAAAAAAAAAAAAAAAAACAGTTGAAAATACAACGTGCCATAAATTTATTGATAAAAAAAATAAAAGTACTAGAGCGCGATCGATCCAGAAAAAATGGTGAAATGTTTTTAGTACAATGCTTAATCGAATAAAAAAAAAAAAACGTTATCACAAAAAAATACCAAAGGTTAATTAGCTCGTTCGTTTATAATAATTATTTATTATTTATTTATTTCCCGTAGCCCCTAGAAGATGACATGGGTCATGAAAACTTGATATTGAAAAAAAGAATAAAAAAAAAATGTTATACATCGAGAGATAAATACAAAATTGCAAAACAGCAAATTTTCCATATTCGGAAATATTTAAGGGCAGGATTATTGTTTTCGATTGTTTTTTTTTTATTATTCTAAAATTGTTATTATTTTCAAAAAGGAAATCAAAATTTAATTTTTTAAATGAATAACCAGATTTTCTTTTCATTAGGAGAAAAAAAAAAAAAAAAAACAATAATTCCACCTTTAAATATGAAAATAAATATAAAATTAGAATTTTGAGAATATTTTTTGACAGTGAAAATTTGCTGTAAAAATATTTGTGATTTGTTTTTCTCTCTCTCGATGAAACAAATTTTCGCCTGAGGTGTAAAGGGGGAAAAAAAAAGTTTGTAAATGTTGAAATCGAATTTGAAAAATGTTTTTTTTTTTCAATAATAAATAAAATTGATAAAACAATTTAAAAATCCGGGATCTCGTTGACTTTTGAGCTGAGCCTTATTATAAAATGGAAACAAAAAGAAACGAAATCCAGGAATTTATTATAAAAAAAGCGATTATTAATCTTAAAAAAATAGAAAAAAATGACAATTTTTTTTTTTTATTTATAAATTAGAAGAAAAAAAATTCGATTTCAACATAATGTGTACCTATGTAATAGACACATTTTTTGACGATCAAGACGTGAACAATATTGTAAACTATTGTAAACTACAATGTTACTACGTTTTACGAAGAGCTTATTGTAGCCGAGAAATTATTATTAAACACAGTTTAAGTCATAAAAAAAAAAAAAAAAAAATATTGAGTGTAGCACTAACTTCTTTACACTTTTGCACGAGACGTGTGTTGTACTTAATTAATTAATTAATTATCGATATGTATAATTAACGTTTTATTACTTAGCTATTAAACAATTAATTTATTTATTATTAAACGAGAACAAAAATGAAAAAACAAAAAGAAAAAAAAGAGAAAAGAAAATCGAGTCGATTGTGTTTAATGTCCTTGTTGATTGCTTATTTTTTTTTAAATTTATTTATTTTTTTTTTTTCAATTATGTGCAATTAACAATGTTTAACGCGTCAGAAGAGGCATTTTGATTTTTTTTTTTTAATGATATTTCCAACAGAGTTGAAGGAAGAAAAAGAAAACTTTTTTTTTAAAAAAAGGGGGGGAAAAAAAATTAAATTTTGTTATTTGAAAAAAAAGAGAATTTTTATCTCATGTTTTTACTCCTTCCACTCTGTTGAATGATCACTGTCGACATCGTTCCTCATTTTCGTTTACATTCATGTGTGAAGTAAAAAAAAAAAAATAACAAAAAATATAGGTACCTACTGTTAGGATAGATGTTCCTTTCTGTTTAATAAATTTTTATATTAAAATCGACGTTTCCGTAATTTAATTGGTCTTTAACATAAATGGCAAATTTTCCGCAAAAAAAAAAAAAGAATAACAAAATCGTATTTTCAAAAAGAAGAAAAATGTTTTATTAAAGTATAAAAAAAATATATGTATACATTTTTTCGGAACATGTTTTATGTTTTTTGTGGCCATATATTTGTTTTTTTTTATATTTAGTATTTTTCGACAAAAAAAAAAATGGTTTTTTTTCGTTTTTTTATGAATAGAATTTTTTTTTTGTATTCGAATTAACGATTTTATTTTTTTATAAAAAAAAAAAAATGTTATCCGGCAAAAGCGGGAATTCCAGTTATAGCTCTTCCTAAAATAAGGGCATGAATGTCATGTGTTCCTGAAGAAAAAAAGAAAAAAAATTACAAAAATTAATTAATTTAAAAATTATCATCTAAATTAAAATTTATAAATTATTAAATTTAGAATTTGAATTATATGAAAATTAAAATTCAATGAAATTGAAAATTAATTAAAGAACCCGTGTGGAAAAGTGATGTGGGCCCCCAGCGGGGGCCCTTATGGATCGCCCTCATGCCATGAGGGCCGCATATGGATGATCCATAGGGGCCCCTCATGGAAACGACATGCTCATCGATGAGGGCGCCCGCATGGGCGATCCATGAGGGTGCCCCTACGGGCGCCCTTATGGGCCCTCACGTTTGCCCTCATCTTGCCCTCAAGTTTGCCATAATGTTTTTTAATCAATAATATTAATAATAAAAGTTAATTAATAATAAATAAGCTTAAGTTATGAATAAATAACATATTTATTTAATAATTATTCAATTTTAAATTAAATTCTTACTCAAATTGAATTTATTAATTAACGTTCTAATTAATTAACTGTCGGATATAATTAAAAGTAATAATAAATTAATTAATTAAAAAATTAAAAAATATGTAATTTATGCATACTATTAACGAATATTTTCATTTTTCAATTAATTCATACATAGAATTAATGATTAAACGCAAACCTGAGAAATAAATAAATCTAACGCATGGGGGGAATCGAACCTACGACCTACGGACTATGAGTCTAACGCTTTACCAACTACGCTACGCACGCTACTTCAAAACGAATGCTAACTTCTTGATGCTATTTAAACTTGAAAAATACCTAACAAAGAAAAGTGCTTAACATCATTTAGTTAAAGTTAAGATATTAAATTATATTTTCCAATCAAATGCAATTTATAAAATATAATTAATTATATGCTTTATGATTATTATCATGAATCATCTCAGGCGAATTTTCAAAAAAGTGTAAATATATTTTTATTAAAAACGCGTTTTTCGTTGTTTTGAATCATTGGAAACATTCATTTTTTGTTGATAAAAAAATATTTGATTTTTGGACTTAGAAAATTTTGCTAATCGATCATGAGGGCGATCCATGCGGGCCCCTACGGTGGCCCTCATCTATTTTGCCATAAGTGTGAGTGTTATTTTCAAAAAAGTGTAAATATATTTTTATTAAAAACGCGTTTTTCGTGGTTTTGAATCATTGGAAACATTCATTTTTTGTTGATAAAAAAATATTTGATTTTTGGACTTAGAAAATTTTGCTAATCGATCATGAGGGCGATCCATGCGGGGCCCCTACGGTGCCCCTCATGGATTCGCCATAAGTGTGAGTGTTATTTTCAAAAAAAGTGAAAATATATTTTAATTAAAAACGCGTTTTTCATTGTTGTGAATCATTATAAACATTAATTTTTTGGTGATAAAAAAATATTTGATTTTTGGACTTAGAAAATTTTGCTAATCGATCATGAGGGCGATCCATGCGGGGCCCCTACGGTGCCCCTCATGGATTCGCCATAAGTGTGAGTGTTATTTTCAAAAAAAGTGAAAATATATTTTAATTAAAAACGCGTTTTTCATTGTTGTGAATCATTATAAACATTAATTTTTTGGTGATAAAAAAATATTTGATTTTTGGACTTAGAAAATTTTGCTAATCGATCATGAGGGCGATCCATGCGGGGCCCCTACGGTGCCCCTCATGGATTCGCCATAAGTGTGAGTGTTATTTTCAAAAAAAGTGAAAATATATTTTAATTAAAAACGCGTTTTTCATTGTTGTGAATCATTATAAACATTAATTTTTTGGTGATAAAAAAATATTTGATTTTTGGACTTAGAAAATTTTGCTAATCGATCATGAGGGCGATCCATGCGGGGCCCCTACGGTGCCCCTCATGGATTCGCCATATGGATCAGCCCTCATGGGCCCCCGCCGGGGGCCCCGAACTCTTGAGGGCAAGATCGTGGCTTTTTCCACACGGGTAAATGAAATATTAATAGATCAATTAAGAATTGCAAAATTATACCTTCGTAGGTGTTTACAGTTTCTAGATTCATGAGATGTCTAATTATATGGTATTCGTCAGAAATTCCGTTTCCGCCAAGCATATCTCTAGCATTTCGAGCAATATCCAATGCTTTTCCAGTTGAATTTCTTTTAATCATTGAAATCATTTCAGGTGTTGCTCTTTATGGAAATATTTGAAAAATAAGTTTTTCCCAAATTTAATTATTATTAATTCTAAATTTAATTATATTATATTTATTTATAAAAATAATAAATAATTTAATTAAATTTAGAATTAATAATAATTTTTGTTAATTATGAAAATTAATATCTATGTAAATTAAATTAAATTAATTTTTAAATTAAATTAAATTAAATTAATTTTTAAATTAAATTAAATTAAATTAAATTTTAAATTAAATTTAAAAAAAAATCACCGACTTATTTTCGTCCTTAAGTCTTCCAACTTGAAGGCATGCTTGAAGACCAATTGCAATTTCCGTCATCATGTCAGCCATTTTTTTTTGCATTAATTGATTTGCTGCCAAAGGGCGTTTAAATTGTTTTCTATCTAATACATAAGTTCTTGCTAATTTTAAACATGATTCAGCAGCTCCCAATGCACCCCATGCAATTCCATAGCGAGCATTATTTAAACATCCAAATGGACCCTGTTAAAAAAAAATATTTCTCTTTTTATTTTTATTTTCTCAAAAATTCAGAAATTCTAAATTATCAAATATTTTAATAAAAGATTAAAATTTAAAACTATTAATTTTTATAGAAAATTAATATTTAAGAATATTAATTTTTATAGAAAATTAATATTTAAAAATATTCTTTTTTATAGAAAATTAATATTTTAAAATATTTTTTTTATAGAAAATTAATATTTATTCAATTTTAATATTTATATAATTATTTTCAAATATTTCTTTTTATTTATTTGATTTAACTTAGAGAAAAAATATTATATTTTGAAATCAAAAATAAAATTGGTGTAAAAAAAAAGGAAATTAAAAAAAATTAAAAATATTTATATAAATATATTATATATATATATATATTGTATACCTTGAGACCTTTTATCGTGGGAAACATATTTTCAACAGGAACCATAGCGTCATCCATTAAAATCATTCCGGTTATTGAAGTTCTCAATGAGAATTTTCCATTAATTTTTGGAGTCGAAATTCGACCTTCATTTCCTTCTCTCTCAACGATAAACCCTCGAATTTCACCATCACATTTCGCCCAGACGATCATTATATCCGCTATTGGTGAATTTGTGATCCTATATTAATAATAAAATCCCATAAATACGAAATAAATAATACATTTTTTTTTTTTTATCAAAAATTAAATTTTACTTATTAATATATAAACTATTTTTGAAAAAAATTAAAAATAGAAAAATTAATAAAAAGTTAAAAAAGAAAAGTTTAAAAAAATTATTAAATTAAAATTAATTTAATAAAAAATATTTTAACAAATTTTTATAATAGATTTTTTATTGGAATTTTAATTAAAAAAAAAAAAAATAACACTAACCAAGTTTTGCTACCACTTAATTTGTAATATTTTTTACTAGGATCTAAAACTGCTTTTGTTTCCATTGATCCTGGATCACTACCGTGATTTGGTTCAGTTAAACCAAAACAACCAATTAAATCCCCAGTAACTGTAATAATTATTTTTCTTCAATAAAAATAATTTAAAAAAATTTTTTTTTTTCATAATTTTTTTTCAATAAAAAAATAATTAAAAAAAAATTTTTTTTTTTCGAAAAAATATTTTGGCTTTAGTATAATAAATATTAATTAATGATTTTAATCAAATAAATTTTTTTTTTTAAATGCGATGGAAAATTTTTTTTTTTCTTATTTTTTTATACATACTGAGATTTGGTAGATATTTTTTCTTTTGTTCCTCATTGCCATAAGAATAAATAGCTCCCGCTACTAATGATGATTGAACAGAAAATGCTGATCTATAACCACTGTCAATTTTTTCAATTTCTTTTGTTAATAATCCATAGGTAACATTTGAAACACCCGCGGCGCCATAATTTTTCAATGTACAACCAAGTACACCCATTTTACCTAATTCTTTCATTATTTCAATATCAAAATATTCATTTCGATTTGCATCAATGACACGTGGTAAAAGATTTTCTTTACAATAAATTTTAAATTGATCCCTCATCATTATTTCATCGGAATTTAATTGCGATTCCATATTTAATGGATCGTCCCATTTAAATGTAACTGAAAAACAAAAATTAATTTAAAAAAAAAAATTTAATTTTTTAATTTTTAATTTTTTAATTTATAATTAAAAAATTTTTCGAATTTAATTAAAAAAAAAAAAAACTTAAAAATTTTGAAAATAATTTTTTTTTTTTGCTGTAAAATTTAATGCAGGAAACTTCTTTAACGACTTGAATTGAATTTTACTACAAGTGTTGCCATCTATCATCTTTATTTCTTCAATAATTGTTGAAATAATCTTTCAGAAATTCTTTTTCAAAAATTTAAGTTATTTCTTAAAAATTATTTTCAAAAAAAAACTTTTTTTTTTAATAAATATATTTCTTCAAATATATATTTTTTTAATCAGAGAAGTTTTTTTTCGAAGATAACATTTCAAAGAATATTTCTTCTAATTAAAATTTTCAAGAAAAATTTCTTCATTTTAAAAAATTTTTTTAGTTAAAAAAAATGTTTTTTTTTAGCAAAAAAAAAAAATGTTTTTTTTAGCAAAAAAAAAAATGATTTTTTTTTCACAATCTTATGTAGGAGAAAATTTCTTTAACGACACAATGAAGATTTCTTCTTTATTATAAAGAGTGTTGCCCATCTCTTTTCTCAAACAGATAAGTAATTCTAAAAAAAAAAAATTTCTTCAAAAATAATATTATCAAGTGATAAATAAATAATTTTTTTTTTTTACCTTTTTCTCGTGAACAGGACGAAATGGAAAATTCTAAAATAATTATTTCACTGTAAGGAAAATATGAAAAAAATTTTTATTAAAAATAAATTTTTCACAGATAAGTATAATATATTTATGACGAAAGAAATCTTTCACTAGACTTTGTGTAAACAAAATTCTTATTTATTCTGAAAAAAAAAATTCTTTTTTTTTTTTAAAAAAAGATTAAAATTTAAAAAGGATACGTTTTTGTAATATTGATTTAGTGAAATTAGATAAAGGTGAGAGAAATTTTTTTACGTGAACTGACATTTTTTTTTGGCTATTGAAAATATAACTTATATCGTTCACTCTCACAGTGCAAACAAAACTGATATCCATGTACAAAAACATTTACCAAGAGACTTGTTATCACGTGATCTTTAACACCCACGTTTATATATGAAACTTTTTTTATATTTTTATTATATATATATTTTTTTTTTTTTTAAATTTATTTTGTATTTTTTGAGATTGGAAATTATTTTTTATTTCTTTTTGTATTTGAAAATTATTTATTTTGTAAATATGAATATTTTTTGTATTTTTAATATTTTTTTATATATATTTTTATATATTTTTTTATATATTTTTATATATATTTTTTTATTATATGTTTATTTATCTATTTATTTATAACAATTATTATTATTATTATTATTATTATTATTATTATCATTATTGTTAAAATACCAATAACTGAAATAGTAACAACAATAATAATTATTGTTTATTATTATGTGTTCACTTATCTATTTATTTATAATAATAATTATTATTTTATTTTTGTTAAAATAATAACTGAAATGATAAAATTAGTAGTAATAATAATAATAATTATTATTTTTTTTATCAACAATAATTAAGGACAAAGTTGAAAGTTTTCTTCGTAGATGGCGTGAGAATGTCGAATTTCTATCGTTTAAGTGGTAAAAGTAATTTTCAGTCAGACATAAAATTTTTCTAATAATTTGTTTTTTTAAATTCATCAACATTTTTGATCAGTATTTAAAAAAAAAATTTTTCCTCTTGATAAAACTGTATTTTCTAACTGATTAAAAAAATTAAAAATTTACAAAATTGGCTGACTAAAATTGACATTTTCTACTGGAACAGAAAAAAAAATTACAAGTAAAAAGAAATTTGGTTTTACTGAAATTTTCTTTTACTACATTTTTTTTCAGTTTTATGCTGAATTTATCCTAACATTGGTGCAAAAAAAAAAAATGTCTGACTAAAACATACTTTTACTACTGTTACTAAAGTATTAGTAATTAAAATGTTTTGTCTGATTAAAACTGATCTTTTCCACTAATATCGGAATAACAATATTCAGTAGTAAAAGTCAAATATAATCAGACATTATAAATTCTTGTAATATTTAATTATTACTATTAGTAGTAAAAGTATATTTCAATCAGACTTTCCAAATACAGACAATTTTAGTCCGACAATACAAAATTAAATTTCAAGACTATATTTTTTGCTATTTATTTATTATTATTATTATTTATTTAATATTATTATAACTATTATTTATTTATTATTTACTGATTATTTATTTATCATAAAAATAAAATATGTAATATTTTTCTAATTCACAATAATTTGTAATATAATACACATAATGTGAAATATTTAATTATTATTAATTAAAATATATTTATTATTTATTGAATAGAGAATTAATTTGAGGAAGCAATTGAAGTTGCGAGGGCAGAACTAAAACCTTCATTTGAATTGGAAATTGTTTCAGATTTAGTGAGTGTCGTAGATTTTTTATCACCTCCTAAATTGACGCCTGCAACTGCAGTTGCAGATGCAGCAGAATTTTCACCTTCTAAAAAAGAAAAAAAAATCCCTTTTTAAAAATTAAATTAAAAAAATAAAGTTTACAAAAATTTATTTTCTTAAAAAATTTAATAAATTTAATTTAATAAAATTTTTATTAGTAATAATAATAATCTTATTATTAATAATATATTAATAATTATTATATTAATTAATTAATATTAATTAATTATTATATTAATTAATTAATATTAATTAATTATTATATTAATAATAATATATTATTAATAATATTAATTTTAATTTAATATAAAAAAAAATATTTATAATACAAATAATTATTTTATGCAAATAAATTTTGGGGTAAACAAAATTTTTGTTATAAATAAATTTTTCGTATAAATAAATATTTATTTAGTTCAATTAAATATTTATTTGATAAGTAACCGATTATTATTATTTGAATCAAATAATTTTGTTTTTTAGTTTAATTATAAAAAGAAGTATTAATACCTTGTCTACGATGAAAATTATTGTCTCCATGAAAAGTAGAAGGGTCGAATTTTTGCTGATATTTTATTCCAAATGTTTCTGCATTTGCTGATGCACTTGCATCCGAATAAATTCTACTTTCATCATTGTCTAAATGACAAAATTTTGAAAGAAAAAAAATTTCTTTATTTTATATTCAAAATTATTCATCTTACTTTCTAAATGTCAATTAATAAAAATGTTTTCTAATTTGAATTAGTGACTCACTTTTTGCTTCTAAATTAGTGAAATTTTACTATAATTATTAGTAACTTTTACTAACAATTAGTAAAATTTAACTAATTCTAAAGCAATAAGTGAGTCACTAATTTAAATTAGTAAATATTTTTACTAATTCAGAATTAGAGAGTATTGCACTAAATTTTTTTTTTTTCAAAAAAGTGATTTATAGAATATGTTATATTATTTTAAATCATTTACCAAAAATATTGTCATCATCAAGTGGATATTCTTCAAAAGGTGGGAAGTCGAGATCACCTTTGATAAAAATAAATCACGATATATAAATGAAAACAAATTAAATAATAAAAAAAAAATTATAAATTAAATAATAAAATTAATTTATTTGAATATTTAAATTAATTAATTAATTTATTCAATTACAATATACGGGCTTATTTAATTATTAAGATTTTTGATTTTATTGAAAATATTTTCTAAATTAACGAAAAAAAAAATGAATATTTTTATATTTACCCAAATGTGAAGATGGAAAACAATTTACAATTGTTATAAAAAAAATTAAATTTTGTAAAATTAACAAATTCATTATTGAACGATATAAAAATTACAACTTTAATATTTAATTTGAAATTTATTACTGATTGTCGGAATTATATCTGATTCATTTATTGCATGTTTCATTCAATTTAAATAATTGTGAAAAATATAATTTATGTGGAAATCCTTCTCCCACCTTTTTATTTTATAAACAATACTTTTTTATTATTCAATATAAAAAATCACCGAACGAATTATGTATAAAATTCTCTATCAAATTGAGAGGCTAATGTGATATCAGTGATTCAATTAATTTTTTTTTTCATCTCTTCTCTCACCAGATACGTCTATTTTTTTTTCTCAATAATAATAATAAAAAAAAAAACCTAGCGCTACGCGGAAAAAAAAATTTATCCAGAACAGCAAAACTTTTCACTACAGTAGCAAAAGTTATACTTGTTTCTGTTAAATATTTCGCTATTCTAATGAAACCTTTCGTTGTTTCAGGTAAATATTTTTTTTTCATAAAAAAAATTAAAATCTTTTTTTTTTAAAATATTGTCCATTTTCTGATGATAACAAATTTTAAATAAATACGTTTTTTTTATCCATTGAAAATAATTCACAATAATTTTATTTATTACCGGAAATTCAACTTATTTTTTTTTTTTTATTGTTTCGAGAGAACCTTGAAAATGCATAGCAAATTTTTCAGGATGTATTCGTAATCAACAATATTAGTCGCGCATTAAAATATATATAGATGTGTTGAGCTATAATTAATTATTATTGAAAAATATATATATAGTACGTTTTTTATAATGATGGAATAAAATTCTCGGCCATATAAAGATTATTAAATAACAAAATGTATTTTTCTTGAATAATAAAACAAAAAACGGGTTTTTTTTTTTTTTTATTAACGATTTTAGAAATAATTATACACACAGTTTTGCGTAAATTAAAAAAAATTTATTTCTGTACAAAAATGATTAATTGTAAATGTTTTGTAATTATTATTACTAATTACATTTTCTTTGATGGAAAAAAAATGATCATAAATTTACATTTAGTAAATATTGGTATTTTTCCCCTCTATATAAATATGAATTTTACATATATTTTTTTATTTTCACTTTTTTTTTTAATATATTTTTACAATTTTTTATAAAACAGTTTTTGTTATATTCGATATATGTAAATGAGTATTTCTGTATGTCAAAAATATTTTGTATTTGCTTATTATTAACTGTTTTATTTTTTTATTTTTATTTTATTTTGGTTTTATTTTTATATTCTGTTTTTAAGGAACAATCCTGTTTTTTTTTTGGTACTTTTTCTTACGTTTCTCCATCAATTTTCGTCTCAATAGTAATACCTTAAAATAATATTCGATTAGAGAATGAAATAAAAAAAAAAATATATATTAAATTTTTTTTTTAATAAAAATAAAAAAATAATAAAATTTTAAAAAATTTTATTAATGATTATTAATTATTTTTATTATTATTATTATTTATTTATTTATTTATTTTTTTATTAAAAATAATAATAAAATTGTAAAAATTTTATTTATTTTTTAATTAAATAATATATTAAATTTTAATATAAAAAAAAAAATTTTACACTTACCCCCCGTTTTGATAGCCACCTAATCCTGAATTGGAACTTGCACTTGCTTGACTTGAAGAAAATCCCGCATTAAATGGTCCAAGATTTGCATTCCAACTGTTTGCATTACTATTGGCATAATTATAACCATTCCATCCGGAATTACTCGGATAACCATAATTTAAATTGTAATTAGGCTTTTTCCAATAATAATTTTGTGAATAATGATTATAGGGTTTGTAATAATTTGTGGGACCATAGTAACCACCATATCCACCATAACCATGACCACCATATCCATATCCACCTCCATAGCCTCCTCTACTTCCATATTTATAACTGAAAGAAAAAAAAAAAAAATTAAGAAAATAAAAATTGAATTTTTTTTTCTATATTTAAAAAAAAAAAAAAAACTTTTATAATTTTAATTGTCCAAAAAAAATATCACACACACATTCAAATTAGTAATAATTCTACTTTCGTTACGCTTTCGATTTTCTTTTGTCTTTTTTATTCTTTTCATCAAAATTCATATTGATACTTTCACTATTATAACGAAAAATATGAATTTAGACCATTTTTTAAAAAATATTTATTATATGTTTTGAAAACACATTTCATATTATTATGCAAACATGAGATAAAGTTTTTTTTTTCATTTCTTTAGAAGGAATTTTTATTTAAATAAATAAATTATTATTATTATTTTATTATTTTTATTATTATTTTATTTATTTTTATTTTATTATTTTAGTTATTTTTATTTTATTATTTTATTTATTTTTATTATTTTTTATTATTATTATTATTATAAATTGTAATTCAATGAGATTAAATCTAAATTATTTGCAAACGGAAAAATATTATCATCAGTCATTTATGTGGTTAAATAGCATAACGTCATAAGTAGATTTTATTAAGTCATCGTATCGCGCGTCTGTTTCCTTTTTATAATTATTATAATATGAAATATACGAGGGACGCAACTTCTTATAATTAATTATTTTTTTGCCTCTATTATAATTATACAATTTTATTTAAAATATTTTTTTTTCTCAATATATGGAACAAATTTTTTTTTCAATACATTTTTAACTTATAATGTGTCTAGATATTGTTTTTTTTTTATTTCTTTTTGTCACCATTCACTTTTTATTTTTGTCAATTAACTTTTTTCTTCAACTTTTTTTTTAGAAATTGTTTTTATTAAAAACCTTGATGATAAATGAAAAAAAAAAAATTTCTTTATATATAGTAGATGGAAATTTATATTTTTGATATTAAAAAAATTCACATTGATAATTTGTTATTAATAATAATAAATAATAATTTTTAAAAAATAATAAATAATAATAACTTCGGTACGAAAGGGCTAATTCTTCTTTCTTTGTAAGCCCGTTTACATGTAAATAAATAAATAAATAAATAATAAAATAAAAATAAATAATAATAAAATAAAAATAAAAAAAATAAATATAATAATAAAATAAAAATAAATTTATAAATAATAATAAAATAAAAATAAAATAATAAATAATAACAAAATAAAAATTTAAAAAAAAAAATTAATAAAAAAAATAAAATTTTGTTAATAAAATAATTTTCGTATAAAATAAAATTGTTACAATAGTCTAGTTAAAAAAAAAAAAAAAAATTATGGTATTAATGCTTCGTCAAAAATTCCTTTTTGCATGTAGCACACACAAGTTTTATGTAAGAGAAATTTTAAGTGGCACAAATATATTTGCACATCACATTAGTATACCTTTTTTTGAACTTATTATAGGTTCGCCGAACTTGTTGCATAATTTCACTTTTTCTATGTACGTGACAAATACTACCAAAAAAATCATTTCTAATTTTAAAATCGAAGCCAAAAAAAAAAAAAAAAAAATCTCGCAAATATTCTCCAAATGTGCAAATTTGACAAATTTTATTTATTTTATGATAAAAAAAAAGGAAACGTTGGCTTTCGAAAAAAAAAATTCTGTTTTACATTTTTTATAATTTATTTATTATAACAAATTTTTTTAACAAATAAATAATTTTAAAAAATTGTATAATTAAAAAAAACTTTATTTCTATAATTTATAGAATTTTAGTCATTGTTTATGTACAATTTAAAAAATAAACACGTTTTTGCGTGAGCATGTTATAAGTAAATAATGCAAAACTACTATATGCACATTTTTGCAAATTTAAAATTTATCAACATAAACCCGGGAAATCCCCCCTTGAGAGAATAATGTTCTATGCATACTAAGTGAATTTATATTCAAATTTCAATCGTCATATTGTAACAATAATTACGTTTACGGAATTAATTTTTTCATTTTGCTAACAAAAAAAAAAAAAAATTCAAAATATACTGAAATTTTTTTTTGTTAATAACAAATTAATATTAGTTATTAATTATTAATTAATAATTACAATTAATAATTACAATAAACAAATTAACATAAAAAAATTATAATAAATAAATTTTCTATTTATTATAAATTTATTTATAAATTTACAAATAAATTATTTATTAATTTAAATAAATTAAATATTTATTTACTTATAGTAAATTGACGGGTGAAAATACAAAAATAGGTTTTTTTTTTGTATTTTTTTTATAATTAAAAAATTTTTTAATAAAGTAAAAATTTTTTTTTTTGATACATTACCCTTTTATTGCACCGACTCCAAGTCCGAGACCAAAACCTATTGCTCCAGCGCCTAAAATTTTTTTTTTAAGAAAAAGTGTTCGTTTTGGTCTCGAAAGAGAAGTGGACTGTGAATCACTGTTTTCGACGTCAAAATTATTTATTTCCTCTTCGTTAACATTTTGTGTAAATACAATGCCAATTGTGCAAAGCAAGGCCAAAAGTAAAATTTGGCTCTTCATTTCTAAGAAAAAAGAAAACTATTATTAATTTTATCACAAAAAATATAATAATAATAATAATTAAATTTTAATAATTATAATAATTAAAATATGTTTTTCGTATTTATTATTAAATTTTTTTTTACTCATTGTTAATAATTAAAAATTCACTGTTTTCGAAATTATTTTATTAATTATTTTTTTTTGTAACTTAAAATATATTTTTCAAATTTTTACAAACAATGAAAAAAAAAAATTTTTTTTCATCACACACCTTTAATTTTAACACTTAAACTATGGTCCAATCTTGAGAGAAGACAATATATATTATGAAGATTTCTGAAAATGATGACTGGTACTTATGGAAAGACTCCCACTAGATTTGAAAGCATATTTAACCATCCCTCCTTTCTTTTTTTGAAATTTTTATCTCACAAGACGAACCTTTTTCCTTTGTATTTTTCTACTTATTGCCAGGAAATTCCCACTTTTTTTTCACAAACTCACGATTCTTTGAATAAAATCACCTCTCTCATTTTTTTTTTTTTTGCAAGTAAAAAAAAGAAATAATTCTCTCTCTCTCTCTTTTCAGTGATATTTAATAGTTTTTACCGGGTCTGACTTTGGACACGCCTCGATAATATCACTCAAGGCTCATCATCAAACAAGTGTCATGAAAGACTTAGTTAGCTAAGACTTGCTAAAAAAATGTATAAACACAAAAGACAAGACGTCATAACCATTGACAATCACGTACAATGTGTCTAAAATTTTGTTATCCAATATATAATATGCGTAAAAAAAAAAAACAAATCATTTTTAAAACAAGACAATTTTTTAACAGGAGAAAAATTACAAAACACATTTTAATTTAAAAAAAAAAAATATTTGACCGAATTTCTTTTTTTTAAGGTTTACTCTTAAAAAAAATAAAATAATAATATATCATAAAATATCGAGTAAATGAAAATTTGGACAAAAACAAATTTTCGATTATGTATAGGACAAAACAAAATTTGGATAAAAAAAATTTTTGGTAAATAAATATTATCGGACAAATTAAAATTTGAACTAATAAAATATTGGAGAAAAAAAATAATTCAAATAAAAGAAATTTCGGACAAAGAAAATTATAGGAAAAAAATTAAAATTCGGATTAATAAAAAATATAAAAATCATTAAATATTCAATAAAATAAAATTTACAATAATTGAAAATTCGGACAAAAAGAAATTTCGGTTTAAAAAAAAAAAATATCGGACAAAAAAAATTTGGAATAAAAGAGAAATTTTGGGAAAGAAAAAAATATTTATTTAAATAATTATTATAATACAGAAAAATATTTTTTGATTTTTTTTTTTAATACTCTTTTTTATTTAATTTAATTATAACTTATAAATTAGAAATGATTGATTTGAATAAACATATAATTGTGATGAAGAATGATGTTTTTTTTTTTTTGGCGAATTATAAATCAGTTTGTTGTTGCAAAAAAATCCATAATAATTTTGAAGGTGGCAAGTTCGGTTCTTTTTTTTTCTCTTAGCGATCTTCGTTCCATTTTCATCTAAAGTATGGTCTGAAATTAATTGAAAAAATTAGAAAAATTAAAAAATACCTTATTTTTTAAATTTTAAAAAAAATTTTAATTTTTAAAAACCTCTTAAATGAAAAAAAATTACCATTAAAAATGTCATCTCTACAAATTTTCTTTTTTTAATTTATATTTATTGATAATATTACTCTTGTAACAAAAAATCGGTCTGTGAGACCGCTATGGTGGTTTAAAGGTCAAAATGAAAAATTTTCGAAAATTTAATGAAAAAAATTTTTACCTTCCACCATATCCTGATGATCCTGCGTTTGCATTTGCGTGACTCGTGGAAAATCCTGCACTAAAAGGACCAAATCCAGCTGATGCACTAAAACTATCTGCATTACTGTTTGCATAATTATTATTGTATCCACTTGGATATCTATTGTAAGGATAGGAATTATAATAGTCATTGTATCCTCGATGACCATTGTATCCTCCATATCCACCATATCCTCCTCCATAACCATTATATCCACCTCCGTAACCATTATATCCTCTGTCACCATTGTAGCCTCCATATCTGTATCTATTGTATCCATAGTCATCGTAATCTCCATATCCTCCATATCCATCATATCCTGCTGCGTACAGTCTATTTTTATTTAAAAAAAAAGCAACAAAATTAATTAAAAAATTTAATTATTGTTTTGACAAGAAAAAGTAATTATTATCTCAACAACAAAAATTAATTTATTGTTTCAAAAAAAGAAATTAATTAATTATCATTTCAACAAAAAAAATTAATTAATTAATTAATTATTATTTCAACCCTAGGAAAATAATTAATTAATTAATTAATTATTATTTCAACCCAAGAAAAATAATTAATTAATTATCATTTCAACAAAAGAAATTAATTAATTAATTAATTATAATTTCAACCCAAGGAAAATAATTAATTAATTAATTAATTATTATTTCAACCCAAGAAAAATAATTAATTAATTATTATTTCAACCCAAGAAAAATAATTAATTAATTATTATTTCAACCCAAGGAAAATAATTAATTAATTAATTAATTATTATTTCAACCCAAGAAAAATAATTAATTAATTATCATTTCAACAAAAGAAATTAATTAATTAATTAATTATTATTTCAACCCAAGGAAAATAATTAATTAATTAATTAATTATTATTTCAACCCAAGAAAAATAATTAATTAATTATTATTTCAACCCAAGAAAAATAATTAATTAATTATTATTTCAACCCAAGGAAAATAATTAATTAATTAATTAATTATTATTTCAACCCAAGAAAAATAATTAATTAATTATCATTTCAACAAAAGAAATTAATTAATTAATTAATTATTATTTCAACCCAAGGAAAATAATTAATTAATTAATTAATTATTATTTCAACCCAAGAAAAATAATTAATTAATTATCATTTCAACAAAAAAAATTAATTAATTAATTAATTATTATTTCAACCCAAGGAAAATAATTAATTAATTAATTAATTATTATTTCAACCCAAGAAAAATAATTAATTAATTATCATTTCAACAAAAGAAATTAATTAATTAATTAATTATTATTTCAACCCAAGAAAAATAATTAATTAGTTAATTATTATTTCAACAAAAGAAATTAATTAATTAATTAATGATTATTTCAACCCAATGAAAATAATTAATTAATTAATTAATTATTATTTCAACAAAGGAAATTAATTAATTAATTATTATTTCAATAAAAGAAATTAATTAATTAATTATTATTTCAACCCAAGAAAAATAATAAATTTATAATAACAAAAATTAATTTATTATTTCAACAACAAAAATAGTTAATTAATTATTTTTTTATCCAATAAAATAATTATAAAATTTAGAAAAAAAATTAAATACAATTAAAAATAATAAAAACTATTTCCAAAAACTATCTATTATTATTTTATTTAATAATATAATTAAATACTTATTTATAAGTTAATTAAATGGTATTTGTTTTAAATACAAAAATTATTGGTCCAAATACAAATTTTTTTAATTTCAAACAAAAATTATTCGGTTCAAGTAAATATTTATTTAATAATAGTTAAGTAGCCGATTATTTGAATCAAATAAAATTTTTTTTCATTGTAGGTGCTAATTATTTAATCTTTTCTAGTTTAAAATTTTTATTATTTGAAAAATTCGCTTCTTTGGTAATTTTTTTTTTTTTATTCAAATCGAATTTTATTGAATTAAATTTAAATTCAATGTAATTGAATTTAATTAAATTTGGAATTGGAATGTAATTGAATTTAATTAAATTTGGAATCGAATTTAATTGAATTTAATTTAATTTGGAATCGAATTTAATTGAATTTAATTAAATTTGGAATTAAAAAAATATTTTGATACATTACCCAAGATCAAAGAGACCTCGTTTTGGTCTCAAAAGAAATTCATATTTCTCTGATAGTGGACTGTCAATTTTTTTCTCTAAATTGACATTATCCTTTTCGCCAAATGCAATAGCCATCGAGCATAGTGTAACAAATAAAATAATTTGTCCCTTCATCTATATAGAAAAAAAAATTAATTTCACACTCGCTTTATACACAAAATAATAATAAAATTATTAAAATTATCAATTTGACTTTGTGTAAATAAATAAAAAACTAATGTTTTTTTTAAAATTCCGATTTAAAAATTCCAAAGGAGTGCTCACCTTTTTTTTTTTTTTTTTTTTGAGTAATTATTATTTAAACAACGAACACGCAAAAAAATACTATGGAATATGATCACAGTAACTCTCGATACCTGTGAAGATTTCTTAAAATCCTGCTCTTATAGTAAGGTCTCAGATTTCTCCCACTTTTATAAGAATAAAGCTACTAACCTTCTTCCGGTCATTGCCTTATTCTTTCCTTTGAATTTTTAAATACTTGAATATCTACTAAATTTTTTGGACTTTGAACTTTATTTATAAATATAAATATACGGGGATTTACCATTCTTATATACATTTTGTCATTTTTGTCAAATTGTTATAATTTTGTGACGATTCAAAAATAGTCAAAAAAAAAAAAATTTGAATTTTTGAAAATAATCTCTGTTTTTATAGTCAAATTTCTGCCACTTTTATTAGAATTAATTTTTTATTCAGTCGTTACCTTTTCCTTAAATTATTAGAACATTGAACTATTTTATATATATAGGTATGAATTTATTTTTTAATATCCGTATTTTGTTTTTTTTTTTTCTTCTCTTCAAATATATAAATGAGTCATAGAATTTTACCCAAATAATTTTTTTAATTAATCTACCTGAATGAAAATTTCAATTTTTTAAATTTAATAAATTTTAATTAACTCAAGTTTATGGAATATTTTAAAATAATAGAAAAAACAAATATTTTTTAACAAATATCGAAAATATAATAATTAAATGAATTATAATATTGAAAAAAATAAAATAAAATGTAAATTTTTGTATTTTAAACCATAAAATTTATTTGAATTAAAAATATTTGTTAATAAATAACTAAAACTGATAAATATTTATTTAAGACAAATATATATTTTTTGTTTATTTAAACAAAATTAAATTAATTTTAAAAATATAATTATTTTTGATATTTTTATACCATATTTCAATAATTATTGGAAAATCCCAGTATTTAAAAATTTCAATATTTATATACATCTAAAGAATATAATTATAATTTACATTTTTTTTTTTCTATAATAATATTAATAATTAATTCATTGGTATTTTAGAGGAATTTGGAAATCCCCGATTTTGTAAATAGATTTCAACTCTCAGCTTCTTAACAAAAATAGAACAACAAAGTGATAAAGAAAAGGACCTTCAATTTTTTCCAATACATTTTAATAAGATTTCTGTTTTCTAGTAAGCAAATATATTATTTTAAAATAATGTTAAGTTTATGGAAATTAGAAAAAAATTTGTTTCATCGATTATTATAAATAATAATATAATAAATAAATAAATAAAAATAAAAAAATTTTATTATTATTATTATTGTTATTAGTAATAACTAATAATAATATAAAAATATTATTTTATAATAACATATAAAAAAAATTAGTAAATTAGTATTAGTAAAATATTTAATTATTAAAAAATATTTGAAAATGATTTTATAAATCTCATGAAATATTTTATATGAATAAAATTTTTGGGATTCCCGGGGAATGAGAATAAAATGAAACTGAAAATCAGTGACGTGTTTTTTTATGATTTGTTATTTTCGAAAACGACAATAAAATCCATTAATTACAGAGTATAGAGTGGGATAAAATCATCAAAGCGCTTTTATTTTCTTGTCTAACGTCTTATTAACTTAATGTTCGAGGTGTACGATAGTAGTGACATGTGAAAATTTGATAACAATTAAATGAAACAAGTGAATTTTTTTAAAAATAAATTTCAGTGTTGTGAATAATTATTTCTTTTTTTTATTAACAAATTAATTTAATTAAATAAAATTATTTATCTGTTAAACAAAATTAATTTTTTATTGATTAATTATCAATAAATTAGTTTAATTAAATAAAATTAGTTATCTGTTTAACAAATTAATTTTCTAAGTTTAATTTAAAAAAAAAAATTTAATTTTAAAAAAAATTGTAAATGTTTTAATTTATTAACAATTATGTTATTATTACAATTGTTTTACAATTGTACAATTATTTTACAATTGTAGCAGGGAGAGTAAATAAATTATAATTATTACAATTGTTTTTTTTTTTGGCTAATTAATAACAAATTAATTATTGTTGACTATAGTTAATAAATTATACGTTTTTTTTTTGTATTCCTTAATAATTGGGTAATTATTGTTTATTTAAATTAATTGTATAAAAAAAAGTTGACAAGAAGGTAATTAAAAAACAAGACAAATATTTATAAACAAATCACGGAGTTTATTTAAAAATTATTTAACAACAATATAAACGACATTTTCTAACACAATATTCTCGCAATCATTCAATTTTTAAATTTGAAATTATTCCAAAATTTTAGATTGTATGAATCAGTGATTAAAAATTTTTAATATTTATAATTTAAATTAATTATTTAATAGTTATAATAAAATAATCATATTTAATTATTTAATTACTGATATGCCAATTAACAATAATTAGTAATTAATAGTTAATTAAATATTAATTAGTAATTAATAATTAATTAAAAATTAATTACTAATTATTGTTAATTAGTATTGTTACTAATTATCATATTATTTATTTCCAAACTTGTAACAAAATTTTTAATAGTCTTTATGATCGAATCCAATAAATTTGGACTAATTTCAAATTTATAGAGTTTATAGTAAAATCAAAAAAAAAAAAAAAAAATGAACCACTAATAATAATAATAACATAAAACGCAAAAAAAATCATCGCTTTATGAACATTTTGTTCATTGAGTATTAATTTTTGTTGCTTCTCTCGCTTCAATAAACCGCAACTCACCATGCCCTGGAAATTAATAATAATTTATTTTAAAAAAATTTTAATAATTATTTCTATAAAAATAATATTAAAATTCACCAAAAATTATTTTATTTTCTTAACCATTTGAATTAAAATTAGTTTTTGTTAGGAGGAAATTAAATTGTTGAATACTTTTAAAAAAAATGAAAAATTTTTTTTTTCTTTGACAATTTTATATTGTTTCTTTAGTGTGAAATTTTATAATATTAATGAATCATTAATGAGAATGACTGTCTACATTTTTTGTTTTTCCTATAACTCTCTTGAATAAAATCAATTTCCCCATAGAATGTTGTATTTTATTGCAATCGCAAAACTTTCACAAACACTTTTAAAACGTTTAAGGGCATTGATTTCTTGTTTTCTTTTATATCAATTCAAGTTTCAAAAAGTTTAATTTATATATATAAAAACTCGCAATAATAATTTACAAAAATAATAATAAATAAAAATTTAATTTTTTAGTAATATAAAAATTAATTTTTTAGTAATAATAAAAATTAATTTTATTGAAACATTTTTTTTTGTATTATAATATTTTACTGTAATTTTTTTATGAATTAATTTTTATTATTGTATTTTAATTTTTTTTTAAATTAATTTATTAAAATTCTTTAAATTTCAAATTTTACCTTGAAATTATATATCTTAATAATAATAAATTTAATAGAGAGAAAAATTAATAAGGAAGATTTATTAATTAATAATTAATAATTAATTAACTTTGCAGATAATTCATGGGAAACATAATTTTTGAAATTTGATTAAATTACCCGTAAGTTGATGGTGGATCAGGATGCCAGCTCTCAACATGCTCTTTGAAGACTGGTTTCTCAATAATCCTGTCAACGAAGACAGGTTTCTCTACGTATTCAATGTACTTAACAGGTGTTGGCGGTGGGGCAAGATACACGTGGTGCACTTCCGGTGCTCTATGGTAACCATACTTGTATCTATAATTCAAAAATATATTTACTATTATTATCATTATTTCATTTTTTATTTATTATTATTTATTTATTAATTATTATTATTATTATTATTTTATATTTTTTGTTTATTTATTATTATATTATTTTTTATATTTGTTATTATAAATATAAAAGCACAATAATTATTATTATTATTAATTATTATTAACAATTGTTATTGTTAATAAAATTAATTGAAAATTAAAATTTTATATTAACCCGTGTGGAAAAAGCCACGATCTTGCCCTCAAGAGTTCGGGGCCCCCGGCGGGGGCCCATGAGGGCTGATCCATATGGCGAATCCATGAGGGGCACCGTAGGGGCCCCGCATGGATCGCCCTCATGATCGATTAGCAAAATTTTCTAAGTCCAAAAATCAAATATTTTTTTATCACCAAAAAATTAATGTTTATAATGATTCACAACAATGAAAAACGCGTTTTTAATTAAAATATATTTTCACTTTTTTTGAAAATAACACTCACACTTATGGCGAATCCATGAGGGGCACCGTAGGGGCCCCGCATGGATCGCCCTCATGATCGATTAGCAAAATTTTCTAAGTCCAAAATTCAAATATTTTTTTATCACCAAAAAATTAATGTTTATAATGATTCAGAACCACGAAAAACGCGTTTTTAATAAAAATATATTTACACTTTTTTGAAAATAACACTCACACTTATGGCAAAATAGATGAGGGCCACCGTAGGGGCCCGCATGGATCGCCCTCATGATCGATTAGCAAAATTTTCTAAGTCCAAAAATCAAATATTTTTTTATCAACAAAAAATGAATGTTTCCAATGATTCAAAACAACGAAAAACGCGTTTTTAATAAAAATATATTTACACTTTTTTGAAAATTCGCCTGAGATGATTCATGATAATAATCATAAAGCATATAATTAATTATATTTTATAAATTGCATTTGATTGGAAAATATAATTTAATATCTTAACTTTAACTAAATGATGTTAAGCACTTTTCTTTGTTAGGTATTTTTCAAGTTTAAATAGCATCAAGAAGTTAGCATTCGTTTTGAAGTAGCGTGCGTAGCGTAGTTGGTAAAGCGTTAGACTCATAGTCCGTAGGTCGTAGGTTCGATTCCCCCCATGCGTTAGATTTATTTATTTCTCAGGTTTGCGTTTAATCATTAATTCTATGTATGAATTAATTGAAAAATGAAAATATCGGTTAATAGTATGCATAAATTACATATTTTTTAATTTTTTAATTAATTAATTTATTATTACTTTTAATTATATCCGACAGTTAATTAATTAGAACGTTAATTAATAAATTCAATTTGAGTAAGAATTTAATTTAAAATTGAATAATTATTAAATAAATATGTTATTTATTCATAACTTAAGCTTATTTATTATCAATTAACTTTTATTATTAATATTATTGATTAAAAAACATTATGGCAAACTTGAGGGCAAGATGAGGGCAAACGTGAGGGCCCATAAGGGCGCCCGTAGGGGCACCCTCATGGATCGCCCATGCGGGCGCCCTCATCGATGAGCATGTCGTTTCCATGAGGGGCCCCTATGGATCATCCATATGCGCCCCTCATGGCATGAGGGCGATCCATAAGGGCCCCCGCTGGGGGCCCACATCACTTTTCCACACGGGAATTATTAATTTATTGAACAATTGTCATTCAGTTTATTAATTGGTTATTTTTTTTTCTATTTCAATTATTTGAATTTTTAAATACAGTTAAACCTTCTTAAGTGGGACGACTGGGATTTAAAAGAAAATCTCAATTTTTATTAAGAATATTTCTATAAATTATCGATAATGATAATTTTTTTTTTTTGTAAATTATCTAAATTTCAAATATAGAAGCCGAAGATGCAAAAAATTATCAAAATTGTCTCACTTAACTAGGTTTAACTGTTTTTAAAATATAAAATTCATTTTTAAATTATATCATTAAAAATAATAATTATAAAAATTAAAAAAAAAAAATTAAAAAATAAATTTTATTATTATTAATTTATTTACCCTTTGACAACTCCTAGACCAAAGCCAAGAAGTCCAGCTCCAAGGACTTTCTTTTTTAAAAATAATGTCCTTTTACTCCTCGTATGCACTGAATTTTCTTCATTTTCAATTAAAGGAAGTGTTTGCTGTTTTATTTCTTCCGACGACACATACAAGACAAAAATGGAAAAAATGACAAAAATCAAAATCTTCAAATTCATCTGAAACATTATTTTTTAAAATTATAATATTTTATTTAAAAAATATTTTTTTTTTACATCAACTTAAAAATAAAAATTTAATTTATATATATATATTTATATTTTTTTTAAAAAAAATCACTCTTTAAAAAATAAATGACACTCGCGAAAAAAGAAAGTAAAAAAAAAATTGTTTTTCCCTCTTTTTCGTTTACCTTGAAAATGCAATTTTTTTCAAAATATCAATTTATCAATGATAAAAAAAAAACGCAAAAAGTGCGACAAATGTTAACTGATGACATGAATAGGAGGTACTTTCGATTTTATATAGTGCGGAATCGACAATCCCTTCTACTTGCGAAAAAAGAAACAGTGACCATTTCTCTCTCTCTCTCTCTCTCTCTCTCTCTCTCTCTCTCTCTCTCTCTCTCTCTCTCTCTCTCTTTCTCTCTGCAAATATACAACCCCTCTATTGTATCGTGACAATCAGAAAATATTTCGCAGTAATGCACGCTGTGTATTGTATGACAATTAGCCACTTGAAATCAATTTTTTTTTCGTTTATTATACTTTCAATTCACGTGTCGGACAAATTAAATTAACAGGAAATTAAAAGTAAATTAAAATTAATTTCAAAAAAAAAAAAATAAAATTAATTTTAAAAAAAAATTACCTAATTTTTATTTGGTTAAATTTTTATTATATCTAATTCCTCTCGTATAATATTTAACCTAATTTTCATTTGGTCTAATTCCTGCGTGGCATAATATTTATTTAATCTAATTTACATTTGACCTAATTCTTACATGGCATAATATTTATTTAGCCGGTTTTTTAATTTGGTCTAATTTTTACGTGGCAGAATATTTAATTTAATTCTTAATTTTGGTAAAAATATTTTTATTTTGACAAATATTTATTTGTCTTAATTCTTATGCGACCTAATTTTTATTTGGCCTAATTCTTACGTGGTATAATATTTATTAAGCCTGTTTTTTATTTGATCTAATTTTTACTTTGACACAATATTTAATTTAATTTTTATATGGTAAAAAAATATTTATTTGGCCAAATTCTTATTTAGCTTAATTTTTATGTGACCTAATTGTTACTTGGCCTAACTTTTTTTGTGATCTAATTCTTATTTGGCCTAATTTTCAATTGCCCTAACTTTTATTTGGCCGTATATTTATTTGTCCTAATAATTATATGGCCTAATTTCCATTTGACCTAATTTTTACATGGCATAATTTTTATTTAACCTAATTTTTATGTAACCCAAATTTTTATTTGGCTAATTATTTATTTGTCCTAATAATTATATTGCCTAATTTCTATTTGACATAATTTTTATTCGACCTAATTTTTACATGACCTAATTTTCAAGCAATATAATTTTTATTTGACCTAATTTTCATGTAACCGAATTTTTATTCGGCCAAATATTTATTTATCCTAATAATTATATGGCCTAATTTTTATTTGACCTAATTTTTACATGATCTAATTTTCATTCAATTTAATTTTTATTTGACCTAATTTTCATGTAACCTAATTTTTATTTGGCCAAATATTTATTTGTCCTAATAATTATATAGCCTAATTTCTACTTGACCTAATTTTCATTTGACCTAATTTTTACATGGTATAATTTTTATTTAATTTAATTTTGTATTTGACTTAATTTTCATGTAACCGAATTTTATTTGACCAAATATTTATTTGTCCTAATAATTATATGGCCTAATTTCTATTTGACCTAATTTTCATTTGACCTAATTTTTACATGGTATAATTTTTATTTAATTTAATTTTGTATTTGACTTAATTTTCATGTAACCGAATTTTATTTGGCCAAATATTTATTTGGTCTAATAATTATATGGCCTAATTTCTATTTGACCTAATTTTTACATGGTATAATTTTGTATTTGACTTAATTTTCATGGAACCGAATTTTATTTGGCCAAATATTTATTTGACCCAATAATTATATGGCCTAATTTCTATATTTGACCTAATTTTCATTCGACCTAATTTTTACATGGTATAATTTTCATTTAATTTAATTTTGTATTTGACCTAATTTTTATGTAACCGAATTTTTATTCGGCCATAATATTTATTTGTCCTAATATTTTTTTGGCATAATTCTAATTCTTATGTGCCCTAATTTTTATTCGCCCTAATTTTTTTTTTATCAATTGTAATTAAATATAAAATTGCAAATTTATTTTAATAATTCTAGCGTAAAAATTGAGAAGAAATTTTTCGTCATAAAATCAATAAAATATAATATTTAAACCAAATTTTATACAATATTTGTGAAATCAAACATCCGGTAAGTGTATAATATAAATTATCTATTTTTTGGAGACTCTTAAATGTATTTGTTTAAAGCATACCAAGTAGTAGTATATTAGATAATAATTATTTCATCACTGTTCTTTAGAAAAAAAAGAAAAAAAGAAAAGTGAATAAAAAACCAATATTAGACATCTTTAATATATTGTAAGGATACCAAATTACATTTAGAAATGAATAACATACATGCATGAGTATATATTTATATGATAATATTGGTTCTTTTACATCACATATATAATTCAACACCTCATTTTTCAAATATAAATAATAAATGACTAATTTCAAAAATCATGTGGTATTTATAATAGTCGGCATTCGTCTATTACAATAATTTATTTAATATTATTTTACACGCCCATTTGAAAAAATAAATTTTTTTTAAACGCTTTCTAAAACATTTTTTTCTCTCTCCTTTTTATTTTGTTAAAGACCACCTATGAAAACATATAAATTATACATTTATTATTAAATTATTAAAATTTCGAATTGTTTGTTTTAGAATATTGAGAAAGAATCGAATTTTAATTGAGTATTGAATTTTTCATAAATTATTATTTATTTAATTATTTTATTTATTATTATTTATTAATATATTAATTAATTAAGTCCAAATTAATTAATTAATTATAACCGAGCACAAAATTAAAATATTTATAAATTAATAATTAATAATATTTATTATATTACAATAAAATAGTATTAATTAATAATTAATTAATAATTTATAATATTTATTATATTACAATAAAATATTATTAATTAATAATTAATAAATAATTTATAATATTTATTATATTATAATTAAAATATTATTAATTAATAATTAATAATATTTATTTTATTATAATAAAAAAATGTTTTCTTATTTAAAAATTATCATTTATTTGTCTTAAAAAAAAGGAAAAAAAAATGAATACAAAAAATTTTGTGCATGTTCGTCATTATTATTATATAGATGAAAATCTACTGAGGTCATTGTTATTTTTTTTTTATGATGAAAGTCTAAATTGCATATGCACTTTCCAATGAGACGAATTCTTTGACAAAATCGTTATGCTTTACTTTTTTTTTTTTTTTTTTTTTTTTTTTTTTGACCTGCACTCTCATTTTTTTTCTCTCTATATATTATATACTTACTTCATGTTTTTACTTTCTTTAACGACGCTTGGAATGACGTGACAGTCATTGTCATTCTCTGAAGGTGCCTTCATTCATGATGAAATCAAATTCATTGTTTCATAATAAATCGATATTCAAAATAGGTAATCGATTCTTTTCTTTTTTTCGTTATGTCAAGAAACATTTTACTTTTTTAAACTATTTTTTTTTATTAATTTTCAAATTTAAAAAATTATTATTTCAAAAAATTTATTTTTCCTTTTTTTTGTAAGCCAATTTATATACTATACAAATAAATTTATTCTTCTTTTAAAAATTTTTATTCTAACTAATAGTAATCCTAATAAAATTAAATTATAATTATCCCGTGTGGAAAAGTGATGTGGGCCCCCAGCGGGGGCCCTTATGGATCGCCCTCATGCCATGAGGGCCGCATATGGATGATCCATAGGGGTCCCTCATGGAAACGACATGCTCATCGATGAGGGCGCCCGCATGGGCGATCCATGAGGGTGCCCCTACGGGCGCCCTTATGGGCCCTCACGTTTGCCCTCATCTTGCCCTCAAGTTTGCCATAATGTTTTTTAATCAAAAATATTAATAATAAAAGTTAATTAATAATAAATAAGCTTAAGTTATGAATAAATAACATATTTATTTAATAATTATTCAATTTTAAATTAAATTCTTACTCAAATTGAATTTATTAATTAACGTTCTAAATAATTAACTGTCGGATATAATTAAAAGTAATAATAAATTAATTAATTAAAAAATTAAAAAATATGTAATTTATGCATACTATTAACTAATATTTTCATTTTTCAATTAATTCATACATAGAATTAATGATTAAACGCAAACCTGAGAAATAAATAAATCTAACGCATGGGGGGAATCGAACCTGCGACCTACGGACTATGAGTCTAACGCTTTACCAACTACGCTACGCACGCTACTTCAAAACGAATGCTAACTTCTTGTTGCTATTTAAACTTAAAAAATACCTAACAAAGAAAAGTGCTTAACATCATTTAGTTAAAGTTAAGATATTAAATTATATTTTCCAATCAAATGCAATTTATAAAATATAATTAATTATATGCTTTATGATTATTATCATGAATCATCTCAGGTGAATTTTCAAAAAAAGTGTAAATATATTTTTATTAAAAACGCGTTTTTCGTTGTTTGGAATCATTATAAACATTAATTTTTTGGTGATAAAAAAATATTTGATTTTTGGACTTAGAAAATTTTGCTAATCGATCATGAGGGCGATCCATGCGGGCCCCTACGGTGCCCCTCATCTATTTTGCCATAAGTGTGAGTGTTATTTTCGAAAAAAGTGTAAATATATTTTTATTAAAAACGCGTTTTTCGTTGTTCTGAATCATTATAAACATTAATTTTTTGGTGATAAAAAAATATTTGATTTTTGGACTTAGAAAATTTTGCTAATCGATCATGAGGGCGATCCATGCGGGGCACCTACGGTGCCCCTCATGGATTCGCCATATGGATCAGCCCTCATGGGCCCCCGCCGGGGGCCCCGAACTCTTGAGGGCAAGATCGTGGCTTTTTCCACACGGGATATTATTATTTTATTTTTTAATTTCTATTTTTTATTTATTTATTTATTTATTATTATTATAATTATTTATTTATTATTTATTTATTTTATTTATTTATTTATTATATATATTTTGTTATTTTATTTTTAATATAATAAATATTACTATAAAAGTAAAAAAAAGATTTGAAAATAAATGAAAGGAAAGAAAGAAGGCCTTATGAAATAAAATAAAAAAATCGAAAAAATCAGTCAAATTGTGAATGAACTCTGTATGAGAATTAAAATAAGAAAAAAAAAGAAAAGAAAAGACATTTATAACGAAGCCAGTTTGCCTTGGATCGCATGTCAAACTGCGTGAACACCGGAATTCTTGAAGAATTTATTTTGACCTTGCTGTAGATTTTTACCCATCAAATAAATATATATATATATATATATATATGTCTATAGCCATCAAAATCAAAAAGGATATATTCCTTTTGTCACCAATTTTCCACATTTATAATATGTGATTCGTGACTAATATAGTTGAATCCCTTTTCTAAAATTCTGTCATTTTATTTATATATATATATATTCAATAATCACTTTCGCTTTTATTGATGTCACAAAAGAAAATTTTCTTTTTTTGATATACAATGCGTGATTCTTATTTTTATTGATAAGAATAAAAAAAATTTTTTTTACCAAAGACTTCAAAAATTAAAAAAAAAAATTTTTTTTTATCCTATAAAAATTTTAAATTATCACAACCAAATTGTGAGATTTATATAAAAAATATAATTAATTCTCTTAGTTATAAAATATAATAAAATTAAATATTTCTCTCACACACAATGATGTAAAAATATTTCTCATAAAAGAAAAATTTTTTTTTTCTACGATTTTATGATGATTATGTCACCTAATAAATTTTATTGTCTCTTTTTAACCAATAAAAAAATTTTCAGTTTCTAAAAACATAATTCCCCCCCCCCAAAAAAAAAAAAGTAAATGAGGTGAAAAAATTACTTTTTAGAAAAATTGAATTTCAAAATTTTTATTAAAAAAAAAAAAAAAATCATTATTCTTTTTTTTTTGTTTAAAAAGAAAAATTTCCAGGTAAATAAAAAGCGTGAATTAAAAAAAGAAATAGAACATTTTATTAAAAAAAAAAAAAAATGTTTATATGAGCGTGAAAATGAATTTTTTTTTTTTATACAATTATACAAGATGCGTTTGAACATTTTTTAAAAAATTATTATTTTCTATATTTCAAGTCTTCTCAATGGCAAGATGATCTTCTGTTATATTAAATTATAACATTCAGGAAATAATTTATCTGGAAAAAAAACAAAAATATTTAGAATTAATATTTTTTCAATTATATAAATTTTTATATATAATATTTTTTTTTTAATTTTTGATATATATTAAAAAAATTGTTGAAATTTACAAATATTTTTAAATAGAAAATATAATTAAATAAATATTTAAATATATGTTTATATATAAAAAAATTTTTTCTTATAAAATTTGTAATATAAAAAAATATGTTTTTATAATTTTTTTTTTTTTAAATATTTTTTTGAATTAAAATAAAATTTTATTTTTTAATTAAATAAATAAATTTTACCTATACCAGCCAGAATTTCCATAACCCTGACTGTATTGAGGATATTGATTGTAGCTAGGGGGGCCATAATGACCATTATATGTTCCTCCATGACCACCAGCACTTGCTCCAGCACTTGCTCCAATACTTCCTCCATAGTGTATTCCATAACTTGCTCCAAAGGATTTTCCATAACCTCCACCATAGCTAGGACCTCTGTATCCTCCACCATAGTTGGGTCCTCCATATCCTCCAGCATAGACTGGTCCTCCATATCCTCCTCCGTATCCTCCTCCATAGCCTCCACCATATCCTCCTCCATAGCTGGAAAATTAATTATTAAAAATTAAAAACAAAAAAAAATTAATAAATCAAAGGGAAATCAAAAAAAAATTTGTTAATTATAGAAGAAAATTATTTTATTTATTTAATAATAAAAATCTTATTTTTTTTATTAAAAATTTATTAAATACAAAACTTTTTATTTTTTGCATTATTTTATTATTATTATTATTATTATTATTATTATTATTATTATTATTATTATTATTATTATTATTATTATTATTATTATTATTATTATTATTATTATTATTATTATTATTATTATTATTATTATTATTATTATTATTATAAATATTATTATTACTTTATTATTTTTGTATTACAAAAAAAAATTGTTAAATATAAAATAATTTTACTAAATTCTGTATATTATAAAAAAGATTTGTTAAACATAAAATAAAATTATTTTTGTATTACAAAAAAACAAATTTATAAATATAAAAATAAAAAATTATTTTATTCAATTTTGTATTATAAAAAAAAAAAAAAAAATTGTTAAATAAAATTATTTATTTATTTTTTTAATTACATTGACATACCCAGATTTATTTAATAATTTGCCTGCTATTAATTTTTTTGCAAGCAAAGCTCCTCCTAAAAGTGCAAGTTTCTTTTTGAGAAGAATTGTTCTTTTCTGACGTGAATGAGGCGTTTGTTCAACATTTTTTATTTTGGTTTCTATTGCAGAATTTGTTGCAGCATATGCCACAGCAAGGAAGGCAGCTACAAAAAATATGTACAGGAAACGCATCTGAAAATAAAATAAATTTATATTTATATTTACAAAACAAAATTATTTATTATAAAAAAAAATTTTTTAAATTTATTTTAAAAAAATTCAAAAATTTATTTTAAAAAAAATTTAATAATTTATTTTAAAAAAAATTTAATTACTTAAAAAATTAATTTAAAAAAATACATTTCACATAAAAATAAAATTTCGTTTAATCTTTTTTTTTTTTTATTTACAAATAAAAATTATGACAGAATTATTTGTTATTTTACGCGTCTTTATTGATTTTACAAATGTAAACGTATTACATCGTTTTATTTTTATTTTTTTTTTTTTTCATATTCATTGCGAACATAATATATTTTCACTAGTTCGATATCTTTTTAAAATTCTCTTTGAGTTTCGCGCGTTTGTATTCCTATATATAATAAATAATTATGAAATAGTAAAAGAAGATTAACCCGCGAAATTCGAAAGTCTCAAAATTACGAAATACTCTCAATAGCGGTTCTTTACATTCTTCAAATATTTACACGTGTCAATTTTGCTAAGTGACGAGGTTAAACATTTGCAGGGATAAATCAAGATCAAATTATTTTTTTTTTCCAAATTAAACATAAAGCAAAGTGTAAAATACACAAATTTGCAAATATTATTTTATCTGTTCGAACGGAGAATTTTTTTTTTATTAATAAATTTCTTTTATTTTATAAATATTTATATAATTATTTATTTAATAATTATTAATTTTATATTCATAATTATTAATTATACATTAATAATTACTAATATATAATTAATAATTACTAATATATAATTAATAATTATTAATTATTTATATAATTAATTTAAGTATTATTAATAATTAATTGAATAAATAATTATTAAAGAAGAAGCGAATATTAAGTTCTTTATTACATTATCAAAGTATTTTTAAAATTAACTACAAATATCAAACTATTTTTAGTATTTACTTAACGTTTTTTAGAAATTAAAAAAAAATTGAATAAAAAGAATTTTTTAATTATAAATTAAAATTTTTTTAGGTCCAATATTTTTAAAATATAGTTTTTAAATTTATTTTTACAATTTTTTATTTTTTCAAATTTTTTTTTACAGGCAATTTTCCACACTAGTAACACTAAAAAAATTTTCAAAAAAAAAAAATTATTAACTCCAAAGAATAAAATTAATATCAATAGTTTAGTTAAAAATAATTTCCTGAATTACTATTTATTTAGATAATTTATATTTCCGTATTTAATTTTTAATTTTTTTAAATTAAAAAAAATTTGTTTTTAATTATACAATTTATTATTTTTTTTTTTTACACATTTGATGAAATTAAAAGGAAAACACTTTTATCGCGCACAATTCCTAAATCACTATTTTTTTTTTATAAAGTGCTTCGGTATATTAATTCACGTATAAAAGAAGGAAATAAAAAAAATTTTTTTTTTTTTCTTTTTGCAACCAACCTTGATGAATTTCACGCTAAAAGTCGAGGAATTGGAGAAGAGCGGAAGACTTTATAGGATGATAGTGAAGCATCCCTTCCACCTGGTGAACCTTTTTTCCAATTTGGGAGAGAGAAGGACTTCTCCTGTTTCCCATGCTTATTCATCGTCAAATTAAATCTTTCGGTTATATAGAAAGATTATAATATACTGTAAAAATGGGAAGATGACTTTCAAGAATAACCTTGAACCCAAGAATATACAGTACGAGCTTTGTATTAAAAAAAAAAAAAAAAAAATGAAAAACTTTTTTTTTTTAATAAAAAATCTTTTTTATTTACAAATTTTGAAAAAGAAAATAAATTTTCTCCCCAAAAAATGTGGTTATTTAATAACAATTGTATTTTTTAAAAACAACTTTTTTTTTATTTTTTAATTTTTTTTGTATTTTTTTCCAAAATTAATTTGTTTATAAAAAAAATTGTTATTTAAACATAAGAGAATCAGTTTTTTATTTTATTTATTTTTTTATTAAGATTAAAATTTTTTTGGAGACTTGGAAAATTTTTTTGACAATTTGTACAAATTGATAAATAATATATTTTTGAATAATAATAATAATAATAATAATAATAATCCTAACGTAATTAATTATATTCTTTTAGTGTAATAGAGAAATTTCTCTTGTCTTAATTATCCATAAAATTAGAGAAAGTTTGCCAAAAATTCTTAAGATATACCCAAAGGCAATTTTTCCCATCTCCATTAGAAATTAATCAAAATTTTCAGAAATGATATTATCACCCAACTATTTGGCAATTACATAACAACATTAGCATTTATTTTCTTATTATTTTTTATATAATTTAATAAAAAAAAAAAATTTATTGACAAAAATGATTTATTTAATAAAAAAATATATATTTATAATGAATATTTCTCTTTTTTGTCAACTACTATAAATTACGATAGAAAATGAAGATGAATTATCTAAAAAAGAAAAAATTTATACATTTCTCTAAATACTTTACTAAGAATCAATTATAATATTTATGAATATTTATGAATGAAATTATTACCTATATATCCTTTTTTTTTTTTTTTTTGAATGAATTGAATTTATTTTTTGAATGAAATTATTTTTTTTTCTACATTTTCAAAAAAAAAAATAAAAATACACATCGTTTCATAAAAAAAAAAATATTCAAGAATCAAATATTTGAAGATGGAATTTTGTCAAATGTACAAAGTGGGCGTTACCGTGTGTAGATTTGAAAAAAAAAAAAATTTGCATATACTACCTGATACTTTTATGTTGAAAAGGATATATATATATATATATATATATATATATATATATATATAAGAAATTACCTTGAACCTTTGCATTTCATTTGCTTCCATTATCAAATATTAAAAAAAAGCTCGATTACAATTTAATATTTTCTGGATTTTTTTTTTTTGCAAAAAATATTGTATACTTTTTTTTTAATATATAAATAAAAAAATTTGAAAAAATAAAAAAAAAATTTATTTATTATAATAATATAAAAGCACAGGCGTTAATTTAAATGTCCTTGCACAGTTTAAAATAGCGTTAATAAATTGAACCACCTGTTTGACAAGTTTGCAACCTCTGACCAATAGTAAAAAAAAAAACGAGTTTATTAGTATGCAGATTATAGACGGAAGTCTGGTCTTGATATGGTATATGTACCAAAAAAAAAAAAAAAAAACAAAAATTTCTTCCTCGATTATATAAAATTTAACTGTTGTTTGGAAAATCAATTTTATTGCGACAATAATTTTTTTTTTTTTGTAATTATGTACTGTAATTGAAAATCATAATAACTTTATTTCAAATATTGCATCAGTAAATAGAAATTTTGTTTTCTATAGAAACTAAAAAGTTTTTTTTTTCTTAATACTTTTTTATTATTTTATTATATCATATAACTTAATGTATATAAATATTCCTTATAGTACTTTTCAAATTTTTTTTTTTTTTTTTTTTATTGACATTTGAAAAATTATCTTATTTTTTTTTTAAAAAAATAAATAATATAATATCGCCCAAGTTTTTCCTTTTACTTAATTATTTAGTGTTTAAAAGGCAAATGTTTATAAGAACACGTATATATAATAGGAAATATTTCGCATTTAGTTTCTTTCCATGAAAAACTTTTAAACATTAAAGAAAAAAAAAGTGCTAGGTGAAAGAAAAAGAAGTCGAAATATTACAGTTATAACGAACATTTATTATTCCATTATTAATTTTTTTTTTACAATATTATTGTTTTTAAATAAAATCCAATAAAGATTTTTTTTTTTTTTTTAAATAGAGAATAAATAAAATTACTTCAGGAAAATAAATTTCTCGACAGAAAAAATGGTAAGTTTATTGTATTATATGCACAAAATAATATTTTACAGTGATTTTAAAAAATTTATAAAATAATAATAATAATAATGTTTATAATAAAATTGAATAAAATTTATATTTTTCAGAATTTTACAATTAAAAGTGGAATAATGAAGGGAAAGGAGAAAACAATTGAATTGGGTAATGTTAATTTAGGAAAATTATTATTGGATACACTAAAAAGCAAACCAAATTTTGTAGGACAGGTAATATTATAATTATACAAAATATATTTCTAAATATGAAAATTTTCATGAGATTATAATATATAATATGAGAAAAAAAAATTAGCGAAAAATTATTTTTCTAATTAATAAATTCAAAAAAAAAAAATCATAAAAAATTATATTAAAATTAATCAAAGTTACAATTTTTACACTAATTCAGATTTAAACAGTATACACTTTCTAAAAAAAAAATATATATAATAGATACTTTTTCTTTTATATAAAAAAAAAAAATACATCCATTAACTAAGAAAAAATTTCAAAAAATTAAAATAATTATTATTTCCAATAATAGATTGATGCAATCACAGGCGAAAAAATAAATTATGGACAAATGGCTGAAAAAAGTGTTCAATGTGGAATTTGGTTTAAAAAAAATGGTTTAAATTTTAACGATATTGTATTTACTTGTTGTCAAAATCGAATTGATACGTATATTCCAATTTTTGCAACATTCTACAATGGTGCTACATTTGCATTTGGACACAAAGGAATTTTACCTCGTATGTGTATTCTTTTTTTTTTTAATTTAAATAGAGTTTTTTCATTTTTTTCTTCCTAAAGGAAAGTTTTGAATCACTTTTTCAAATTTTGAGGCATTCTGAAATTTATTTTCCAATCAGTATTTTTTTTTCCGAATCTTACGGAAAAAAAATTCCATATCAATCCGTTTTGTTCCACGGTTGAATTTTTTCATATGTAGATTGGTTGAAAAAAATTTAGAAAAAATGAAAATAGAAAATTACCGACTTAGAAATCTACCTTACCATCAGTCGGTAAGGTAGATTTCTGTGTCGGTATTTTTCTATTTTCTATAGTAACCTATAGATAGTTGAATTAAATATCGGAAATAAAAATCAATTGATTTGGAAAATAAATTTCAGATAAAAATACTCATTAGAACCAAATTGAACTGATTTTGAAAATAATTGATGTTTAATAAAATAAAAAAAACAATGCAGAAAGGACTAGATATCTTTTTGGTTTGCTGAAGCCAAAATTTATCATAACCGAAGAAGAGGAAGTAAAATTATTTGCCGAAATTGCTAAGGAAGAGAAATTAAATGTAAAAATTGTGACCTTTACCAAAGTAACAGGTTATTATTATTTAGAGGACATTCTTAAAGAATCGAATTCTAATGAAGTATTAAAATTTATCTCATTGCCACCACTAAATCCAAATGATGATTGTGTTTTACCATTAACATCCGGTACAACTGGTGATTCAAAAATTCTCGCCCACTCCTATAAAAGTATTATGGAAGGTCTTTTAATTAACAATAGCCAAATAGAAATTATTAAAAATGACATATCATTGATTCATTTTCCACTTTATTGGGTAATTGCCCTTAGGATAATGTTGGGCGATATTTTGAATTTTACAACAAGAATTCTTGTTAATGAAACAAATCACGATTTACATGATGCTTTTAAATTAATTCAAAAATATAAGGTAATAAAAATAGATTTTTTTTTTTAATTTCTCAAATTCTAAAATTAAAAAAAAAAAATTTTTAATATTATTTCATTATCTTTAGGTTACAAAAGTGAGATTTACTCTCGGTATGATATATCGATTATTCAAATGGAATGAAATAGAAAAATATGATACATCATCGATAAAAATGATAACATTTAGTGGTTGTAAATTGCCACCGGAAATTTTTAAATTTTTGATAAAAGTATTTAAAAATAGCATTGTTGAACAAATATATGGTAATTTTTTTTTTTAAATAATCTCTTAATAAAATTAAAAAAAGAATTACAACAAATTATAAATAATTATAATTATAAAATGCAATTATAAATTATTTATACAGGTTCAACTGAAATGACAATTCCCATGTGTCGTGGAATAATGAATAAAATAAATTTAAATTCCTGTGGTTATTTATATCCAAATATGTCAATGAAAATAATTGATATTAAATCAGGTGAAATATTAGGACCAAATAAATCAGGTGAAATTTGCTTTAAATCCCGACATTTAATGAAGGGCTATTATAAAAATCCAACAGCAACTAAAAATGCTATTGATTCTGAAGGTTAGTTTTCAATTTTTATAATCGATAAAATTCTTTACGCCAAAAATTAATTTTAGAAACAATTTTTTTAGACTTGTTAAAGAATAAATACACTGACAAAAAAAAAAATGCTATTGAATCATCAGCATTTCTGCCAAAAGGTATAAAAATTATTGATTCAAAAGTCAGCATGCTATAAAATTTGTAAAATCTTTTATAAATTCTATAGCATATGGTTTTGAATCAATAATTTTTATACTTAATAATAATTAATACTTAATTAATAAATAATACTTAATAATAATTTTTATAATTATTGATTCAAAAGCTAGCATGCTATAAAATTTGTAAAATCTTTTATAAATTCTTATAGCATATGCTTTTGAATCAATAATTTTTATACCTTTAGCAGTATATTTTTCAATAGCTTTTTTTTCATACCTTCAATAGAATATTTTTCTCAGTGTACATTCGTTAAATTATTAATTAATTATTAAAATTAATTTGAATCTAAAAATAATTTTTTTTTGTGTGTATTAAATCTAACAGAATGGTATCATACTGGTGATTTGGGTTTTTATGATGACAATGGATTAGTATTTTTTCAAGGAAGAGTTAAAGGCAATACAATCAAATTAAATGGTGAAATTGTACCACTTTGGCTTATTGAACGTGCTTTAATTTGTAATTCAGAAGTTTTAGAAGCATGCGCTTTATCTGATGGTGATGAGAATTTTACAAATTTAAAAATTATTGCATTTGTTGTTCTTTTACCAGGTTCACAGGTATAAAAAAAAATATTGTTTTTATTATTTCTATTATTAGACACGGTGCGCCAGAAGGAGGTTTAAATAAAAATGAATTGGCACTTAAAAATTCTTTTTGATTATGGTTCTAAGATGAATAAAACACTTTTCTCAATAGATTTTAAAATCAGCTTACGTGCCCAATTTAAAACAAATTGAGTTTTAAATATTTAAAAATAGTGTTTTATGAGGAATCAGAATTTATTTAATGTATACTTATATGCGTATAGATAATAGATGTTTTAGATTTGGGTTGATATAAATTTATTAACAATGAAGTTATTTTCTTGTTTCGTTTTTATATTTATGCATTAAGAGTGTTGAACGGTATCTGAAATTCTTTGGTTAAGAAGAGAGCTTTAATTATTGCTCTGAACGTGAAATAGTATTGATTTTAAAATACTTTTTTCTCGACACACGAACACTTTTAACAAAATCAGCCAAAATCCTCATCCTATAAATTTCCTAAATCCAAAAGACTGTACGAATTTATAGAAAAACATGGTTGCAAAACAAAAATTAGAAAAGTAATCTAATAACAGCTGCGACTTTGTGCGCCCTGCATGCTGCTGCCATCTGACGGCGGCAGGAGGTAATGTACCTGTCATTATATTACTTTTCGTTTTGTAATCATGTTTTTGTATGGATTCTTGCCAAAAAATTTCAGAGATCATTCGACTCTCTTAAATAAATTTTGTCACTCTTAAAATCGTTCTTTTAACATTATAATTTAATTTTTTAAAATCAGACACAAACACTACAGCAATATAATTATTTATATGTAAAATTGAAAATAAGTAATTATTTTATCATTTATTACAGTATTTATTAGATTAAATAAATTCTGATTCCCCATAAAACACTGTTTTTATATAAAAACTCAATTTTATTTAAATCGGGAACGTAAACTGATTTTAAAAACTATTGAAAAATGTTTTTTTATTCATCTAAGAATCATAATCAAAAAGAATTTTTAAGTGACAATTCATTTTTATTTAAACCACCTTCTGGCGCACCGTGTCGAATTTATCGTTTGAATGCAATTCCTTTTTTCTTTTGCAGATTACAGAAAATGAACTCAGTGAAATTATTAAAAATTTTACTGATATTAAATTGCCAATTACAGTGAAAATTGTTGATTCAATGCCAGTGACATACAATGGAAAAATTAAAACCAGTGAACTTTTAATGCAAATTAAAAATAAGTGATATAAAAAAAAAATAAAGTGAAAAAATAAATAAATAAAAAATGTTATATATATTTAAAAAATATTTTATATACAAAATTTTTGTACATTTTTTTTATAAATTACCTATAGGGAATTAATATTTAATTAATTTTTCATTTATTTCTAGTTACTTATTTATTTATTGCAATTAATTAGTTATTAATTAATTAATTATTGCAATTTTGCAGATAAAACGAATGTAAATTTAAAAATTTGGAAAAATTATATTTAATTTAATTTCTATAATTGAATTGTAATTACAATCGTTATATTAAAATTGTAATTTAAATTATAAAATTAATTTCTGAATCGAAAATACTAACTAAAATTAATAAAATCAATTTTTTTTTTTTTATTTCAATTTCTAAGGATAAAAAATTTTGTTATTTACAACTCATAAATGTGCAATTGTCAATAATAATATAAAGCAAATATTCTATATCTGATCACATGATGTAAACTAAACATATGAAAGTGATAATAGAGATAATTTTATATATGAAAGCACATCAAAAAAATAAATCACATATCGTATTATAGTCTTGTATGATGAAGAAATAAAATTATTAAATATATATTATATTGAAAATAAAACGGAATTTTTAAATAAGCTACAAATTTTAATTTTGAAGAATTTATAAAAAAAAAACATATTTTCCAACAAAAATGGTTAAAAACAATTTTTTTTTAAATTTATTTTAAATAGATGATGTATGAAATAATATTTTTTAATAGAATTGAATAAATTTTTAGGATTTTCGAAATTTTACGATTGACAATAATATAATAAAGGGAAGTGAACGTGTGTTTGAGACGGAAAATGCTAATTTGGGAAAATTATTTTTAAATACATTAAAAAGCAAACCGGATTTTATCGGACAGGTAAAATAGAAAAATATCTTAATATAAAAATTAAAAAAAAATATATTAATGTAAATATATTTTCAATATAAATTTTTTTTTTTTTTTAATTTATTAATTTCAAAAAAAAAATATATAATCGATTTTATTGTTTATTGCTGAAAAAATTGAAATTCGTAAATTATAATATTTATATAGATTGATGGAATAACGGGTAAAAAAATAACTTACGGAGAAATGGCGGAAAAAAGTGTTCGTTGTGGAATTTGGTTAAAAAAACATGGATTGTGTTTTAATGATATTGTTTTTAATTGTTCACATAATCGAACTGATTCTTATATTCCAATTTTGGCAACATTCTACAATGGTGCTACAATTGCTTTTGGATATAAAGGAATTCAATATCGTATGTTTTTTTTTATTGCCAATATTATTAAAAAAAATTATTATTAAATAAAAAAAAATTAAAAATTATTAAAAATTAAAAAATTATTTAAAAAATAATAGATTTTTTTAAACTGTTTTTATTTTAAACATTTTGATAGAGGATAAAATTTTTTGGTTCAGATATAGAAATTAAAGGTTTAATATAATTTAGGTAATGTAATTATTATTTTAATTTTTTGTAATTTTTATAATTTTTGTAATTTTTGTTATTTTTGTAATTTTTGTAATTTTTGTAATTTTTGTAATTTCCTAATATTGCAGAAATGACTAAATATCTGTTTAGTTTGCTAAAACCAAAATTTATATTTACCGAAAATGAAGAAGAAGTGAAATTATTTGTTAATATTGCAAATGAAGAGAATTTAAATGTAAAAATAATAACATTTACCAAAATATTGGGTTATTATTATCTTGATGATATTCTTAATGAAATGAATTCTAATGAAGTGATAAAATTTACTTCTTTACCACCATTAAATTCAAATGATGATTGCATTTTGCCATTAACATCCGGTACAACTGGTGATTCAAAAATTCTTTCTCATTCATATGAGAGTATTATGAAAGGTCTTTTAATTCACAATAGCAATAAAGAAGATAAAAAAAATGACAAAATATCACTTGTTTATTTTCCACTTTATTGGCTAATTGCCCTTAGGGTAATGTTGGTTGATATTTTGAATTTTACAACAAGAATTATTGTCAATGAAACAAGTTACGATTTACATGAAGCATTTCAATTAATTCAAAAATACAAGGTATTTCACAAAATTATTAAATTATTAAATTTTTTTTTTTAATAAAAATTAATTATTAAATATTTAAATGAAAAATAATAATTTTTATAAAAATTGATTAAAATTAAAAAAAAAATAAAGAAAATTATTTCCCTAGGTTACAAATGTGCGATTTTCTCTTGGTATGATATATCGTATATTCAAGTGGAATGAAATAGAAACATATGATACATCATCGATAAAAACGATAACATTTAATGGCGTTAAATTGCCATTGGAAATTATTAATTTTTTAATGAAAATTGCAAAAAATGGTGTTGTAGAGCAAACATATGGTAAATTTTTGGAAAAAATTACAATTTTCTCCTCTATTAGTAAAAAAAAACAAACTATTTTTATTCAAATTTTTAATTTGAATAAAAATATATTCTAAATTAATTTTGGTTAAATTAAATTAATTATTATCTAAATTAATTATTAATATTAATTTTGTATTTTCTAAATTAATTATTAATAATAATTTTGTATTTTCTAAATTAATTATTAATATTAATTAATATTTTCTAAATTAATTAATAATTAATAATTAATAATTAATAATTACAGAAATATAATTACAGGTGCAACTGAAATGACAATTCCCATGTGTCGTGGAATAATGAATAAAATAAATTTAAATTCCTGTGGTTATTTATATCCAAATATGTCAATGAAAATAATTGATATTAAATCAGGTGAAATATTAGGACCAAACAAATCAGGTGAAATTTGCTTTAAATCCCAATATTTAATGAAGGGCTATTATAAAAATCCAACAGCAACTAAAAATGCTATTGATTCTGAAGGTATTTATTTTTCTATTACATTTATAAAAAAAAAATTATTCTTTTATTTAAAAAAATTTAATTGAAATAAAATTACAAAAAAAAAGAAAATTTTTTTTCTCATCAGGATGGTATCATACTGGAGATTTGGGATATTTTGAAGAATCTGGATTGGTTTTTGTTCTTGGAAGAGTCAAAAATAGTACAATATTACCAAATGGAAAAATTATACCACTCTGGCAAATTGAACGTACTTTACTTTTAAATTCTGAAGTAATAGACGCTGTTGTATTATCATCGAATGAAAATTTTGATTCATTAAAATTTTATGCATTTGTTGTACTTCTTTCTAATTCGAAGGTGAAAAATTTTATTAATTTTTTTTTCAGTATTTTATAATTATTTTTTTTTTATTATTATTGTATTTTATAATTGATTAAACTAATTATTTATTTAAAATTTTAAATACATAATTAGTTTAAAGAAATTAAATTTATTTATTAAATTTATTTAAAGAAATATAAAAAAACATAATAATTTTTCTAATTCTTGATAGATTACAGAAAAAGAGCTGAGTGCAATTGCAAATGATTTTACTGATATTGAATTTCCAATTATTGTGAAAATAATGGACACACTACCACTAACGTCCAGTGGAAAAGTGAAATTGAATAAATTAAGAAACAGGATAGTATAAAAATTTATTTAAAACATTTTTTTTCTATACAAAAAAAATTGACTATTTTTTAATAAATTAAAATTCAAAATTATTGTCCAACTTCAATTATTAAATTGATCGAATTTGATAAAAATTGCTTACCTGAGGGTTTCTCATTTTTTGCTTTTCTCTTGAATCGCTGATTACAAATAAATTTTCAAATTCAATTCAATTCAATTCAATTCAATTTCAATTCAAAATTTTCAATTTTTCAACTTTTATAATTCAATTTTTATATTTTCCTTTTTGAGTAAATTGAATAAAAAAAAAAAAAAATTAATTACACAATTATTTTTATTGATACGTTATATAAGTGACTTGATGATGATTATTATTATTAGAACTAGAATGAGTGGAAATTATAGTTGGAAGATATTGATTATTTTTCGATCTAATTACAGATGAACTATCAATTCTGCTTGATCTTGCTTCTTGATGTAAATTTGTATTTTTATTGAAAAATATTTGTGTATTTTGTATTAATGGAACAATTTGTTGTGATTGTATTTCCAAATTTTGTGAATTTTCATTATTATTATTATTATTATCCAAAAGAATTTCATCCGTTCCACGTGTATAATATTCATGATCAAAATAAACTTTTTTACTTGCATTTGGATTTTTCAATGGGAAATAAGGTGGAAATAATGGTCTATATCCACCAAGAAGTTCAAGATTTGAATTTTCTTTAACATTATTGGAAATTCTGAAAATAAAACAACAAATAATAATAAATTAAAAAAAAAATTTTTAACAAAATAATATAATCAAAAAAAAAAAAAAATATAAATTACTAAAAAAAATAATTGAAATTATTTTTTTTTATATAAAATCAAAATAATTAAATTATACCTAGCTGTTAAAATGCTTGTCTCTGGTTTTTGATTTCTTGCACCATGTAGTATAATACTTTCCAGAAATTGATGAGGAGCATTAAATTGATTATCCGATGGATCAACAGCCTCCAAAAGAATAACGGAAACTCCGACAATAAAAATAACTAATTCCAGCTTAAAGTTATTAGCAGTCTGTAAAAATAAATAAAAAAAAAACGATATTATAAATCACACTCAACGTTAATTTTCAAAAAAAAAATCAATTTTCAATTATTACAAAATTTTATCTATATATATGACTTTCTCTGAAATACATAATATCATATAATTAAATTAACAATATAAAAGAAAGTGAAAATAGAAAAAAAAAATATATAACAAAAATAAATATATAATTGAATCTCAAATTGCATTAATATGCTTTTAGATGTTTTTCATCAAAACATTAATTTATTACATCATTAAAAAAAAATATATTGAAAAAATTTTATTTATCCCCATATTAATTATATTAATAATAATAATATAATAATAATATTAATTATATTTTACAAATAAAAAGAAAATAGATCCTATAAATAAATTTTTTATCGGTATTTTTTATTTATTTAAAAAATTAATGTACTGTAAAAGTAATTATTATTTATTTCCTTTAAAAAAAAAATTTTAATGCAATCTAATTTTTCAATGCTAAATTATTTTATATAAAAATAATTAATTATTATTATTATTTATAAATTTATCTACGAACCATTATAAATATTGATTTCAATAATCCTGGAATGCCTGAAAATTATACACATTTGTAAGAAAATTTATTTTATTTGTTTATATAAAAATAAATTTTGATAAATCGAGCAGACTGACTTCTTTTCGATAGGTATAAATCTGACTAAATACTAAATACTAAATACGAAAAATTTATACCTACCAAGTGGCCTCACATTCACATTGGAATAGATTTTTGATGCTGCGAACGGTATTTTTGTAAGATATAATACACGTGTGAACTTTCAAGGTCGATAAAATATTCATATATATATATATATATATATATATATATATACACCTATATGTTATATAAAAAAAATTAATTTTTTTATTCATATTTTATTTCAAAAAAAAAAAATGAACAGGATGTAAAAACCCTTAGAATTTAATACACAAGTTTAATAAAATTTATATAAACTATAAAAACTTTTTTTTTTTTTTTTATTACTTACGATGCGAAGGTTGCATTAAATAACAATATAGTTAATGTTGGTTAATATAAAAAAAACAATATATTTCGAAAATATTTTTTTTATCATTTTAAATATATTTTTTATTAATTAATTATTAAAAAAAATAATTTCACAATTTTATTTTACAATGAAATCGAAAAAAATGCACCAAAAAGTAAGTTTAATAAATAATTTTATATATTTTAACCTTATCATAAGTGACAGTAAAATTAATTAATATATATTAACAAAAAAAATAATCTTTAATCATAAAAAAATTTAAAAATAAATAATTCATTTTTTCATAAACATTACCAAATTATTATTATTATTATTAAATTTACGAAATTAAATTATATAACCATTAATTAATTATGAAATTAAAATCCATTAATTAAAATTCAATTAATAAAATTAATATATTTTATACTAATGTTTATTGAGAAACTATATATTTCTATATAGTCACTATGACACAATAGTTATAATATATATCGTAAAATAATATTTATGAATTCCGAAATAAAAATAAAATTAATTTAAAATTTTTCATATAATAAAATTTAAGCCATCTGAAATTCGTATGGAAATTCAATTGGTTAAAAAAATAAATGAAAAAAATAAGGCGAAGGTTTTGGAAAAAAGGGAAAGGAAAAATCTTGAAATTGAAGAGAGAAAGAAAAATTTCAAAAGGGAACAACTCAAACGAGAAATTAAATTGGGATCACAAAATGCAATTCAACTTCAAAATTCATGGCGTGAAATAATGATGAAAATTAAGATGCCAAATATTAAAGAAAATGTTGAAATTGCTTGTCACACTTTCAATAGAGTCCTTGACTTTAAAGATTATAGGCAAAATGAATTTTTATTTTTTTTTTATTTATCATTAAAATTAGAATTACTATTAATTTTTTTTTTTATTTTATATTGAAAAAATAGTATTAGTTTTTTATTGGACGCAATTGATAATGCTGAGGAACAATATCAAATGAATGAAAGAGATCATATTGAAAAAATTGATGAATTTTTGAAAATTCAACAAATTAGATTAAAATCATTGGAATCAAATTATCAAATAAATTTGGAAAAATTGATCAATGAATTTAAAATAGAAAGAGATAAAATTAATTATGAAAATGAAGAAGAAACAATTTATTTACAAACAACAATATTTGCCATGAATCAAAAATTTGAAGAATCTTTGAATAATGTGAAAACCACTGTATTTGGTATATTAAACTGAAAACTTGAATTTTAAAATAATTTTTAATATTTATATATTATATTTTTTGATCATAGGAAAATTATTTTTTTTTTCCTTCACAGGAAAAGTCGAGTCCCAAGCAAGTGATTTTCGAGATATTCGAAAAATGGAAGAAGGATTTAAAATTAAAAACATTAAAGATTCATGGCAAGAACTTCAGAATGTTTTTGCCGACTATGAATCGAGTTAGTAAAAAAAAAAAATTTCATAAATATTTGAATCAGAATATTTTTTTTTTAAATGTAATATCTATACATAGAAACAAAAGAACGTAGAAATGCTTATGAGAATCTAAAAACAAAGGATCAATTTGAAAGAAACATTATTGCAAATCAAGTTGATCAAACAGCGTTTGCTTTTGAAGAAATTCGAAAATTGAAAAAGAAAATATCAAATGTAAAATTAACAAATGAAGAACCAATCAACGATATTATTAAACAACGTAATTTTTTTCAAAAATCTTACTGGATAGTAAAAAATAGATTTTTGAATGGTAAATTATTATTCTATTAAATTAAATCCATTTTATAAAAAATTAATTGAAATTCTCTTCAAAAATTTTTAATGAAATAATAAAAATCTTTCTCTGCTTTTTGCAGAACAAATGACTGATAAAAAACTATTAAAAATAATGACAATAGAATATAATAAAACTATTCACCATTTGAATAAACTCGTTAAGAAATTGGAAAATATTTTAATCGTAATGCAAATTTGCCAAAAATATGAAACAGAAAATGAAAAAATTATTCCTATTGAAAGTATAATTCAAGAAAGAAATAAAATTACTATTTTAAATTGGACTCGAGGTGTTGAGGTTTAGAAAATTTTTTTAAATAAATTTTAGTGTATAAATTAAAATCTAAAAATTAATTTTTTTCCAAGGAACTTCAACTTATGGAAAATTTTTGGAAACGCGTTGGATCTGCAGAAACAATAATGAACGAATTAAAACACGAACGTGAAATTCTAATAGAAGAATCAAATTATTTACGTCAATGTTTAAAAAACTATATTTCACAGGAAGAATTCGTATTAAAGAAAAAAAGTGAAATAAGCTATTAATTAAAAAAAAAACGTAATAAATCAAATTCAATTTTATCATCATAAATTGTATCATGTATTTCAAAAAACTGTACAGGTATAAAACCATAATTTTATATGAGTACTACACGTGTAGTAAAAATGTTGTTTTTTTTTATTTCGTTGACAAAAAATGCACATTTAATCTCACGTACATCGGTAAATAAATTATTTTTAATAATTAATTTTAAAAATGTCAACAATTAAAATACCTTCTCACACTTTTTTTTTTTTGTTTGAGAAAATTGTTTAAAAAATTTTGGTTTTGACGGAAACAATCAAGTTTTACATAATATATTTATATGTAATAATTCGGAATCAAAATGAGATCCAAAGCAGTCTTTTGAATTTTTTTTTTAAAGATCAGATTTAATAAATCTGAACAAAATTAAATTAATTAAATATTATTTTAATTAATTGCATTAGTTTAGTGCCTTAAGTGAAAAATATGTAAAAAGAAGTGATTATAATTTTATTTAAGGAAAAAAAAAAAAATATTTCTATTGCATTCACAATGAATTTATAATTTAAAAATCACTATTACTCTCTTTATGTACAAAAACGGGACGAGAAACGTTTTCTTATTTTTTTTTTTTTTGTTTTTAAAAAAGCAGTTTTAACTGCTTACTCGTCCTGAAATTTTTTCAAACTTTGCAAACTTAAAATCAGCGATTTTGCTTCTGACTGTGAGCAATTTGTGAAAGTAATTTACTTCCAGCCAAAAACGTCACAATTCCAAGGCCAAGAAGATACCTCAAGGTCACAAACATATTCAATTTTAACCAAAATACTCCAAAAAGTACAAAAATACCTGAAATAAAAAAAAATATATATATTTGTAAAATTTTCAATAAATTTTAATATTAAAAAAAAAATGTTAATTAATTAAATTTGTCGTGAATATCGGGCTGCAAATGCAACAAATGAAAAAGTTACATCTGTGAAAAATTCAACAATTTACTATTTGCTCAATTGAAAACAAAACAAATTACTAAAATCATTCGTCTGTCAAGCATCGAGCACTGTTATTTAAATTTTCATAATTATTATAAAAATATGACAAAAAATTACCTCCTAGGCCAACGTGGAAACCAATAGCGCTCAAAGAAAATGGGAAATTAGAAATATTTATTCCCAATTTTGCCCAAAGAATGAATAACAATAAAACTGGAGCTAAACAAAGTCCACTAAAAAGATTCGAAACAAATGCTGGTGGTCTTTTATCTGGTTCTCGGAACATGTGCTGTAAATTAAATTTTTAATTATCATAAAACTCATGAAACTGAAATATATTTAATTAAATTAAAAAAAAAAAAAACTTATCGGTCAAACTTTTTTTATCTTAAAAAAAAATATTTTTAACAAGATTCAAAATTAAGAAAGACCAATTATTTTACCAATGGTATGGAAGTGATGGAAACATGAAAAACTTTCTACCACTAACGATCATTGGATATTGAGAGAAAATTAAATTTTTGTCTTTACCTTAATTTCAGGCTTTAGTTGATACATGTTTTGTTTTTCTTTATAAGCTGACGATTTTTCGGCAATTTCAGCAGCACTTGGTTCTGGAAATTTCAAATTAACAGTCCCCAAATTCCATTGGAAAGAATTACTTAAAACAGCATCACCAATTACTAATTCAACATTATAATCTCCACTTTGATGACCAAAATTTTTAGCAGCAGTTCCCAAAGGCTAAAACAAATTTAATTTATTTTTTATTTCTATTGAAATTTACTTTTTTTTTTTTTTTTTTAATTTCTAAATTTTACTCACCATATCAAATTTATAAACATGTGATGCATCAGGTTCGGCGACAAAAATTATTTCATTTGTGAGTTTCTCTTTTCCAGATTGTGGTAAAGATGATAAGCGAACAAAAGCCTGATGAACTCGCATTGCTTTCTTAGTTAGAGAATCCTTTAATAAAAATCTCATCACAAGTTTCTGTTGTGAATCAGCTTCGATTTTGTTTTTCATTTTTTCCGAATAGGGTACTCTATAATTTGTTTATTCGTACTTTACTAATGGAAACTTTATAACTTGTAGTAAAAATTAAATTATTTTGTATTTATATTTTCAATATTTAATTACCTAACAAGTTTTGGCTGCATCGTTTGATCAGCATCTGCAGTTCCAATTTCCAAATAATCAACAGCAACTTCCGATAATACTTTAACGGTTACTGTATTCGAAATTGAACCAGCCGAAATTGATAACTTGTAAAATCCACGTTCAGGTTTCACATCCATCATGTTCATTGTGAATAAAGTTCTATTTAGAAAAAAAAAAATAATATTTACTATAATAATAATACTGAATATTGAGAATTAAAAATAATTCAATAAATTTTGTTTGATGAACATTTTTTATATCATCCTGAGACAATAAAAAAAAAACTTCAACAATTTAATATACCCCAAGCGTATAACTAGTATCAAAAAAATTATTGATCCAGCAAAAAATTGGGGTTAAAAAAATTGTTTTTTTTTCTATAATTTTTGAAACTCACTTGTCCGTGGAATCCACGAGGAAATTCTTTTTACTAAAAACAACAACATCGTCTCCGACTCGCGTTGCAGAATTTGCAACAACAGTTGGTGTTGATGACAATGGTTTACCTAAAATATTGCAAACCTTTACACGAATTAATGGTTGTTTTGTTGAAACAACATTGCCACCTTCAACAAGTGCAATACAAATTGGTTTTTCATATTCATTTGTGGCAAGAATATCCAATGCCGAAAGAAGTGAAACAACACCTTTTGGAGTTTGAACTGAACGACGTGATAAAAGATAATTGGTAAACTTCACAGTTTGTTGAGAATTTAAAGGTAGTTTCTTTTTCAAGGTTGAGGAAAGTTTGAAGATTCCGTTTACAATGAGACCTATAAATTAAATATTACAATGAGAAATGCTCAAATAATTTTTTGTTTTTTAATTCGTAATATTTTAAATATCAACTTACTAGTAACGGTAAGTCCACCTTCGAATTGTAAAAAGCGACCATTAACTTGATCGGCTTGAACAATTGTATCTTCAATTTTTTCAAAAGCAAAAGCTCCAGCCGTTCCAAGATCGGCGGCAATTTTAAAAGCGTAACCAACACTACAAAAGAAAAGAATTTTCATTTATTACAAATGTTTTTTCAATTTTATTAAAAACTATAAACTATGTTTAAAAAAAATGTTAAATAAAAAAATTAAACTTACTTTAGCAAACTATCGTCTTTTTTCAAAGAGGCCTGTACACTTTTTACAATTTTTGTGGTAACAGCATCGGACAATTTTTGTGAAAGAGAAATCAGTGAATGGATTGCATAATGTAATTCTAAAATTGTAGAACTATCTTTCTCAATAACTGTTGTTAATACCTGCCAAAAAAAAATCAACAATTTACAAATTTTTCTTCATAAATATTTATTTATATTTTTCATATAAAATGAATTGTCAGTCAAGAAAAGTTTCTTCAAAGTTCTTACAGTAGAACGAAAGTTGTAAAAACATCATTTTAATAAAATAAATAAAATCAATTATGTAAAATGTACAAATAATAGAATTTTAATTTAATACCTTTGTTATTGCAGCAACTGGCAATGCTTGACAGACTTTCAATGTTTTCCAAGTTGTCGTTATGTAATAAGCATTTTCAGGTGTCAGACTACTTCCATCACCAGCAGATTGTAGCAAAAATTTACATATTTCCTTTGTTTTTTGAAAAAAATATAAAACAAATTAATAACTTACAAATTATAAGATACAGTAAATAGATAATAATAAATTAAGTAATCAGTAAGACTAATCAAAGCTTCACTGAATTTCAGCAATTGAGCAGTTTTTCATCATTAAATTTTTAAAATTTTTGATAAAAAATAAAAAAAATTTGTTTACTAAAAATTTGAAATTTTTTCTTACAGCTGTTTTTGAAATAGCGTCTCCAATTAAATTGTAACCCAAAACGGCATAATGAACAGCAGAAACGTCATTAAGTTTAAAACCAGGCTCGATCACTTTCTTTAAGCGAATTCGATCCGAATCAGACAAATAAGAACTCGTTGAAGACGATGTTTCAGCGATTACTGATCCAAAGATCAGTACAATGATCGACAAAGAATATAAATCTAAAAAAAAAAAAGATTTTAAATTCAATTAATATTACAAAAACAATATTAGAAAATTCCTCTAAACTAACGGTTTTTAAAACAATAAATTTAAGTAAATAAAATTAATTTAAGAACCACTTAGCCACGCGGAGAATACGTCATCAATATATAATTTCAATTATTCTTCAATTAAAATATAAAAATAAATACATTCATTCATTCAATTTTACAATAAAATTAATAATTAACAAATATGACTTCCTAATTTATAAAAAAAAAAAAAAACATTATTTTACAACAAAATGAAAATTTAGGTTATAATTAATCCCTTTTTGTTTCTGCAAGAACCATGAGTTGTTGGGAATCATTTTGTGTAGATTATTTTTTTTATAGAAAATAATTACAATCTTTAATATAATTTCAAGTAAATAGTACTCACGAATCTTCATTTTTCCAAGGAAAATTGAATACACGCCGGCCGCCACGTCGGCCCCAGTAACAAAATGGCTCTACGAATACTTCTTCTTTCTCCATTGCGCGTGTCGTGAAAAATGGCAGGCTTTGTTCTACCGGAAATCGCTGGCACCTATATTTATGACGATCACGCCACCTAACACTATGTAAACAAATTATATTTTCAATTTTCATTTCCCGCCACTTTTTACAACCAATCAGAATATAATGTTTCCGGAAATACATCAATAGCTCCACTCTGATTTGTTGATAGACAAAAAAATTTCTAATAGATGTCGCTTCAAATTTTGGTGGAAAAATTAAAAATCATTTCTAATAAAACATTATTCAATCATTGTGTTATAAATACGTACAACAATAGATTATGTAATTTTATTTAATTCATCTTTAATAGTAAATTAAAAGTAGTGTATACAATAAAAATAATTTAAAAAATTACATGTAAATTGCCTTTATGTTCGAACACTACGCATGCGCAATATTTTCTAACCTTTAAATATAGACAGTTCAATTAAAATTGTCATTATGTTCATAATAATTCATTGTCTTTCAAATAATTCTTCATCTTTCTAGAAAGAAATAGAAAATAATTATAATACAGTGCAATTTGGACTTTGTGTCTTATTATCATCGAAACTATTCTAAAATCAAGTTTTTATTTTCAAAACATATTTTTAAACATAACATTATATTTGTAAAAGAATTCTTCCAAAAAGAAAATAAATTTATTTACAATAGATATTTTTAATCGATGATATTTTAAAAAAACAACAATTTGTAAATATGACTGAAATTTCTGAAGAATCAAATGTACTTCATGTGGATGATGATTTGGAATATGAACCATCATTGAAAAATGTTATTGAACAAAGATCCCTTAAATGGATTTTTGTTGGTGGAAAAGGTGGTGTTGGAAAAACAACCTGCAGGTATTATAAACGTGGCATATAATTTTTTTTTATTTTTCAAAAAAAAATTCTAATAATTTTTCCAATTTGCTATTTTTAATAATAAATTTTTTTAATTAAAAACTTGATTTCTTATTTGAATATTTTATATTGCAGTTGTTCTTTGGCTGTACAATTATCGAAATCTCGCGATAATGTTCTTATTATTTCAACTGATCCAGCACACAATATTTCTGACGCATTCGATCAAAAATTCAGTAAAGTACCAACATTAGTACGAGGTTTTGAAAATTTATTTGCAATGGAAATTGATCCAAATGTTGGTGTTAATGAATTACCGGATGAATATTTTGAAAATGAAATGGGTGGTTTGTAATTTAGATTTTTTTTTTTTAAAAAATATAATTTTGTACTAAAATTAAATTTTTGCAATTATTTTTTTTAAGGTGCCGGAGGTGGTGAAGCAATGCGTTTAAGTAGAAGTGTAATACAAGATATTGTTGGATCATTTCCCGGAATAGACGAGGCAATGAGTTATGCGGAAGTAATGAAGTAAGTGATGAATTTATTTGCTTTATAAAAAGAAATTTAAAAAAAAAAAATTTTTTTTTTGCAGATTAGTGAAGGGTATGAATTTTTCCGTTGTGGTATTTGACACTGCTCCAACAGGTCACACTCTAAGGTTATTATCATTTCCACAAGTTGTTGAGAAAGGTTTAGGGAAATTAATGCGTCTCAGAATGAAAATTAGCCCATTTATTTCGCAGGTAAAAAATTTATTTACAATTTTTTTTTAGAAATTATTCGAATTTACAATTATTAATTGCAATTTGAATTTTTTTTTTTTTAGATTAGTTCCTTATTGGGAATGTCAGATTTTAATATAGACACATTTTCACAAAAAATGGAAGAAATGTTATCAATTATTCGACAAGTTAATGAACAATTTAAAGATCCTGAACAAACAACATTTGTTTGTGTTTGTATAGCAGAATTTTTATCACTTTATGAAACAGAAAGGCTGGTTCAGGAATTAACAAAATGTGGAATCGATACACACAACATTATTGTTAATCAATTATTATTTTTAAAAGAAGGTGAAGTGCCTTGTAGATTGTGTCGTTCAAGGCGTAAAATTCAGGACAAATATTTAGATCAGGTAATGAATTTATATATTTTGAATTCATCGAGTAAAATTTTTATATACGTATTTAATGTCTAATTTTCAATTATTTTTTTTCAAGATCATGGATCTTTATGAAGACTTTCACGTCACAAAATTACCTCTACTTGAAAAAGAAGTGCGTGGAGTACAACAAGTTAAAGAATTTTCAGAAAATCTACTCACGCCTTATAAACCGTAATTTTAAAATACAAATTCTTCGAATATTATCCTTTTTTTCCTTTTATATTGCATAATATCTGCTATTTTATATATTTTAATACAAAAAAAAAATGTTACAAGACTTAACAAAAATTTTCTCCATTTTACGTAATTCTTTTTTTGGTAATTTAAATTAGGGTTGTATTTATTAATAAAAATTTCTTAGTCATTCATATTTTTCTTATAAATATAAATTTTTCAAAACTTTCCCTCAATAAGTTTTCTTTTTTTTTTTACAATTTCTTCAAAAATCGTTATTAATTTTTCAAAGATTTTTTCCGACATTTTCAATTGGTAATTTTTTTTTTGAAGAATCTAAAAATGTATTAAATTCTCTTGTTAAAGGATTATATGAAAGAAAGATTATTTTAATCAATGACCGTAGAGTAAAATAACAAAAAAATATGAAAAAGTGGATTGAACTTTGGCGCATTGGGATTTCGTTTCATGCGCAACATTATTTTCCAGTTTATATTCAACCCTTCAGTTCACGAGGTTGGAATTGTATAAGGGTTGAAAAACGTGTGTCATGTAACTTAAAGAAAATTCACAAAAATCTAATTAAAAATATGAAATTAGGTGTGAAAATTTCCTAGAAAAAAAAAGAGAAGAGAATAATAAAATGCGATTCCGATTCGCAAGAGGAATATTAATTTTAATATTATTGGGCAATATAATAGTTTGGCATAAAATTTGGAGGTTATTCACTGTACAAAATAATAAATTACAATTAAAAGAAATTAGTTTAGTTGGTGATAATCAACAAAAATTTCATCGACGTCTCGCTCGTCTTGTAACTGTTGTTATAAGACAATTTGAAACATTTGAAAATGATGTAGCCGCAACAGTGGAATCAATTTTAAATTCATTTCCAATTATACAAATTTTAATTGTATGCGATGAATTACCCTATCCGCCACTTGAATTAAATTTATCAAATAGCACATCGCAAAATGTGAGACTTATTAATTTACAACCAGGATTTAATAAATCATATGACGAACGAAATCCATTGTTTTATGTACGTACAAAATTTATTCTTATTGTTCCTGATGCCACCAGGATATCAAGTAAACACACGTTACAGGTATGTATTTTAGAGTAAGGATTTCTTTTATAATTTTGAAAATATTGTTTCTTTTTTTTTTTTTAAAGGATATGATTAATCATGTTACAAAAGTGGGAACGACAAGCGTTGCTGTTGGTAAAAATTCTTTAACATGTTTAAATATGGGATTAAAAATTAAAGAATGGAGTTTACGTATCACAAATATTGGTGGTACAATATGCGATGCTGTGATTGGAAGGCATGTTATAATGTTAGAGACTTCGTTATTAAAAAAATTATCTGATCCATTCATGTTGCCGTTCACCGATTCGCTTTATTTGCAAACAAGGGCCATTGGATTTAAGGTAATTTAAAAAAAAATTCATTTTTCAAAATGTAATATTTTTTTGAATTTAAAGAAACTTTTTTTTTCAGGTAAATATTTTGAGAAAACATCGCTTTAATGAGGGAAGACCATTGTATCGTAATCAACAGACACAATGGAAAATACAACAATTACATCGCACAAGAGAACGTGGAATGTTGGAAAAATTTGGTATTAAAAAAGTTATACGACCATCAAGTATCATTGAATGGTATGGATGCTCAAGGGAAACTGTACGTTGTTTTGGCTCAGTTGTTAATGGAGTACCATCATATATTTATCAAAATAGATATACACCACCGTGTTGTCTCGCGAGTTTAAGAAAAGTTGCCTATCATGTTTTCGATAAACTCGAAGAAGTTGGAATTCGTTTTTGGTTAGAGGGCAATTCATTATTGGGCGCAATGAGAAATGGTGATATATTACCGTGGCATCATGAAATTGAAATTGGAATTAATCGTGATGATCTTGGTAGATCGCCATGGTTAATGAAAGCACAAAATAAGCCAATTATTGATAATCATGGTTTTGTTTGGGAGAAAGCGACTGAGGGTGAATTTTTTAAAATACAATATTCAAAAATTAATCGTTTACATGTTAATTTATTGCCATTTTATTCAAATAATGGAACAATGATAAGAGACGCATGGTTTTTAAAAAATCGCGATTTTCCCGAACAATTTCTTCATCCAATGTCAACAATTGATTTTGCTGGTCGTCAAGTTCCTAGTCCAAATAATATACGTGATTTCTTAGAAATTAAATATTACAAAGGGGTAATAGAAAATCCAGAGATACCTGGCAAGATATCTTTGGAGTAAAATAAAATTAGTAGTCTTCCAAATGAAAAAGAAAAAAAAAATACTTCGTATTATCTGTTTCAGTCAGACTGATTCTTGATCAAATGTGATATTTCAAGGGATTTATATTATAGAAATAGGTAATATAATTTTTTTTAAATTGTTTATTTTTTTAGTTACGATTTTGTAACTATTTTTTTATATTTCGGAGGATTTTTTAATAATTAATAAAACATGTTTATTTTTAATTTTTTTTATTTTAAAATAAACATTTTTAATAAAATTAAAGAATCATGATTGTTCTGACAAATTTTGCTTGATTCGAAAAATATAATAGCTAAAGAGCATGCATCAAATACACACTTTACTTTATTATTATTATTAAATAAAAAAACAAAACTTAGTTTAGTAAAAATTTTCAAAATATATAATAACTTTTTTTTTAATTTCTTTTTAAAATACACATAGATATTAAATCAAAAATACGATTTCTTAATTAAAATAAACTGAGACATACACTTAGGGCGAAAAAAAAACATTTTTTTTCAATAAAAAAGAAATTATTAAATTAAATTTGATAAAATAATTTTTTCTATGACAATTTTTTTATAAAATGCCTAAGGATTTATTTTGCAATAAAAATTAATCATTAATTTAAAAAAGAAAATAATGAACGTTTTTATAAATTACACAATTTTACCAAAAGTTCAACAAAATTAATAATTTTATAGTTGAACAACAAATTGAAGTCAATATTCAATAATATAAGATAGTCAATTTTTTTTATTATATATAAATATTGTAACTATTCGTGAATACAGTAAAAAAAAATTTATAAACGTAAAGATAAGCCCATAAAATGTGTAATCTCAGTAAAGTCCATAATTCATTTAAATGACGATAGATATAAACTATTTTTAACTTTAAAAAAAAAGCGCTTTCTTAAATAATCGATTATTCTCTGCCTGCGGTGAGAATTGATTTGATACATTATAAGTAATGTATTGTAGAGTGTATGAATGAATACGAAGATAAATATTTAAATATTAAATATATATATATATGTATATATACCTATATACATTGTTTCATTTTCATATGTATTGATAGGTTGTTATTGTTGAATAAAAAATTTAGTCTCTTTCAGTAAAAAAAAAAAAATCGAATAATTAATTTATTAATAATAAATAAATCCGTGAATTTTTATAATTTGCGAATTTATTTTTTTTAATATAAATCGCCCAATGTACCCTTTTTTTAAATCTTTAAATTATATTGTTTTTTCTAAAAAAAAAGAAAAATTGTTACTGTTTTGGACTTCTTACATCTTTTGGAGATGTCAACGTTGTGGGTTCCCTAACAAAACTTAATAATCTTTCTAATTTCATTGTTTCTAGTTCAGCACTTGATAAATGTGATTGTTTCTTTGTTGGTTTCACTTTTATTCTTAAATTTGGAGATAATTTTAACGTATGTACAGTGCCCCTATATTAAAACAAATATAAGTCTTGTACTTAATTTAATAAAATTTAATTATTAAAATTTACTGAATATTTAAAAATAATTTTCTTTTCATATTAATATAAAATCATAGAATAAAAATAATATTCAAATTTATCAATAAAATGAATTATTTTTTTTTTTTTGGAAACTTACTTATCATCACCAACTATAATGAAAGGTAGAGAGTTATTGAATGCCAATCTTGTTAGTTTATTCTTCTTTTTACTGACAATGGCCTGTGAGCAAATTGGACGATATTTATTAACATTTAAATCAAATACCGTGACTTTACCATCATTTGAAACACAAGCAAATACTGTGGAACTATAAGGAGCCCATTGTACATCACCAATTGGTACTCCAAGATCAAACATAAAAAGTGGTTCTCTGAAAAATAATTTCAAAAATTTTTCCTTTCAAAAAAAAAAATTAAAAATTATTTTACTATTGTATTAAAATTTATCTTACGGTCGATCATCTTCCCAAATTTTTATTCTCCAATCACCCGAGCAACTTGCAAATATATTCGAATTATATTTATTAAAAGCAATTTTATAAATAGGCATATTATGAGCTTCTTCATAAGTTCTCATGTAAACGCTATTATAAGCAGTGTTACATTTGTAAATTGTTCCTTCTTCAGAGCCAACGAGAAAAATATTTTGATCTTTTGGATGAAATGCTATACACGTTCCACAGCCTATAACAAAAAACAAATTTAAATTATAACACATATTTTGCAAAATTTATATTAAATTCATAATAATTTTTTAATTACAATACATCTGTTGCTGTTTAAAAATAAAATTTATTTAAATTAAAATTTTCATTTTCCCATAAAGAAACTTACTTTTTAATGTAACTATTGTACCGTCAGGTCCTGTTATTGGTGACGTATCGAGAAAAAGTGTCATTATTGTCGTAAAGCCAAGATCATTTTGAAGTAATACCCAATAATTAATTTTCCCATCAATGCTAATACTGTAAAAAGCGAGATTTCCCTCTTCTGTATCTGGGGCCCAACAAATCTAACAATAAACATAAATATTTCAAATTATTAAAAAAAGGAACATTTATCTAAATTAAAAATCAACAAATAAAATTAAAAAAAAAAAAACAACTGACCTGCCAAACGATTCCAGCGTGTTTTTGATTGACATCATTACTCTTATATTGTGGTGCAGAAGATGGTAAAATGACATTATAAACCGAAACTGCTCCATCCATAGTGCCTTTAATGTCGTAAAAAATATAGTAAATTAAAAAATTTTTAATTAAAATTTATTTAAAGATAAATTTACCTATAACTAAAAGATGAGGATGCTGTATATTAAAATCTAAACACATAACAGGTGATTCTGTTAGACAAATCCATTCTGGATATGAAGGATTCTTCAAACTGAATAAACAAACTGCTCCCATTGTTATCGAACTATCGAAACACACTGTAATGAAAAAAAAAAAATGCTCTTACGAATTTTTAATCAAAAACATTTGTCACTTTTTAAATTATAAGTAGACAATTATTTATTAATTATATAAAAACTAAATAAATTATTATTTCTCATTTAATTTCAAAAAATATTCAAATTCACATAAATTGAAAATAAAAAAAAAATTGATTTAGAAATTTTTTTTTAAATTTTAATTTTAGAAAAAAATTAATTTACTTGTTCCAAATGAAACGGCAAATAAATCGTAATATCTACTGTTAAAACATAAATCTGTGACATCATGTTTTTTTGTCTTTTCATAATTAAATTTCCACAATGGTAACAAAGAGCCTTCTCCATCTTTAAATTCATCACTCGGATCATCCCAGTATCTGTAATCTATTAAATTTTCTTTTTAAATTTTCTCTTATTTTAAAAGAAAATTAATTTTAATTTAAAATTTTTCATACCCTGCAATATTTCATTATAAATATTCTGATTCACCATTCGCTCCAATGTTTTGGCAGATTGTAGCATTCTATTTGTTACAGCCACAGCTTCCACTTGTGATTGTTTTTTTAATTCTTCTTTTTTAGCCTGTGGTAAAGGTACTTTTTTATCTTTCTCCTTTTCCTTTTGCTGTTGTTCATAGTCTTCCTAAAAAAAAAACATTTATTTAAAAAAAATGTTAAAAATTACAATATAAATTATATATTTATTTAATTTTTTTATAAATTTGTTATTTAATAATTTTTGCTTCCTCGTGGAAGAAATTGAAAATTGATCCTGATCAATTGTCCGGATGTATGTAAGTATGTGTGTGTTTATGTGAGTGTGTGTGTATGGATCCCTTTTTTGTTTAGAAGATAACTTTAACAGGTTTTAATGGACTTAGATAAAATTTAGTAGGCTCATTTATCATATTAATATCTCAAATCTGAACAAAGGATTTTGAAAAATATTCAAAACAAAAAAAATTTTATGGTCTTTTTTCCAAAAATTTTTTTTTAATTGAAAAAATTTTTAAATAGAAAAATCGTCTGCCTAAGAAAAATTGAATTTTTTCGGTAAGGTTTTTATGCTTTTCGATGCGTTTTTGGTCATAAAAAGGGTCTGCCTCTACTCGGATCTGGGTGTCAATTTTTTTCTACACTTTTCGGTGTATTTTGTGCAAGAATATGCAATAAAATCTTCTGCCTAAGAAAAATTGAATATTTTGGAAAGTTTTTTATGCTTTTGGATGCGTTTTTGGTCATAAAAAAGGTCTTCCTCTACTCGGATCTGGGTGTCAATTTTTTTCTACACTTTTCGGTGTATTTTGTGCAAGAATATGCAATAAAATCTTCTGCCTAAGAAAAATTGAATATTTTGGAAAGTTTTTTATGCTTTTCGATGCGTTTTTGGTCATAAAAAGGGTCTTCCTCTACTCGGATCTGGGTGTCAATTTTTTTCTACACTTTTCGGTGTATTTTGTGCAAGAATATGCAATAAAATCTTCTGCCTAAGAAAAATTGAATATTTTAGAAAGTTTTTTATGCTTTTCGATGCGTTTTTGGTCATAAAAAGGGTCTTCCTCTACTCGGATCTGGGTGTCAATTTTTTTCTACACTTTTCGGTGTATTTTGTGCAAGAATATGCAATAAAATCTTCTGCCTAAGAAAAATTGAATATTTTGGAAAGTTTTTTATGCTTTTCGATGCGTTTTTGGTCATAAAAAGGGTCTTCCTCTACTCGGATCTGGGTGTCAATTTTTTTCTACACTTTTCGGTGTATTTTGTGCAAGAATATGCAATAAAATCTTCTGCCTAAGAAAAATTGAATATTTTGGAAAGTTTTTTATGCTTTTCGATGCGTTTTTGGTCATAAAAAGGGTCTGCCTCTACTCGGATCTGGGTGTCAATTTTTTTCTACACTTTTCGGTGTATTTTGTGCAAGAATATGCAATAAAATCTTCTGCCTAAGAAAAATTGAATTTTTTCGGTAAGGTTTTTATGCTTTTGGATGCGTTTTTGGTCATAAAAAAGGTCTTCCTCTACTCGGATCTGGGTGTCAATTTTTTTCTACACTTTTCGGTGTATTTTGTGCAAGAATATGCAATAAAATCTTCTGCCTAAGAAAAATTGAATATTTTAGAAAGTTTTTTATGCTTTTCGATGCGTTTTTGGTCATAAAAAGGGTCTTCCTCTACTCGGATCTGGGTGTCAATTTTTTTCTACACTTTTCGGTGTATTTTGTGCAAGAATATGCAATAAAATCTTCTGCCTAAGAAAAATTGAATATTTTAGAAAGTTTTTTATGCTTTTCGATGCGTTTTTGGTCATAAAAAGGGTCTTCCTCTACTCGGATCTGGGTGTCAATTTTTTTCTACACTTTTCGGTGTATTTTGTGCAAGAATATGCAATAAAATCTTCTGCCTAAGAAAAATTGAATATTTTGGAAAGTTTTTTATGCTTTTCGATGCGTTTTTGGTCATAAAAAAGGTCTTCCTCTACTCGGATCTGGGTGTCAATTTTTTTCTACACTTTTCGGTGTATTTTGTGCAAGAATATGCAATAAAATCTTCTGCCTAAGAAAAATTGAATATTTTGGAAAGTTTTTTATGCTTTTCGATGCGTTTTTGGTCATAAAAAGGGTCTTCCTCTACTCGGATCTGGGTGTCAATTTTTTTCTACACTTTTCGGTGTATTTTGTGCAAGAATATGCAATAAAATCTTCTGCCTAAGAAAAATTGAATATTTTAGAAAGTTTTTTATGCTTTTCGATGCGTTTTTGGTCATAAAAAGGGTCTTCCTCTACTCGGATCTGGGTGTCAATTTTTTTCTACACTTTTCGGTGTATTTTGTGCAAGAATATGCAATAAAATCTTCTGCCTAAGAAAAATTGAATATTTTGGAAAGTTTTTTATGCTTTTCGATGCGTTTTTGGTCATAAAAAGGGTCTTCCTCTACTCGGATCTGGGTGTCAATTTTTTTCTACACTTTTCGGTGTATTTTGTGCAAGAATATGCAATAAAATCTTCTGCCTAAGAAAAATTGAATATTTTGGAAAGTTTTTTATGCTTTTCGATGCGTTTTTGGTCATAAAAAGGGTCTTCCTCTACTCGGATCTGGGTGTCAATTTTTTTCTACACTTTTCGGTGTATTTTGTGCAAGAATATGCAATAAAATCTTCTGCCTAAGAAAAATTGAATATTTTGGAAAGTTTTTTATGCTTTTCGATGCGTTTTTGGTCATAAAAAGGGTCTGCCTCTACTCGGATCTGGGTGTCAATTTTTTTCTACACTTTTCGGTGTATTTTGTGCAAGAATATGCAATAAAATCTTCTGCCTAAGAAAAATTGAATTTTTTCGGTAAGGTTTTTATGCTTTTGGATGCGTTTTTGGTCATAAAAAAGGTCTTCCTCTACTCGGATCTGGGTGTCAATTTTTTTCTACACTTTTCGGTGTATTTTGTGCAAGAATATGCAATAAAATCTTCTGCCTAAGAAAAATTGAATTTTTTTTGAAAGTTTTTTATGCTTTTGGATGCGTTTTTGGTCATAAAAAAGGTCTTCCTCTACTTGGATCTGGGTGTCAATTTTTTTCTACACTTTTCGGTGTATTTTGTGCAAGAATATGCAATAAAATCTTCTGCCTAAGAAAAATTGAATATTTTGGAAAGTTTTTTATGCTTTTGGATGCGTTTTTGGTCATAAAAAAGGGTCTTCCTCTACTCGGATCTGGGTGTCAATTTTTTTCTACACTTTTCGGTGTATTTTGTGCAAGAATATGCAATAAAATCTTCTGCCTAAGAAAAATTGAATTTTTTTTGAAAGTTTTTTATGCTTTTGGATGCGTTTTTGGTCATAAAAAAGGTCTTCCTCTACTCGGATCTGGGTGTCAATTTTTTTCTACACTTTTCGGTGTATTTTGTGCAAGAATATGCAATAAAATCTTCTGCCTAAGAAAAATTGAATTTTTTCGGTAAGGTTTTTATGCTTTTGGATGCGTTTTTGGTCATAAAAAAGGTCTTCCTCTACTCGGATCTGGGTGTCAATTTTTTTCTACACTTTTCGGTGTATTTTGTGCAAGAATATGCAATAAAATCTTCTGCCTAAGAAAAATTGAATTTTTTCGGTAAGGTTTTTATGCTTTTGGATGCGTTTTTGGTCATAAAAAAGGTCTTCCTCTACTCGGATCTGGGTGTCAATTTTTTTCTACACTTTTCGGTGTATTTTGTGCAAGAATATGCAATAAAATCTTCTGCCTAAGAAAAATTGAATTTTTTTTGAAAGTTTTTTATTCTTTTGGATGCGTTTTTGGTCATAAAAAAGGTCTTCCTCTACTCGGATCTGGGTGTCAATTTTTTTCTACACTTTTCGGTGTATTTTGTGCAAGAATATGCAATAAAATCTTCTGCCTAAGAAAAATTGAATATTTTAGAAAGTTTTTTATGCTTTTCGATGCGTTTTTGGTCATAAAAAGGGTCTTCCTCTACTCGGATCTGGGTGTCAATTTTTTTCTACACTTTTCGGTGTATTTTGTGCAAGAATATGCAATAAAATCTTCTGCCTAAGAAAAATTGGATTTTTTTTGAAAGTTTTTTATGCTTTTCGATGCGTTTTTGGTCATAAAAAGGGTCTTCCTCTACTCGGATCTGGGTGTCAATTTTTTTCTACACTTTTCGGTGTATTTTGTGCAAGAATATGCAATAAAATCTTCTGCCTAAGAAAAATTGAATATTTTAGAAAGTTTTTTATGCTTTTCGATGCGTTTTTGGTCATAAAAAGGGTCTTCCTCTACTCGGATCTGGGTGTCAATTTTTTTCTACACTTTTCGGTGTATTTTGTGCAAGAATATGCAATAAAATCTTCTGCCTAAGAAAAATTGAATTTTTTTGAAAGTTTTTTATGCTTTTCGATGCGTTTTTGGTCATAAAAAGGGTCTTCCTCTACTCGGATCTGGGTGTCAATTTTTTTCTACACTTTTCGGTGTATTTTGTGCAAGAATATGCAATAAAATCTTCTGCCTAAGAAAAATTGAATTTTTTTTGAAAGTTTTTTATTCTTTTGGATGCGTTTTTGGTCATAAAAAAGGTCTTCCTCTACTCGGATCTGGGTGTCAATTTTTTTCTACACTTTTCGGTGTATTTTGTGCAAGAATATGCAATAAAATCTTCTGCCTAAGAAAAATTGAATATTTTAGAAAGTTTTTTATGCTTTTCGATGCGTTTTTGGTCATAAAAAGGGTCTTCCTCTACTCGGATCTGGGTGTCAATTTTTTTCTACACTTTTCGGTGTATTTTGTGCAAGAATATGCAATAAAATCTTCTGCCTAAGAAAAATTGAATATTTTGGAAAGTTTTTTATGCTTTTCGATGCGTTTTTGGTCATAAAAAGGGTCTTCCTCTACTCGGATCTGGGTGTCAATTTTTTTCTACACTTTTCGGTGTATTTTGTGCAAGAATATGCAATAAAATCTTCTGCCTAAGAAAAATTGAATATTTTGGAAAGTTTTTTATGCTTTTCGATGCGTTTTTGGTCATAAAAAGGGTCTTCCTCTACTCGGATCTGGGTGTCAATTTTTTTCTACACTTTTCGGTGTATTTTGTGCAAGAATATGCAATAAAATCTTCTGCCTAAGAAAAATTGAATATTTTGGAAAGTTTTTTATGCTTTTCGATGCGTTTTTGGTCATAAAAAGGGTCTGCCTCTACTCGGATCTGGGTGTCAATTTTTTTCTACACTTTTCGGTGTATTTTGTGCAAGAATATGCAATAAAATCTTCTGCCTAAGAAAAATTGAATTTTTTCGGTAAGGTTTTTATGCTTTTGGATGCGTTTTTGGTCATAAAAAAGGTCTTCCTCTACTCGGATCTGGGTGTCAATTTTTTTCTACACTTTTCGGTGTATTTTGTGCAAGAATATGCAATAAAATCTTCTGCCTAAGAAAAATTGAATATTTTAGAAAGTTTTTTATGCTTTTCGATGCGTTTTTGGTCATAAAAAGGGTCTTCCTCTACTCGGATCTGGGTGTCAATTTTTTTCTACACTTTTCGGTGTATTTTGTGCAAGAATATGCAATAAAATCTTCTGCCTAAGAAAAATTGAATATTTTAGAAAGTTTTTTATGCTTTTCGATGCGTTTTTGGTCATAAAAAGGGTCTTCCTCTACTCGGATCTGGGTGTCAATTTTTTTCTACACTTTTCGGTGTATTTTGTGCAAGAATATGCAATAAAATCTTCTGCCTAAGAAAAATTGAATATTTTGGAAAGTTTTTTATGCTTTTCGATGCGTTTTTGGTCATAAAAAGGGTCTTCCTCTACTCGGATCTGGGTGTCAATTTTTTTCTACACTTTTCGGTGTATTTTGTGCAAGAATATGCAATAAAATCTTCTGCCTAAGAAAAATTGAATATTTTGGAAAGTTTTTTATGCTTTTTGATGCGTTTTTGGTCATAAAAAGGGTCTTCCTCTACTCGGATCTGGGTGTCAATTTTTTTCTACACTTTTCGGTGTATTTTGTGCAAGAATATGCAATAAAATCTTCTGCCTAAGAAAAATTGAATATTTTGGAAAGTTTTTTATGCTTTTCGATGCGTTTTTGGTCATAAAAAGGGTCTGCCTCTACTCGGATCTGGGTGTCAATTTTTTTCTACACTTTTCGGTGTATTTTGTGCAAGAATATGCAATAAAATCTTCTGCCTAAGAAAAATTGAATTTTTTCGGTAAGGTTTTTATGCTTTTGGATGCGTTTTTGGTCATAAAAAAGGTCTTCCTCTACTCGGATCTGGGTGTCAATTTTTTTCTACACTTTTCGGTGTATTTTGTGCAAGAATATGCAATAAAATCTTCTGCCTAAGAAAAATTGAATTTTTTTTGAAAGTTTTTTATGCTTTTGGATGCGTTTTTGGTCATAAAAAAGGTCTTCCTCTACTTGGATCTGGGTGTCAATTTTTTTCTACACTTTTCGGTGTATTTTGTGCAAGAATATGCAATAAAATCTTCTGCCTAAGAAAAATTGAATATTTTGGAAAGTTTTTTATGCTTTTCGATGCGTTTTTGGTCATAAAAAAGGTCTTCCTCTACTCGGATCTGGGTGTCAATTTTTTTCTACACTTTTCGGTGTATTTTGTGCAAGAATATGCAATAAAATCTTCTGCCTAAGAAAAATTGAATATTTTGGAAAGTTTTTTATGCTTTTTGATGCGTTTTTGGTCATAAAAAGGGTCTTCCTCTACTCGGATCTGGGTGTCAATTTTTTTCTACACTTTTCGGTGTATTTTGTGCAAGAATATGCAATAAAATCTTCTGCCTAAGAAAAATTGAATATTTTGGAAAGTTTTTTATGCTTTTCGATGCGTTTTTGGTCATAAAAAGGGTCTGCCTCTACTCGGATCTGGGTGTCAATTTTTTTCTACACTTTTCGGTGTATTTTGTGCAAGAATATGCAATAAAATCTTCTGCCTAAGAAAAATTGAATTTTTTCGGTAAGGTTTTTATGCTTTTGGATGCGTTTTTGGTCATAAAAAAGGTCTTCCTCTACTCGGATCTGGGTGTCAATTTTTTTCTACACTTTTCGGTGTATTTTGTGCAAGAATATGCAATAAAATCTTCTGCCTAAGAAAAATTGAATATTTTGGAAAGTTTTTTATGCTTTTCGATGCGTTTTTGGTCATAAAAAGGGTCTTCCTCTACTCGGATCTGGGTGTCAATTTTTTTCTACACTTTTCGGTGTATTTTGTGCAAGAATATGCAATAAAATCTTCTGCCTAAGAAAAATTGAATTTTTTCGGTAAGGTTTTTATGCTTTTGGATGCGTTTTTGGTCATAAAAAAGGGTCTTCCTCTACTCGGATCTGGGTGTCAATTTTTTTCTACACTTTTCGGTGTATTTTGTGCAAGAAAATGCAATAAAATCTTCTGCCTAAGAAAAATTGAATTTTTTTTGAAAGTTTTTTATTCTTTTGGATGCGTTTTTGGTCATAAAAAAGGTCTTCCTCTACTCGGATCTGGGTGTCAATTTTTTTCTACACTTTTCGGTGTATTTTGTGCAAGAATATGCAATAAAATCTTCTGCCTAAGAAAAATTGAATATTTTAGAAAGTTTTTTATGCTTTTCCATGCGTTTTTGGTCATAAAAAGGGTCTTCCTCTACTCGGATCTGGGTGTCAATTTTTTTCTACACTTTTCGGTGTATTTTGTGCAAGAATATGCAATAAAATCTTCTGCCTAAGAAAAATTGAATTTTTTTTGAAAGTTTTTTATGCTTTTGGATGCGTTTTTGGTCATAAAAAAGGGTCTTCCTCTACTCGGATCTGGGTGTCAATTTTTTTCTACACTTTTCGGTGTATTTTGTGCAAGAATATGCAATAAAATCTTCTGCCTAAGAAAAATTGAATTTTTTTTGAAAGTTTTTTATTCTTTTGGATGCGTTTTTGGTCATAAAAAAGGTCTTCCTCTACTCGGATCTGGGTGTCAATTTTTTTCTACACTTTTCGGTGTATTTTGTGCAAGAATATGCAATAAAATCTTCTGCCTAAGAAAAATTGAATATTTTAGAAAGTTTTTTATGCTTTTCGATGCGTTTTTGGTCATAAAAAGGGTCTTCCTCTACTCGGATCTGGGTGTCAATTTTTTTCTACACTTTTCGGTGTATTTTGTGCAAGAATATGCAATAAAATCTTCTGCCTAAGAAAAATTGAATTTTTTTTGAAAGTTTTTTATGCTTTTCGATGCGTTTTTGGTCATAAAAAGGGTCTTCCTCTACTCGGATCTGGGTGTCAATTTTTTTCTACACTTTTCGGTGTATTTTGTGCAAGAATATGCAATAAAATCTTCTGCCTAAGAAAAATTGAATTTTTTTTGAAAGTTTTTTATGCTTTTGGATGCGTTTTTGGTCATAAAAAAGGTCTTCCTCTACTCGGATCTGGGTGTCAATTTTTTTCTACACTTTTCGGTGTATTTTGTGCAAGAATATGCAATAAAATCTTCTGCCTAAGAAAAATTGAATTTTTTCGGTAAGGTTTTTATGCTTTTGGATGCGTTTTTGGTCATAAAAAAGGTCTTCCTCTACTCGGATCTGGGTGTCAATTTTTTTCTACACTTTTCGGTGTATTTTGTGCAAGAATATGCAATAAAATCTTCTGCCTAAGAAAAATTGAATTTTTTCGGTAAGGTTTTTATGCTTTTGGATGCGTTTTTGGTCATAAAAAAGGTCTTCCTCTACTCGGATCTGGGTGTCAATTTTTTTCTACACTTTTCGGTGTATTTTGTGCAAGAATATGCAATAAAATCTTCTGCCTAAGAAAAATTGAATTTTTTTTGAAAGTTTTTTATTCTTTTGGATGCGTTTTTGGTCATAAAAAAGGTCTTCCTCTACTCGGATCTGGGTGTCAATTTTTTTCTACACTTTTCGGTGTATTTTGTGCAAGAATATGCAATAAAATCTTCTGCCTAAGAAAAATTGAATATTTTAGAAAGTTTTTTATGCTTTTCGATGCGTTTTTGGTCATAAAAAGGGTCTTCCTCTACTCGGATCTGGGTGTCAATTTTTTTCTACACTTTTCGGTGTATTTTGTGCAAGAATATGCAATAAAATCTTCTGCCTAAGAAAAATTGAATTTTTTTTGAAAGTTTTTTATGCTTTTGGATGCGTTTTTGGTCATAAAAAAGGTCTTCCTCTACTCGGATCTGGGTGTCAATTTTTTTCTACACTTTTCGGTGTATTTTGTGCAAGAATATGCAATAAAATCTTCTGCCTAAGAAAAATTGAATTTTTTCGGTAAGGTTTTTATGCTTTTGGATGCGTTTTTGGTCATAAAAAAGGTCTTCCTCTACTCGGATCTGGGTGTCAATTTTTTTCTACACTTTTCGGTGTATTTTGTGCAAGAATATGCAATAAAATCTTCTGCCTAAGAAAAATTGAATTTTTTCGGTAAGGTTTTTATGCTTTTGGATGCGTTTTTGGTCATAAAAAAGGTCTTCCTCTACTCGGATCTGGGTGTCAATTTTTTTCTACACTTTTCGGTGTATTTTGTGCAAGAATATGCATTAAAATCGTCTGCCTAAGAAAAATTGAATTTTTTTTGAAAGTTTTTTATGCTTTTGGATGCGTTTTTGGTCATAAAAAGGGTCTTCCTCTACTCGGATCTGGGTGTCAATTTTTTTCTACACTTTTCGGTGTATTTTGTGCAAGAATATGCAATAAAATCTTCTGCCTAAGAAAAATTGAATATTTTAGAAAGTTTTTTATGCTTTTCGATGCGTTTTTGGTCATAAAAAAGGTCTTCCTCTACTCGGATCTGGGTGTCAATTTTTTTCTACACTTTTCGGTGTATTTTGTGCAAGAATATGCAATAAAATCTTCTGCCTAAGAAAAATTGAATATTTTAGAAAGTTTTTTATGCTTTTCGATGCGTTTTTGGTCATAAAAAGGGTCTTCCTCTACTCGGATCTGGGTGTCAATTTTTTTCTACACTTTTCGGTGTATTTTGTGCAAGAATATGCAATAAAATCTTCTGCCTAAGAAAAATTGAATATTTTAGAAAGTTTTTTATGCTTTTCGATGCGTTTTTGGTCATAAAAAGGGTCTTCCTCTACTCGGATCTGGGTGTCAATTTTTTTCTACACTTTTCGGTGTATTTTGTGCAAGAATATGCAATAAAATCTTCTGCCTAAGAAAAATTGAATTTTTTTTGAAAGTTTTTTATGCTTTTGGATGCGTTTTTGGTCATAAAAAAGGTCTTCCTCTACTCGGATCTGGGTGTCAATTTTTTTCTACACTTTTCGGTGTATTTTATGCAAGAATATGCAATAAAATCGTCTGCCTAAGAAAAATTGAATTTTTTGCTGTGTGTTTGTGTGGATCCCTTTTTTGTTTAAAAGATAACTTTAACAGGTTTTAATGGATTTAGATAAAATTTTGTAGGCTCATTTATCATATTAATATCTCAAATCTGTCCAAAGGATTTTGAGAAATACTCCAAAACAAAAAATTTTATGGTCTTTTTTCCAAAAATTTTTTTTTAATCGAAAAAATTTTTAAATAGAAAAATTTAATGTTATATATAATAAAATCGTATTCTTTACGTCAAGACGAATCGATCGATATATATATATATATAAAGTATTCATTTGAGGTAAATTTAAAGAATTAATGAAAGTTAAAAAATCAAAAATTCACATTTGGTCAATAAAATTTTGCTTTCTTCACGAGGAAGCAAATTTTTTTGCTGATCGTAAAGAGGAAGCAAAATGTTCATGTAATGAACATCTGAATTTACAACTTGTTAATAAATATTGATGGTGAAAAATTAATAAAATTTTAATCATACTTGATAGTCATCGAAAATTGTCCATTGATAAACATCAGCACTGTATGAGGCACTTGGAGGTGGTACAGTTTGCGTAGTCATATCCTATTTAAAAATAAAAATATCTATTTAAAATAAAAATAAATTTATTTTGATTAATTATTATTCATTTCTAAATTATTAACTTACACGAATAGGATTATTGTACGTTAATGTTGCTCTTTCACAAAAATTAAATTGATTTGGTACTTTTTTTGGTTTTGTTTTCTCAACTTCTTCTTCGTCTATTTCTTGTTCCACTTCAACCTGGGGTTCTTTTCCTTGTTCCTCAGATTCGTCCTCTACTTATACAAAAAAAAAATTTACTAACTAGAATAATAAAATATAAATTTTTAAAAAGTACCTATTTCTTCTCCTACTTCATCGTCTTCTCTTTCTTCTTCTTCTTCCTCCACCATTTGATCCTCGAATTCTTCTGTAATTGATTGTTCCTCTTCTTGGGATTCGACTATATATTAAATACGTAAATTTAAATGAAATAAAAGAATTTATCAAAAATAAAAATTAGTTAAAAGAAATAATTGGCTACTAATAATTTTTAATTTACCGATTAGTCCACCTGCCAATTGCATTTTTGCTTCTTCGGAATCTTTATGCAAAAGAATACCAGGTACATTGAGAATAGTGACGATATTTGGTGGATCTGGCATTGGAATAAATTCCCTCTGTTTCCAGGACCATTCTATCAAATTGTCAGGAATTCTCGTATTTTGTATTTGTAATACACGTGCAATTTCTTCTTGTAATTCCTGTAAAACAATTAAATATTTTATTTTCTATTATATTTATTGATAATAAATAAAAACTCACAGCTTCCGTTAATTGCAACTGATCATCTGGTTTGAGAAGAGTTTTATTTCGCATCCACTCTTCATTTCCTACTAAATCCAATCGTGAAGCTCGACTTTTACTTCCAGATGACTGTTAAAAAAAAAAATAATAAGTAAATTAAAAATAATTGTATAAAATCGTAAATTGGACAGTTTTGAAAATTCTGTTCATTTATTTGTTCAAAATTTAATAAAAAATAATAATAATTACGTAAACTTCAGGAAGACGGGGAACTTGTTTTTTCTGTGCTCCGGCAGACATTATTGGTTTTGAAGGATGCATTTTTTTTATTATTTCATTTTATTATCCCACAGTGGTAATAATAATTCGTTCATTGACTCGTCATACCTATAAAAAGAAAATCGAATAAATATATCAACTTAAATCCTTCAATTCAAATATTAACAAACATCAATTTTATTTTTTCTCGACTCGTCAAATTTGTATTTTTTTTCTTTTGAAAATTATTTACAAATTAAAATAATTATCAAAAATAATATATAACCAAATTTTCTCTTAATTTACTCTTCGTGCTCTGTTTTTTGTTTCCATGGATACCAATATATAGACTTAAATGTCATTGTGTTTTTTCTCCTTATTTTCAAAAAAAATCCATTATTTTCATATTAATAAAAAAATTAGTTTTTAAATTAAGATAAATAATTTTAATTACAAAATTTTTGAAAAAAAGTACTAAGACATTTTTTTTTTTTAATATCTGACAATTTTTTCCACTTATTGTTAGTTAATTGTTAATATTAAAAAAATGATAACTTTTCAATTATTATATATTTCTTATAATTTCAAAAAATTTAAAAATAAATTTCTAAAATTTATTATTTGAATTTTCTGGCATGCGCAATTGCTTAAAAGAAAATCAATATTATATTAGAGACGAAACGAGACAAGTGTCTCGGATTTTCATGTTAAATGTCAGAAAAATGTTTTTTTTTTTTTGCAGTTTATAAGCAATATTTTTTTGAAGCAATAAATTTTATTTTCAAAAATCACGAGAAAATATAAAATACAATAAATATTTTTGTGAAAAAATTTTTTAAAATGACTGAAGACAGTGGAATAGATAGTGATCCAAAGAATAATGTTAATATTGAAGACGAAACTTTATTTGCGGTAAAAAAATTTTTATTGAAAAAATTTATTATTGACTTTGTGAGAGAAAAAAAAAAACGGATAATTATATTTTTATAGGGCAGTGATAGCAGTAGTAGCAGTAATTCAATAACGAATCGACGCACAACGACGACAAAACATTTACAAAGAAAACTTGGTAAATATTTTTTTTACTATTAAATTGCAAAGTGATTAATTATCAATTAAATCTTAAGTACATTTTTTGAAAATTTACTTTTTCTTAAAAATTCTGTAATTATTACAGCAAATTTTTTTTTATTTTGAAAATTTTTATTTTTAAATTAATATTAAGTTTTTCAAATTTAATTTGTTTTTTTTAGAGGCACGTATCGAGCAAGCGAAAAGAATTCAAAAAAATTCAGAATATATGAAACTTGCCAATAATGATGATTGTAATGTGAGTCCTGGAATTGGAATAATTCCCATTCAAAGGATACCAATTCCTCAGAAGAAAAAAAATCTTCCCCTCGTTGAATTATGTAACAGTGATAGTGGAAGGTAGAATTATAATTTTCATTTTCTTTAATTTGATGAAAAAATTGAAATTATTATTTTTTTTTTTCAGTGAAGAAGAAATGGCATTGATTCCCATGTCGAGGACAAAAATTGGAAATAAAATTCTTAAGGATCTTACTGATCCATTTAGTATTGAAGTATTAAGTGAAGGTAGCGAGGATTCTTTAAATCTGGAATCAATAGAAACAAGTCAGTCTGATGCAACAACTTATAGATCATCTGGTTGTTTTTCTTGTCAATGTCATATTTTATAGTATTTTTCATTTTATCATTATATAGGGAACAATCGATAAAAATTTTATGCTTTTGACGTTAAAAAAAAATAAGATTTGCCTAAAATGTGTCTTTTTAATTTTAGTGCAAAAAAAAGAGATCTAAAAAAATTAGCTATAAATTTTAATTTTACTAGAATAGCTAATTTTAATATAAAATTGACTTTATGAATAAATTAATTATTTGCCAATTTATAACAAATATTCAAACAATTTTATCTTAAGTAAATAAATTGTTTTAGAAAAAAAAAATTCAAATATTTAAAGAAACTATCTAAGCATATCCTGAACAAAAAATCAGTTTTCCAAATGTATTCTACAATTTATGAACTCGAGTTGCCAAATATTATTTATAAAAAAAGAAACATTTTTAACTAATTTAAATTAAAAAAAATTTAAAGAACTATAAAATTTACCCGTAAATAGAATATACATATAATTTGAAAAAATTAAATAAAATATTTGACTATTTTATTGTTGAAAAGAGATATATAAAATATAAATAGAAATATAAATCGTGCAAAATATTCGACTAAGCATCATTGTGATGCTTTTATTCTATTAAAATATTATAAAAATCTATTAAAGCGCACAAAATATTTATTTCCGCTAAAAATGTACATTTTCAAAGCGCTAACAATTTATTCCGAGTATATATGTAAATACTAATTTTTATTTCTGATAAAATAAAGATGATGTCTTTAAAAAAAATTATAATCTTTTCATTTATTGTGTAAGATTTTTTTTTTTAAGATTTCAAAAAATTGTTTTCTCTTTATATCATTAAAAATATTTTTTTAGTAATAAATTATGCATACCTCTAAATATAATAACTTATTACGAATAACAAAATTTCACGAAAACCATCACAATAACCTGAAAAAAAAAATTATTTTCAAATAAATTAAGAAAATTAGACAAAAAGAATAAAAAAAAGAATTCAAATTCTTACCATAAATAAGGACTGACAAAATAATGTTTTCAATTATTTATAAACTCATCCATAAAATGTTGATTTGTTCTAGATTTTTAAAAGTAAAACCATTTTCTGTAATTACTTTGTGAAGGCAACAAGAGTTAAAATAAATTAATTACATAAATTTCTGTTAAAAATCAAAACAATTAAAATTATTATTAAATAATAAAATTATTTATAAAAATGTATTATTATACTTAAATAATTATTATTGGTTATAGGTTTATTACTATACTTGCATTGAATTATTAAAATTTGGTATATATTTAATTCTCATTAGAAAACATACAATTTTAAAATAAAATTCCCAGGGAATTTTGATATATAATAATAATAATAATAATTACAGCAAAAATTAATATTCTCGTTAATATATAAAAAAAAATTTTTTTTAGATTCTTTATAACAATTTTTATATTAATAATTAGAAACTAAATGTTGTCGCACTCGTTTTAACGAGTTGCGACAAAAAATACATTACTGTAATTCGTAAAACGTTGATTATAATTAATGAAATAGATATATTATATATAAAGTTACAACCTTATATAAGCGTATAATGTGATTTTACTAAAAGTGAATCCATAAATTGTGGAAACATGAAAAAAAAGCAATTACATGTGCGTACATTTTTTTTTTTAAATAGGCAATAAAACCAAAGAAAAAAAAATGTTATACACATGAAAGATATTTCTCAATATAAATTACTACTTATAATGGAATAATAGGCACTAGAAGATTTAGACGTAAATAAAAGGCTAAAATAATAATATCTATATCACTCGCAGATATATAATTTATCTTTAAGCTTACACGATTATTAGTTTATACAAATAATTACATCTCTCGATCTTACAATCTCCATTAAACCAATTAATAATCTCATTATTATCATTAAATTGACAATTTAAATTTAATTTAATTTTTAATAAAAAAATTATCACTTAATTAACGTTTCATTAAAACGAATTAATATAATTCATTAGTTAATTAACAAATTGATAATAATTTACATTTGTTAACTAATTAACAATAAACTAATTTTAAAATTAAATTTTTTAATTATCAGTTTATTAGTTGATAAAAAATGAATTTGCATTTTATTTTCTACGGCAAATAGAGAAAATTTTATTAATTATTTTTCCTGAAAGAATATATTTAGAGGGTTAATTAGAGATTGTGATCTTTTCTATATATATAAATACCTAATCGAATTTACAATATTTATGTAAATGAGTATTAAGCCAGTGTTATTTTTTGGTTGATAAAATTCATTAAAAACGTCATATTGTGCAATTAACAGTAAAAATCTCATTCGATTTTGTTTTTTTTTAATTTATGAATGAAAAAAAATAACTGAATCAATTTTATTAAAATAAAAAAAAAACTGCAGAATATCATTGAAAAAAATATTCAATTTTATTTTTTTCAATTTAACGCAGCAGTTTAAATTATATTTGAAAATTAATGTAAAAACTGTTAAAATTAGATAAAGAATTTATTAGTAAATAACATTTGCTTTTCTATTTTTTTTTACACTTTATATCTAAAAAGATGATTTTTTTTCATATTATGTGCGTAAAAAATCAAAATTCCATGTGACAATACAAATGACATTTGAAACAAATAATAAATAAACATTTTTTAAAGACTGACATTTGTATTATAAATACAAAATTTTTTGTAAATTACAAAACAATTCATGAAATATTGAATGATTTAAATAGAAAAAAAAAAATTGTTCAAGAACTATTTTCATGTTCTTTGTTTTTAAAAAAATAGAAATATTTGACAATACAAAATATAATTAAAAATTGTGTTTTTTTTCACGTGAATCGTCATTATTATGCTTGATGCATGACATAAAAACGGCTAATGTGATTATCAACAATATTTACATTGACATAATAATTTAAATTCGCTTCAATTTCAGTCCAAGTTTTTTGCTTAAATTTTCTCCTTTTTTTCCAGCAATAAGCAAATAAAGTTAATATTATAAAATAAATTTATAAATGATAAATAAATTGATCAAAAACGATTCCACATAATATTTACAAGTTTCTCAATCTAATCATATCATCGAAAAAAAAAAAAAATGTTCGTGAGTTAGCTAAAAATGTTAAATAAAAACAAGCGTAAAATCGTTCTTTTAACAATCGCTGAAAATTCGAAATATTTTAATTGTTCTATTGTTATTTGAATTTTAGAATTTTTTCCCCCTACTTTTTTTTATTTAACATTCTCAGCAGAATGACGAGTGTAATTAATTAATAGTAATTAATTCGTCATTCAAAATTCTATTGATTTTTTTTATAAATATATTTTTCAAGCGTCTTTTTTAATTTTCTTTTTTAATAATCATAAAAAGAAACTATTTGTTAAAAATGAAATTTACCGTTACGTCTCGGGAATAAAAATCTCGACAGAATTATTTTCATTTTTATTCATTGATTTCATTGCTCGTCTTCTGTCCTCGATCATTTGTCGTCGAGATTGTTCTCTTGCTTCACGAGCTTTTTTATTTGCTTCACTCGCCGGTGTGGCTTTCATTTTTGGCGCAGGAGTCATACGTCGTTTAGGCGTACTTCCATTTAACGGTGTGCCAGTAATCAACCTTTTTTCGGGTACAATCTAAAATCAAAGAAAAAAAAATTAAATTTCATTGTTTAAAAAATATGTTCATAATTTACAAAGAGAATTATTTTTTTTCGAAAATATAAGAAAAAATAACTTATTTGTTAATTCGTTGTCTTCTTTTCCAAAATATTCAATTCTTTCGTTTCTCATTGTCATTTCTTCATTTGCTTATTAATGCTTCGAAAAATTTGGCTTTTCATACATAAATAAAAAATAAATAATTATAAAGATTAACGAGGAGAAAAATTAATTCTTCGTAATAGAAATATTTGCAAAAATTGAAATTTTCTATAAATCAATCTGTTTGTAAAAAGATAATTTATTATTCATAAAAATATTTTTAAAAAATCATATATGTAATTAAAGAAAAAATTAACCATTTTTTAAGAATTTTTTAAAGAATATTTAATTTTAAAAATCCATTATCCAAAAACAATTAATTAATACGAGAAATATTTAAATAGTAAATTTTGTCCTCAAAAGATGAACCAATGAATCTAATCAACCATAAAAAAAATATGTACATACCTTAAATTTCTTTTTAAAAAATATATTTATATTAAATACTTTTAAATATCGATATAAAAAATCACAATATAAAAAGAGAATAGAAATTTTTAAAAAAATCACAATATAAAATATAAAAAATAAAAAAATGATTACAAAATTATCAAAAAAAACCGCTTCCCAAAAAGCAATATTTACATGGATTTACTTTAAAAAATATCAAAATGATACTAAGCATCCCGTAAATATAAAGATACAATGAAAGACGACATAAAGTTCTGTTTGATTTCAAAAAATCACAAGCATATCGTACATTAATTCTCCTATTATAATTTAAACTTTCAATTTTCGATTGAATTTGTTTTGGTGAAAATTTCATTAAACCATAATTTCCATCGCGACGTATTGCAATCATTGTATTTTCTCTATTTGACGATTGACATCTATCGAATTTTAATAATGAACATTCTTCATTTGTTCTTTTAAGGACATTTGCAAAAAAATGTTGTTCTTCAACTGTTGAATTTGATTGTATAATTCTTGATGTTTCAAGTACCATTCTTGTTATACTTGTTTCAGAATCACAATAACTAGCCAATGATATTGAATTTGGTGATCTTGAATGATTGATATCGGAAAATTTTGAATTTTCCAATGGAAATGTTGAGATTTGCAAATTTTTATTTTCATTTTCATTTTTAAAATAATCACAATCTCCATTATTTTCATTAACAATTGATTTAAAACAATTATCAATAAAATTCGAATTTTTTGATTTTTCAACTTTCACTATTTGTTTATTTTCTTTTTGATTAAAAAAATCAGGTGTAATTTTTATTTCTTTGGAATCTTCTCGTTTTTTTGTATTATTGAATTTTTTGAGTTTTTCAAATTTACTTGCATTTGGAAGATTTATAGGTTTAGTATATTTTTTAATTAATAAACGTTGTGCTTCTTTTGAATATCGCGGAAAATTGGAAATATTTGGTGTCTGTAAAATTGACTGTGATACACTTTTTGAGCACACTCTCGACCGTTTGTTATTTTGATTAATTATACGATTTTTTACATTTTCTCCTTTAGGCCAAATATTTGTTACAATTGAACTATTATTATTATTATTGTTATTTTCCACTGATATTTTCTCATCAATTTTTGTAATTTTTAAATTTTTATCTATTTTTTTTATTTTTAAATTTTGAGTTGCTCCATCACTATTCGCGACAAATGATTTTGATTTTAATTTACTTAATGAATCGATTACACGTTTTTTTAGGGAATTCTTTTTTCTATCGAGTGATTCAGATCGGGAATTATTATTTATTGTTGTTGTGTCTTCTGATTTTGTTTTTCGAGAATTAAAAAATGATTTTTTAAATTTTAAATCGTTATTGGTATTTTTTATTTCTTCTTTATTGTCTATTTTTTCTGTACTATTTTGCTCAGCGTTTGCAATAAAATTAGATACAGATTTTTCATTTGTATTTTGGTTGTTTATTATTACGGTTTCATTACTATTTAGACTTTTTAGAGAATCTATTGGTTTTTTTGGTAAAATTGGAGTCACTTTTGTCGATTTTTGTGGTATTTTATCTTTCTTGTTATTTCTTTCCAAAGATTTTGAAATTCTTTTTGTAGCGCCTGTTTCTTGACTTTTTCTCGAAGACACGGAAGATGGTCTTGATTCTTGTTTTTCGATTTTTTTCCCTAAACACTGATCGTCTGATTTTTTTTCATTATTTGAAGTAAAAAATTCAGTTTTATTTTTTTTATTTACCGATTTGGAATTATTAGAATCGTTAATTTGAATTTCTTTTTTTCCATGTGAGGAAGATGGTCTTAAATTTGGACTCTTATCTCTTTTAACTTTTGGAGAATTTTTTTCAATTTTTAAATTCTTGACACTTAAATTTTTTTCCTCACCTTCGTTTTGACTTATTTTCTCTGATTCTTTGATTTTTGTTGTATTTTTTCGCGTCTTTTGCCTTTCGACGAAATTCTCATTTATTTGATTTTTCGTCATTGGAATTGTAAATGCGATTGCTTTCGGTTGTATTGATGTAGCGGAAATTGGAACATTTGATTTTAAATTGACGTCACTTTCATTTTCCGATAATTCGAGAATTGGCGAATAAAGATCAATATTTTGTAAACGATAGACAGATTGACTTCTATTTAAATTATTATTATTTTTCATTAATTCCTCATGATTATCAGAATTGGCTAATGAAAAATATTGACGATCATCAGACTCAGGGAGAATATAATTATTTTCAAAATTTTTCGATGAAATATATTGTTGATATTCAGAATCTTCTAATGTTGAAGAATCAGTTAATTCATTTTCACCATCATCATCATCTGAGAGAGAATTTTCTTTATAACTGATAATATCAAATGCTGTTTCATCAGCAAAAGTAACATTGAGTTTTGATTTTCGTCTTGATTCAAGTGATCGAGATCTAAATGATGGTTTATCATTAATATATTTTTCATAACTTTTTTTCCCTTCGAGAATTGAATCTCCTATTGATTTTTCTTCGAAAGAACTGTTTACACTGCTTTTATTTTTACTATTTTCCGTATTGACAGAACTAAATTTATTATTTGAAAAACATTTCCGCGAATTTATTGGTTCGTTGGGAAAATTTTTGTTATTGAGTAAATGTTGATTTTCACGTTTCTTGGTACTAAGCATTTTTAAATTATAATTATTTTCCATTTGCGATAAAACACTTCGCGCCTCAGAACAATTAAATTCAGTTTCATCAAAAATATCCTGTTTTATTGATTCCGAGTGAAATAAATTTTTACCTTCTGGCGTAAGTCTCAATAAATTGGAATCACATAATTTTTCACCTAAACAATCATTTTCAAATGTTTCAGATTTTTTTTTATTTAGAAATGTATTTTTTTTTAATTTCGATTCAAAATTTTCTTTGATTTCTTGATTGAATTTTTCATTTAATCCTACGGCAAGATCTAATTGTTTTTGAGAATCGTTGTTGTTATATTCTTTTTTTAATAATTTTGAAAATTGTATTCTCCCTTTGAGGGAGTTGAAAATTTTTGTATTCTTTCGTAATTTTGACGGGGATTTAGAAGTAAAATTTTCTTGACATACCTCTTGCCATTGTGATTTTTTTGAACGTTCAATTTGTTGAAAAAGTTCATTCACTTGAATAACCTGCAACATTAACATATCCCAGAATCCTTCTAAATCTTCATTCTTCGTTGGAAATTCTTCGCCTTCTACTTTATTCTGAAAAAAAAAACAGATTTATAAGATTTAAATCATAAAAATGGAATAATTTTAAAAAGAATTTTTATTACAATATTCTTGTGACACAATCCCTCGAATTGTTGCATTTTTTGAGAAGCCAAAAGTCGAGCTTTTCCAGAGGCCGATCGTAATTTTCCAGCTGCTTCCTCGGGTAAAATTGAAGGATCAACATTGGAAAGTTCATTCTCAGCTGATTCGGCCAATAAAATAAGCTTATCCCTTTCTTCTTTTAGCAACTGTGAGAAATTGATTTCAATTGTTAGCAAAAAAAGTTTTTATTTGTGGAAATTTGAATTTATTTTCTAAATTACCTTCATGAAATAGTGTCCATTTTTTTCAATGACTGCTTTTTCAATTTCTATCACTTCTTCTTTTTCTTCTTTTTTTCCTTGTTCTTTTTCTTCTTCTATATCTTGCTTTGAATTACTTGAATCAAGAACGGGCAGCACTACTTGCGGTGCAGCCGGTTGCTGATCCGTTATACTTGTGGTACTCGAACTAAGTTGAAGGGAATTGTTTTTCAAATCCTTTTTCTCAACCTCCTCTGATACTGGACTCTTTTCTTTGGCTTCGTTTTTTACAGTGGCCACTGATAACCTGTGTCCGTGAAACAAAATTAATCATTATAAAGCTGCATTAACAATAAAAAAGAAAAGATACATAAATTAATAGATTAATTAGTAAGATAAATTAATAAAAAGAACAAATTAATTAAGAGATAAACTACTAATTAATAGATAAGATAATGTTTTTAATTTTATTTAATGGAATATTGAAAATATTGAATAAATAATTTGATTACCTCTGTAATGATTTTGTTATTTGTTCAGAGCCATCGGTTGGCTTTCGGGTATGAACAGCTGGAAGTTGAGCACGAAATTCCGACGGCAAACGTTTCAGAACAGGCAGGGACTCTTCTGTATTTGAATTATCTATAGAAGTATTATTATCGTGATTAATAGATTTATTATTAAAACTTGAATCGCTTGTATTCGATTTATTAAATGAGCTGCGTTTAAAGAAGAAACCCTGAGCAAGTGCACCTGGACCGTAAAGACGTTCCACCCGTTGTTCAATAAATGATTTTTCACTACTCGATGAACTATTCAATAAGTGATTGTCAAAATTTTGTGACGATCCATTGATTAAGCTTGTTTCACTAAACGAGGTATTCGTTACTGTAAAAAAAGTATAATTATTTTTTTAGTAATTTTTCTAAATTTATTTTTTAAATTTACATACCATGAACGGTAGTTGACTTTGGCGATGAAGAAGAATAGGAAATATTTTGTTGATTATAAGAAGCAACGTGAATGCTTCCGGGACTTCGTTTCGTTGTTACATTATTACGTATGGGACTAATTTCCGAATATGTTGAATTTAATGAAATTCCCTTATCAACTTCTGAATATCCTTCACAATTTATTGAGCTTTTATTATCGTGATATTTTTCAATTTTACCATTATTCTTTGTTCCATTTGTAAATCCATTTTGACGATCCATTGCTAAAGGTGAAATCGATTGACTTTTCGATGGGAAACCTTTATTTGATGGTATATTCAAATTCTCGTTAGATCTGTAAAATTTAAAAAAAAATATTTTAAATTAATTTAACAGATAATTTAAAAAAAAAATTAATTACCTAAATCCAACAGGACTAGCTTCTCTAGTAATTAATCTTGCTCCAGGACTACTATCCCTTGAACGGAAACCTTCTCGCAATTTACTATCGTATCTGGTGATTCCAGAATATCCGCTTATACTGCAAGAAAGTCCTAGATAACTAGGTTTCTTTACTGTCAGCTGATCAATTTCATTATAGTGATGGCCATTGTTAACATTTGAACTCTTGCCGTTAGTAGTTGCGTGTTTAAGCTGTTGATTTTCACTATTTCCGTTTCGCAAATTATCAGCTGATGGTGTTTGCTCACCGTTGAAGGATAAATTAAAACTGTGCAATGTTTTCTCCGATAAAGAATCTACTGTTTTTTCTGTAAAAAGAAATAAAATTTTAATTATTGGTATTTGTTTTTTCAAGGACAAAAAAAAAATAGAATTTATTTATTAATTTTAATATTTATAACAGTTTTCTTAATTTTCTTCACGACAATTGCACCAAATACCAAATTTAGATCATTGTATATAAAATTAAAAAAAATTTCTCTCCTCTTCAGAATTTTTATTCTTAATTTTTAAATTTAATTCTATTTTTTGGTAATTAACAAATTTATACTTATTCAAAAATGTAAAATATTTTTAGTTTTTTTTTTTTGACAAGCTTGGAAAGGAAAAAAAAAAAAAAAAAAATTGGGATTAGAATTTTCAGGAAAAATTCTCGATTTGCCAACCTGATGGGTCGGAGGCTGATTGATCGACGTCCAAGCTACAACTGCCGATGCTCTCCTGGCTCGTCATATTTGGATGTTTATTTTTTGTCGTGCTAATGAACTCTGGATCAACTCGATGATAATTTAATGGTTGCACTGACAGTGACAGGGGCCTTGTTCGTCTTGGGGCCCTGTCTGTACCTCCACTATCGGAGACCAGTGTCACTGTTAAATTTCCGTTTCCAGCTTCTTCTAATCCAGCCACTTCACCATGTACAGGACCTCTTCGTCTTCGCCAATCTTCCAATCCACGGTCTTCTACTTGCACACTGTTGATATTTTTCTTTTCTTGTCAAAAGTTTCATTTTTTATAAATTTTATATTTTATCATAATATGAAAAAAAAATTCCCTTCTCTTTATTAAATAAATTAATAAAAAATTCAATTAATAAAAACAAAAAAAAATTTTACCATTTTGATAAATTTTTTTTTTTAAGAATCCTTTTTCTCATTTTATTGTAGGTATTTAAAAATTTAATATTAATTTTTATTTAATGAAATTATATTTTCAATTAAAAATCTCAAAAAAAATTGCAAAAATAGTGAAAATAATTATTTAATTATAAAAAATTGTGATTGTAATCGGATTTTGTGGTGAAAGAAAATTAAAATATTTAGAAAAATAGATAATTTTTTTTATCGAAATCGCGAGTCTAAATTTAACATGATTTTTTTTTTTTTATTATTATTACAATTTATTTACATTATTCGTAAATAAATAAACAGTAATATAAGAGTTTACGTCCTGATTATGTCGGAAATGCAACCTCATTAAATACATTCTCTTGGCATATCTTTTCTTCACAACACATATGGTTGCAGAATTTTTTTTTTTTTTTTTTTTTTTTTGCAAGATCAAAATACATGACTAAGCGCAATACTCTACAGTAATCAGATTTTTTTAAAAAAACACGATTGCAATCAGGTCTCTAAAGTATCTTTCACAATTTTTTAAATATTAATTTATATGATCCTTTTTACTTCTTTAATATACGATTTTTTAACATAAATTATTTATTTATTGAAAATATATAATTATAAAAATTTGATTTATTTAAAAAAAAGTATAAAATTTTTTAGCAAATAAAAATTATTTATTTAGAAAATTAATTGAAAATTTAATTCAGTTAATTGAGATGATTAAATTTTTTAAGTCAATTTCATAAATTTAATAAATTACTTTTTTTTAAATTACTCCATTGAATGAAAAAAAAATTCATTGAGTAATTTAAAAAAAAAAATTATTCAATTTCAGTTTATTAAATTTGCATTATATTAATAAAATTTCAAATTAATCATCTTCTCAGAATTTAAAATCAAATATGAATGATAAAAAATCTTTTAAAATTATTGAATCATCGAAATTACAAATTAAAATTTCGGATTCAAATTTTAAAAAAATTTCTCCAAAAAAAATTTATTCGATTCAAATAAATATTTATTTTAGTGATTATTTGAATTAAATACATTTTTTCAAATGCATGTATTTTTTAAATAATTAAATATATATAAATTATTACATTCATGCTAAAAATTCGATTTCTATCTCTAACATCAAATTCGTGCAATGATTCTCTAAAAAAAAAAAAAAATTATGTACAAAAAGACGAAGTGAAGTTTAAAAAAAATACAATTCACATGCTTTAAAATGTATTTATATAAACAAAAAAAATATTTTACACATTTAAAAAAAAGAATAAGCAAAAATAGAAAAAATAAAAAAAAAACCCAAAAAAAATGTAAGAAATATAAAATTTAAATGTTAAAAAAAAAAATTACAAACGTACAAGATGTTCTTTATGACTTCTCAAACTTTATGGTATTAGTTTTCAATCCCCTAATTAGGATTCACGCTCCAATTGATCCTTGAAACAGACGGAAGCATTCACTGTTTCTAAAAACGGCAAACCACTTCACAAAAAATATTGTTTAAAAAAAAAAACACTGAATTATTTTTTTTTTTTTTTGTTATTAACTAATAAAAGCGGCGTTTTTAAAACAGAAATTTCAAGCCTTCCTTTATATATTATTTGCATCTATTTTTCTATGAAAAAAAAAACTCTTTCAACACTGATTTTTTGGGAAATTTTTTCCATACCTTCGTCGCCAATGTTTCCATAATGAAAACTTCGAACCACCTTCTTTTTTAATGACAGGATTAACCGTGTAGGTACCGGTCTCAATTTTCAATGGCATTTTTCCCTAAAAGTTATAATTTATAACTTTGGAAATTGTAAAATTTATCAAAATAAAATCGTTTTCCAAGAAAAAAAAAAATTCACACCAAGCTTGTAATAATAATAATAATTTTTTTTCAAATAAATAACACCGCACACTTTTTTTTTTTTTTTAATTCACTCGTAAATAAAAGCAATGCAAAGGGAATAGAAAAAAGAATTTTTTTTAGCTTGAAAAATTGGTTAATGAAAAGTGTGATTATTTTATTATTAAATTATCAATTTTTTTCCCCGTAAGGTTATTAATTTTTTTTTTTTTTTTTTTTTTTTTTTTTAATAATCTCTAAGTTGTTAGTGTGACTAGTTTCCGAAGACTGGCAGAGTATTCGGACATTTCCATCTGATCATGGAGCTCTTCTGTGACAGGCTTTTCCTTTCTCTCTCTCTCTCTTTCTTTTTCTTTCTTTTAGTTTAAACTATATATATATATACTATCTTTCTCCAACTCTTCCCTATGTCGTTCTTAGGGCAAGAGTGTATTTTAGGAACAGTCAAAAAATCACGGTACCGGCATTTTCACGCGCGACTGTGCACTTTAGTTCAGGAACTAAGACTGAAACCATATAAAAATATCAAAAAGCCCCACAAAAGAAACGAATATATATATATATATATCACACAGTTTGTGAAAATAAAAGAAATTTTAATGCATTTCCTCAAAAACCATTATTATTCGAATATTCACAAAAAAATTTATTATTAAAAAAATTATTCCAATTTTCCTAATCACAATTTATTTTTTTTAATCAATAATTAAATTAAAAATAATAATTAGAATTTTATAAACTAGAATTTAGTAAAAAAAAAAAAAAATTTATTTAACCGAATTTTATAAAACAAAATTTTTATATTCTATTTTTTTTCAAGAAAATTTTTTTATAATATTTGTATAATTTTCAAATTCCGGTACACAGAATCGTTGATTTATTTAAAATGCATTATTTGAAATATAATGGATATAAATTATATATTCTTGCATCCCTTATTACTCTATTTTAAACGGGATGTAACTAATTCTGATATTTAAATTTCATATAATATAATGACGTTTCTCATCATATTTCGAAAATTCCTTTACCTTTTTCTTTTTTTTTTTATTATATTTTGAAAAATCTTAAAATAGCTGATAATTTATTTTTACTCGCGCATATATAGAACAAAAGGTATAAAACATCTGTCATTTTCGAACTTAAATTCTATTAAAAGATCATTTTTTTTGCAGGCAGAGGAATTTCAAAAATTCTGCATCTGCCACTAAAATACTTTTTGTGAATATTTAAAATTTTATTGTCATTTTTTATTTTTCTCCAAAAATTCCTAATTTTTTTTTTCCAAATCAAAATTAAATAATTTTTAATAATTAATAATAATAAATATTTTTTAAAAAATTATATAATTAAAATTTAATTTAGTAAATAAATAAAATTTATAAATTAAATTAAAAAAATTAGTTAAAAAAAAAATAATAATTTTATAAATTAATTAAATTTCTGTCACATGTTAAAAAGTTCCTAAATTAGAATAATTCTTTTGGAAAAGAAGAGAAAGAGTGAGAGGGAAATTTTATTTGATAATTTTATTTTGGATGCTAAGAATATTCGTTTGTATTCGCATTATAATGAAAACTGACGTCTCGGGGAGAAAAAAAAAAAAAAAAAAAAAAAAGAATCGAAAAGTCAGGGGGCTTTTGGTTCGTTTAACATGACACTTTCAATATTATAAAAGTCTGCGTTTCTTAAATGATCAACGTAGGTACTAACTGAGAGTGCGAAAAACGTTCACTCCGCACACTCTGACAATAATGACTTTGCGAGATGAATCTTTTAATTTACGATTACATATAGTCACAAAAATAGTATAAAAAAAAAAAAATGAAACTTTTATCCGGACAACAAAATTCTTCAAATTTTTTTTTTGAAAAAACAGAAAAAAGAGTTGAATGTATTTTTTATTATTATCATTATTATTATTATTATTTATTATTTTATTATTATTATTTATTGAATTTTTTTTATATTAAAAAAAAGGAATAATAATTTAATAATAAGAATAAATATTGTTCAAAAAAAAAATAAAAAAATCTAATTTTGGAAAAAAATGTTTTGCTTTCAAAGTGGTAAAAAATTTTAATATTCATTATTTGATCATATTTTCGGGAGCTATAAAAGATTTCTCTAAAAACAAAAATCTTGAAGAATCTGTTCGAATATCAGTCTTGTCTGTTTTAAGTGACTTTTGAACTCTAAAAGCAAAAACACAAAAATTCTCTAAGCCTATATAGGCGTAAAGATCTCCAGCTGCGTGCGAAAGGGGCTCTCTTTTGTACCACCATAAATATACCATCGAATTGGCAATCATAAATTCTTTCTGTTTTAATAAAAAAAAAAATTTTTTTTTTCTCTTCTATTTTTGTAAACAAAATTTCTTTAGCAAAAACGAAAATTTTTTTTTTATTTTAATAAGAATATAAAAATTTTTAAACTGAATTTCTTTTTAAATAACTGTAAAAATGACGTGTGTGTTTTTTTTTTTTTTTTAATGAATTTAGAGCAATTTTTGCAGACTAATTATAATTCATGAGTTTTGAGGACATGCGACAATTATTCTAACTATCGCGTCAAATTAAACCAATTTTATTAATAAACTTGTCTATTAAGAAGAGCTCTAAAAAGATTTTTATCAATGAAAGAAATTCTTACGCGCATGGAAAAAAAAGTGAATACTACACTTCCTTATTAGTTTGAATATAATAATCTCAGAAATATAATTACAATACTTATATCTTGTATATGCTTCTTGACCTTTTATTTTCCGCCTACGAAAGGCACGTGTGTATTAACTTAAATTGGGCGCTATAACGGCATATATTTATAAATCTCAAGACAAGTCATTTACCGCAGTTGTCATTAAAAAAAAGAAAAAAAAATATTAATTTTTTTCAAAAAGCAAAAAAAAAATTTTTATTTTATCAAATTGAAAAAGAAATATTAATTCTAAAAATTCATTAGGGAATTTTTATTTTCAATTTAGAAACGAATTCTATTCGATTAAAAATATTTTGTTTTTGGTCAAAGTTTTAAAAAAAACGAGGAGAATATTTCTCGAAAACAAAGCGAAATTTTGATGAAACTGGCTAGACAGTAATTTTCCTCTCTCCTGTAATTTTTTTTTTTTTTTTTTTTTTTGAAAAATCTTTGCGTTCTTGTCGCCAAGACGGTCGCGACAGTGGGGTAAGTGACACTACATGAACTCCCGGATTTCTATATATAAGCACAAATAAACCACTTTAACTTTTGAACCGTGCTACATATATTTAGCTTTCTTTCCTTTTCTTTACCACATGAGTAGCATCTGACCGACTCTTTTTAGAGCTCTTCTCAAATGAGCAAGAGAGCAAGAAAAAAAAAAGAAAATGAACAAGAAAAAGGGAAAACATTATTTATATGAAAGTGAACGAAAGTATAATTGTGTCAATCGTATTTTCAGACAGAATTTTTATCTATTTTAAATCAAAAAAAAAAAAAAAATTATGAAAAAAATTGCTAAAAAAATATTCTATTAATAAATTTTTTTAAGTGATCGATAATTATTTCAGATTTAAAATTTAATAATTAAAAAAAAAATAAATAAAACTGATTTATATTTAGGTATAAAATAGAAAAGTAAAGAGGATCTTGCTCAATTTTTTCAAATAGAACGCGTATTCCTGGAAAAAAAAAATTTTCTGAAGAAATCGTAAAGGAATATTGTAAAAGTTGATCAATTCCTTACTCGTGTAAAATCTGATTAGAATCGTTAAATCACAAATGCGTGTGTTTTGTAAGAAGCTAGTTTTTTCATGATTAAGAAATTTTTTCTACAAATTAACAGAATATGGAAATTTTTTTTTAAATTAGACAATTTTTTCCAATTTTAATTAAAAAAAAAATATCAATTTTTTTTTAATTTTCTAATTTAAAAATTGACAATATTTTATATATTTTGAAAGTTAAAATATAATTGGAACCTCGTTCAGGTTAATTATGTAAAAAAGGGATTAATTTAATAAAACAGTCTTAATTTAATTTCTAATTTTGTTTCCCGTTAATTTTTCAAAAAAAAAATCTTCTCTTTTAAATTATATTCATGCTCGTAAATTGAAGGCCGATCAATTTCATTCATTAGTCTATTAATGTCCGGAAACAAAAGAATATTATATGATGATTGAGAGGTCAATTATCTTGAAAGTATATATATATCTTGATCTTTTTGATATACAATTGACGATCTAGTTAAATTATTATTTTCATTGTTTATACTTCCAATTATTATTGATTTTGTCTCTCATCAAGACAATTAAATATTATTATTTATTAATTAAAAATATTAATATCCACGATAATTGAAAATCAATTGTTTATTATAATAATAATTATAATATTATAATATAATAAACTTTATTTATTAAATTTTATTATTAATAATTAATAATTTAGTAATAATTATTATATTTTTCAAAATTTATCAAATAAATAAAACAATGAAATTACACGGAATAATTTATACTTTCACTGTTTTATTTATTTAAATAATTATTTTCACTATTAGAAAAAAAACAATGACAATTTTATAACAATTACGAAATAATTTCATAGAAAAGAGTCGTGCATCTTAATTTTTTTTTCTCAGAATTTTATAAATTTTCGTGCTACATAAAGAACATGCAAAATCTGAGAAAACCTTGGACCACTTGATTTAAATATTTCTCGAGTTTAGAACGTCAAAAAAAAAATAAATTTAAAAATTATTATTACTTTTTCTTGATTTTGAAAATAATTCACAAAAAAAATAAAACTCACGTTCACAACTTCATTAATATTAAAATCAAATTTTTTTTCAATCACTAAATACAAAATGATTTTTTCGTTAATATTGTGCATAAAAAATAATTGTGAGGATGTTAATAAAAAAAAAAAATTTTTTATCAACAAATGTAGGTGTAGAAAAAAATGTATATATAATATACAATATAAAATTTACAATGTCGTTTGGCACGTGCAGATGTCGTGAAGCCGGGAAATGATTTATATGAACACAAGGACGATTATTAATGACAAAATTGACGCTTGGTTATTTGAAAAAAAAAAATTTGAACACAAATTGAAAATTATAAATAAAGTTCCTTTCATGAACTTATAAATGGATTTCAATAATTGATTATTAATTAATTATACTTCAATCAATAATAATTAATTTGTCTGTCTTGATATAAATTATTTAAATATTTTTAATTACTTTATTTCAGTCATTATTTAAAAAAAAATCGTAATAATTAACATTATAATAAATAATATACTAATAATATTATTTAATATAATATTTTATTGATTTATAATCAATATAATTTGTCAACATAAACCTTTCATTTCAGGTCAAATTATTTATTTATTATTAACTGTTTTAAAGAATTCAGTGAAATATGGTGCGTGCACTCTTTTTTTTCGTGTTATGCGTGATCGATTTTAAGTAACGTAAGAGAACCGGATTTCCGAAGAAGGAAAACCGGCAGGATGCAGGTTGCTTGTATTTTCAAAACGCCCACTCTCGTATTGTAATTATTCTAAAATCTTAACCGAATGTGATGAATTATGGAATTATAAATTAAAAGATTTATTTAAAAAGGTAAAGATTTAAAAATATAAATTACAATTTATTCAAAATGGAAAAAAAAATCTAAATCGCGAATTTATTTATTTTTTTTTCACTTCCAATGAATCTTAACTAGGGAAATAAATCATTCTTAAAATAGAGCGAAAGAAATTTTTTTTTTAAAAAAAGAAAAGATCGAAATTTCAAATAATCATTCTCGCGTGTAATTAATGAGTCGACGATTCTCTTTTTATCTCTGAAAAAATTTGATCGATTTAATAAAAACTTCAAAGTATAGAAATTAATTTTAAATTTATTTATTTGAGAATAGTATATTTATAAAAACTGGTAACTTCTTGCTAATGATAACCGTATTTATATAAAACTCGACATCAATGTCATTAAATAGCTATTTTCTATTTTAATGGAAGAGTCACACTCTACTGACGAATAATGTCATATAATTAATTTAATAGTTGTGGTAACTAATAATAATAATAATAAAAACAATAACTTAAATTATGATTTTAAGTCATGTCCATTAATATTTACAATATAGAATATCTAAGCAAATATTGACTAGATGTAAAAAAAAAAAATTTCTTATTCAAAATTAAATTTTTGTCATAATATTATTTAAATTTAAATATTAATTTTAGGTATTTCTCGTTTTTAAAAATAAATTAATTTAAAATAAAAATCTTGAAAAAAATTAATTCATATTTCCAATTTTGTATCGGAATTTAAAAATATATATTTAAAATTTAATGAGATTTAAAATTCAAAAATAATTATCGAAAATATAGAAATGAGACAATAAATATAGTCTATAGCCTTCTTAACGGTGTAATAATACAATCATCGAACGGAATATAACCGAACTGTTTCTTAGACTTTAACAAGGAGTAACGACCCTTCTTCGCGTGAGAAATGCACCTTCCGTGATTGAAACTAACTATGACGGTAATCATTCGGTTTTCATGATAAATTCGCCAGTGTATTTATTTATATCTAGTCCATGATTCTTTCACTGAATTAAAAAAAAAAAAATATTTTCTAAAAAAAAAGAATAATTTAACGATATAAAAAATACCATATCAAATTATTGTCAGAAATTTGAAGAAAATTAAAAAGGGTAAAAAATTAAATAAATAAAAAACCGTTGCTTGATTAAAACTCGGAAGGCAAGGAGGTTGAGAAGTTTCAAAATTGAATGCGTGGACTGGTCTTTGCCCACACATAGGGTGCGAAGAAAGTTTTATTCAAGGTCGACACGATTCAGGCTACATATATGTATATATATGTTTAAACATTTTGTGACATCACTAACAAAATTTGTAGTTCAATACTGTATTTTAATTAGATGCACACCATTACGTGAACAATTTATCGATTATACAAATTCGGATTCATCACTTCAATGTCACAAATCTAAATCATTTTCTTTTTATTCGCATAAAACTAGAAAAATACAAATAATATAACTAATACTCTATTTCTTCAAAATAATTTGCAAAAATAACGCAAAAGTAGGTTATTTACAATTTTTCTCCAAAAATTGTAATTTGCAAAAAACTATAAAAACACTAGAATATAGAAGAATAATTTGTTTATAAAATACAAACAAATTACCATAATACTATATAATATCAGAAGAAAACACCAAAATCCTAACCTCACATTGAATGTCATTCATAATTTCACGTGATTACGAAATATTAAATCTCCATTGTATCTAATTATTTAAAATCTAATATTATCAAAAATTAATTATTAGAGGCATAAAAACTTGTCAATTATCAATCAGGTGTTTATATTATAACATGAAAAGGTTATAAGTGCACGCATTGACCTGTATATAAAATGACGTTCTGACAACGATGATGGGAGTTTTGACGAGAACAAGCAACGTGCATTACCGGTAAAATGAAAACCGATAGAATTGAAAGAAATGAAATTAGAATAGAAATATCACGTTGGGTAATTATGTCAGATTGCAAAGAAATTCAATGATGATTTCGAAATGACGTTTACTTTTTGCGAGAGTGATTGTTGGGTGTACTCACGTTTTTGTGGATTGCCAGCTTTCAGAATTTGCAGGATAACCGTTGTAATTTGTTCAAAAGAATTTTCTCTCTAACCGGATTTACACAATGGTTCACTTGGAATAATTTAGCGGTCAGGGTGTGCCCCGAATTTCCATGCGAGCAGTAATAGCATCCGTGATCCGTCAAACGCAAACTGCCATTGCCATCTTCCTGTCAGTGTGTCATGCGATATTAGCCACACAGCGGCAAAAGTCGGAAGCTTACTGCAGAATTTAAAATTCAGCGCGAATTTTGAAAAAAACAACCTTCATTAACAATTTTTGGTTTATTTATATAAAAAAAACTGTTTTCAAAACATTTTTCCACAAACATAAAAAATTCAAATTCCACAAATATATATTTTTAATTAATTAAAAGAATAATTTTTATTTAATATTTCCCGCGGGTGAGTTAACGTCAGGAACGTATCCAGTGGGCACACAGTAACGAAAAGTTATCAAAATAGTAACGTAAAAAGTAATTTAATGTTATCAAAATGAGTTTCATCTAAATCTAGTATTTTACTTAAAAGAAAAATCTTTTTTTCTAATTTGTTTATAAATAAAAAAGATAAAAAAACATGAGGAAAATTTTTGATTTGATTTGTAGAGAAAAATTGATGACCTAAGGGCAATAGGAAAAAAGAATACACTCCTGATATTTCACTGTTCAATGTTTTTAGCATGCATATCACTTCGAACTAGCACATTATGCGTATCACTTCGGACTAGCACGTTTCGATATACTGGCTTTTACTACTGAAAAACTTGCAAGGTGCATGACACGAACTTATGGATCTTTAAATACTGTTAATTTATCAACATTTCTCATTATCAGGTACGTAATAATAGTGAATTTATATGAGAAAAAAAATTTCACACTCGCAAAAAGTATTTTTATCGCGTCAATAATGAAACTCAACGTAATTTTATTGACTTTATATCAGAAAAACTCACGCTGAACATTCGACCACGTGGGTCGCATGAACCGAAAAACAAGATTTAACTCCAAAGCCGGAAAAACATCAAACACACTATCAGCCACGAGATTTTTTTACTTTTCTTAAAGTTCAAAGCAGTCGAGACGAATTTTAAAAAACATCTATTATTTAGGTAAGTTTTTCACAAATACCTTTTCATATTTTATTACTTTCTCGGCAATACAACGTAATCGCGTGGGACGAAGTGGCGTGACACAATATAGCGTGTTTTTCAACTAGAAAAAACAAATTTTCCATTAAAATATTTCTATTTTTTAAATTTTCATTTTTATAATTTTAATATAAAAAAAAAATAAATATTGTTTTTATATTTTTCCCCCCCACGAGGCATAAAATATACTATTTTCAGTGGTGTTTTTTTTTATTTTTATTTAGCTAATTTTTAAATTGTATTCAATTTATCGAAAGTGAAAAAAAAATTTAATTTGCGAATTTATATTATTTTATTTGTAAATATATTTTTTTATTATTTTTGTTTATATTGTAATTTCTTTTTTTTTAATATTTGTTGTTTTTTTATTTTATTATTATTATTATTTCATTTTTAAAATTAAATATTTAATTGAAAAAAAAAAATAATTTTTCACTAAATGTATTTAACTTTTTTTTCAGAAAGAATTATGATTTAAAAATTAAGAAAGAAAATTAACTTTCTTTACATTGAAAATGCAAAATTATTTTAATAACAAATAAAACGTTTGTTGAACAAATAAATTGTGATAGACAAAGAAAAAAAGAAGAAGGAAGACTTTTATGTTGTCAAATTAGACTGCAAATTAAAATTATCTGTATTTTTGGAGGCTGTGAATTAACAAAAAAAAAATAATAATTTTTTTTTAATTTAAAATTATGGCAAACGATGAACCTAAGTCGAAGAAATTTAAACATTCCGTCATTTCGGAGCATATGTACGACATTAATTTTCAAGAAGATTTTTTCAATCATTGGCACAATTATACGGCTGTGAAAACGGAAAATCTCGAAATTATACCAAGACCATTTCGAGTTTGTAAAATTTCCAATTTTTTGAAGAACGATGAGCTAATGGACGAGGTAATTGCATTACTTTTCTTTTAGTTCATTATTATCGTTTATCATTTGACATTTATCGTATTTTGTTTCATTTTATTATCATTTATCGTTGTATAGAAAAAAAAAATTTAAACTGAAGATTATAATGTATTATTTTGAAAATGATTTTTTTTTTCAGATAAAGAGTGAATTATGGAACGTAAAGACTCGAAGAAATAGTATTGATCTTTATCAATTTGAACAATCAAAGGATCTTGCAAATGTAATGAGTAAAAATTTAAAAAATCTCTTTGCCACTTTTCAAACGGATTTGGCAACATGGATGAAGCGTAATACGAAAATTGATTTAAATAAAAAAATATCAATTTCCAGCGCCTGTTATTCAGATACTGATTTTTTATTGTGCCACGATGATAATATGGGCGATCGAAGAATTGCCTTTATTCTTTATTTATCAAAAAATTGGGAAGCAAGTGACGGTGGTGCTTTGGAACTTTTTGATACCGATGAATATGGTTTGCCAAGGGATGTTGTTGAATCATTAATTCCCGAATATAATTCATTAATTTTTTTTGAGGTCACCGATAATTCTTATCATCAAGTTGCTGAGGTTGTTTCACCTGATAAAAGTCGATGGAGTATCAGTGGATGGTTTCATGGACCAATAATTGAAAAGGAAAATATACCGAGGCCAATTTTTGATTCAACACCAATTGATCCAGTGAATATTGATTATGATTTAAAACAATGGGTAAAATTATCGTATCTTTGCACAGAAACAATAAAAGAAATTCAAATGAAAGTTGAATATGAATCGTGGGCATTTTTAACTGATTATTTTTTATCCGATGTTTATGAAAAATTATCACAAGAAATAATGAGTGATAATATAAGATGGACAAAAGTTGGACCCGCTGATCACAGAAAATATGAAATTGCCGACGAAGAGAGTTTACCTGAAATGTTAAAAAATTTTTGTCAACTATTTAAATCAATAACAATGTTTGAGATGTTGAAAAAATTAACTGATTTAGATTTGGTACCAGTGACAGAAACAATGAAACCGAAAATGCGAATTGAATTACAAAGGTGGAACGTTGGTTGTTATACATTATTGTACGATGAAGTGAACGATCCACAACTTGACTATAGTACTGATAAAAAATCTGTGATAAATTATGAATCAGGAACTGAGGGTAATGTTTTATTGAGACCAAATTATTATAATAATCATCATCATCATCATCATGGTAATGGATCATCAGGAAATAATTGTCTTGGCGAAACAATAAATACACCTCCAAGTAGTGAGGATGAAAATATTGAAAATCAGAATGTTAAAAATGAAGAAGAATTAAATTTAAAGAGAAAATTATGTGAAAATAATCGTCGTTTATCAAACGATGGTAATATGTCATCATCGAAAAATGCCGTTAAAGATGAATCAGATTCAGGTGAAGCGGACATTGAGGAAAATGAAGACGAAGAAATGAGAAGGCGAATTTTAAATCGTAAACCAAAAACATCAAAAAGAGTGAAATTGCCATTATCTGATTTTGAAATGAGTCGAGGAACCGATTCTGAAGAATCAGATATTGAAGATTATTTATCAGATCCAAAAGAATATGAAGAGGAACAGGAGAAAAATGAAGATGAACCCGTGGCTCTTGGTGGGAGTCTAGATGTGATATTACAATTCCATACAAATAATGTTCCGGAAGATTTGTCTATAGATTATGCATCTCCACAAGATGAAAGCACTATAATTAAAGTGCCTGCTAAAGATAATTATTTATGTTTGGCATATAAGATAAATAATACTTGCAGGATTCATAATTATGTTAATCATTATTGCAAGGGATTTTTCTATAATTTGTTATGTACCTATTACGAGTAAATTTTTGAGCGTATTGCTCATTTTTTTTTCTTTTTCTTTCTTTCTTTTTTTTTTTTTTTTTTTGTTGTGATTGACTGATATGTTTAAGAACATAGACTCGACTTGCGGAACGATATTTTCTTTTCTTATTTTTTAGAAACTTTTTTTTTTGTACAGTTCTGTAAAGTTCAAAATTATGTAGCAAAAAAGAAGAAAAAAAAAAAAAAAAAAAAAAAAAAACAAACAAAAAGAATCCAAGCTTTGTCAAATCTGTGGAATGTTTGTCGTGCGATTGGAATGTAATATATTATTTGTATTAATAAATTCATCAGTATTTATGATCCGTTTATATAACTCTTGTTGCATTATTTCGAAATAATAACTATAATAATAAATTTCATTCTCAAGGCACATGCAAAATGTAAGATTCAAATTAAATATTAATTAATTCATAATATCGTTGATTAATTAATTTTTAATTAATATGAGAATGAAGCTTTATGTAAATAAATTTAGAGAATATATATTATAAAGATTCAAGATGCAAAAAGCGAATATTTAAAATTTATTAATAGAATTAAAAAAAAAAATTTATAAAAAGCTTACGTCCGTAAAGTGGAGGAATCTCGATTTCTTTCGAGTGATTGAACTTCAATTGTCGGATGAACCAGTATTTGAGCCTTTATGATATTTTTTGTAGTTACCTAAAAGAGTAAATGAAAAAAATTTGTTTCTCCGAAAAAAAAGGAAACAAAAATATATTTTTATATAAATTCTTTTATTAATATATAAAGATTTATATATTAATAATATGTATGTCTTAATAGTTTTGAAATAATTATTTACAGTTTTTGGTTTCGTTGGAGAGACACCAATAATTTTCTTCTTCAATTCATTTATCTCTAATTCCTGTTGATAGCTGACATCGATTTCTTGAGATTCTTCTCTTTTGTGATTATTGATTGAATCAGAGGCATATTCTACTTGAACCCAAGGACAAATTGTTGGTGACGATGGTAATGAAACTTTGCTTCCAGGCCGTGATAAACGTGGGGATAAGCGTTTTAATAAAGATACAATTTTTGATCTAAAAATTATGATAAAAAAAATTTTTTCATAGAAATTAAAAATATTTTTAAAAAAAAATTATATTTTTAAACGTACTTTGTGCTTGATGCAGATAAATTAGATGTTAAATGTCCACTTTTTGAGAGTTGTTCAGTACTTCTTGAACCATCTCGCCAATTTAATTTATCAGAACTAGAATTTACTGTTCTACCAACTCTCCAATCTAAACTATTACTATGACGTCCTTGCAAGCCTAAAGAATAAAAATATTTTACTAAAAAAAAAAAATTGCAGATAATTGATATTTATTAAAATACAGTAGTCTCTCGATAAGAGTTTTTATTTAACAAAATTCAAGTTTCAAATTACAGTATTCTTTCAAGAGGACCTAAATTTTTAAACTCAATTAAAATAAAATCAAATTTTATAAAAAAATAATGAAATTTCGTTAATTTATAACTAAAAAAAAATTTACCGATAAAGTTACCTGTTTCCTCAACCTGATTAATTTTCCAGTCCGAGGAAGTATTATTTCTATTGACATTATAAATGTTATCACAGGATTTTGTTTCAAGGCAAGTCGCTTGATGACGACGTCTTAACAGTCTTGATACTGGTCCCATATTTCTAAGATGAAAAACAAAAATTCTATTACAAAACTTTTTTGTCAATATTAAATCGTTTTTATCGGAGTTTTTATTTTTAGCGTTTTTTTTTTCTTCGTTTCATTGCTATGTGATGACATAGCAGAGAAGAGCACCATTTGTGTGTATGGGAGAAATATATATCCTCCATTGGAGCCATTCATCTCCAATATTATTACGATTTCCATTTTTCTCCTCATATGGCTTTATTGTGAAAAGTTTTCTCATTGATTTTTTTTTTTTTAAATAAAAAAAAATATATTTCACATATATAATAATGGAGATGTAAAAAATGTCTCCTTATATAATAAAACGAAAAATCAATTTACGTATAAATATGGATATTAAATTTTATTTGAATTGAAAAAAAATGTTTTGAACTCATTTTCACATTATTCCATTAATTAAATGGAGATAAAACAGAAAAACTAGATCATTGCATTTATATAACTTACTTTTTGTATTTGCGCGTCTGTTCTATTGGCGGTTTATTTTCACAAACAGTTTTCTCTTCCGGTTCCATACAAAACATTCCAATTCGCACGTGACTATAAGCTGCTCTCAATTGAACTCCATCCAATGGACGAAAATTTGCCCGCTCAATTGACGAGACGCGAACAATTTCAATTTTTGGTCGACCCTCCATTTTTTTCATTTACTTTCAAATATTTTCTTCCTTTTTTTTTGGAACTAATTTAATATTAATAATTTAGAATATTTCGCATAACGAAATGTTCCTTTTGAAAAATGATATTTTCTTGTTTCTTCTGTAAATATATTTTTTTAAAAAAACGTTCTTTGTAGACGTTTCTTTTCTTTTAAATATTTAAATGATATTTATCGTCATTTTTTTCAAATATACAAATGACATTGTTATTAATACTAATTTAATCACAATTTAAATGATTTGTGATTTAAAAAAAAACATTTTCAAAAATGAAATGATTTTTCCATTGAAAAACTTTTTTTCTTCTTTTTTTTTTAGTCACATTGAAATAAAATGAAACACTCAGTTAAAAATTGATTAGAAAAAAAATGTATACTACTTGGTATTTATCTCACTTGAAAACTATGTTCAGCACTTATTGTTAGTCTTGTGTTACACTGAATGTAACAAACTACCGTGACCATAGAATGTATATTAACACGCATGAGCTTATTGCTTGACATTTCTATTATGTTAGACATTTCCAGTGCAACTGGAATTCTGAAGGACAAGATTTTCCTCCTCAACTGAATTATGTTTCTTTTGCACCCTTGAAAAATGCTTCTCAATTTTTCTTTCTTTGTTAAGTTTCTTCTTCTTCAATTTCTATAATATACAAAACTTCTATTGTATTTTTCTCGCGCCAAAAAAGATTTATAAAAAAATTCCTCTTCTCTTATTTCAATCTATTTAAGAAAATCGACTGTCTTCTCATTCTTCATATTCTGTAAATAAATACAATAAAATAAATAAGGTAACTAAATTCAGAGATAAAAAAAAAATTGAAATTGAAATTCAAACGGTAATTATATTCTGTAATATTTAAAAAAAAATTAGTAATTATTATTAAAATAAATAATGAGTATAAAGAGATTTAAAGTGGACGTTATTGATGCATTCTTTCATAATTCGCTGACGTATATATCAAAGAGACACATTTAGTCATCAAGCAATTATAATTTCCTCCTTCTTAGTGCACTTAGTTTCAATAAGAAATCCAATAAATTGTATAACGAGAAATAAAATTAAAATCTGGATTTTTTTTAACTAATTCAAGAAAAAGTAACAAATTCAATTTTTTTTTTAATTTAACGCAGATAAAAAAAAATATAAATAATTAAATATTATTAAATTTTTTAAATAAAAATATATTAATATAGATGGATATTATTAATTTTTAAAAAAATTGCGTGAAATCTCCTGTAGAATTTATGTACACATAGAGATTTTTATGAGTTGACTTTTTTTTTTGTCCTGTACACACATCAATGATTTTTTAGAACAGCAAAGAAAAAAATTAGCAAATAAGCCATACCTATATGTGACCTATAGTGTTTTACGCTTCGCTGAACATTGTCAGTAGTTCAAGACGCCCGCGACGGATATGTAACAAGCGCGAATGCACAACTTATAGATGCGCAGCGAATGTTCACTGACAATGAATAATCGTCGAGGGAGAGAGAAAGAGCTTTTTTTATCCGCAAGCCGTTATCTCTTTACAATCAATGACTTTTTCCATCGACACTTATATGATACAGGTCAAATAATGTATTATTATATAAAATAAATCTTGCCTTTTTTTCAAAATTTGACGAATTTATCCCTGTTGAAATTTTTTTTCTTTTTTTTTTGGAATCAATGTTTTAGTAGCTTTACTACATATATAATAAGCGATGAGAAACCGGACCTTTCTCAACAATTTTCTACTTGTCGCTTTATTTATGTTTCAGAAAAATCTTTTTCATTCGCTACCCTCTTGATCCGTATATCTTCTTTCGATATAAAATATATTAAAACTGATATCGAAAACAAAATTGAATCTGAAAATATAAAAAAGAAAATAAATTAAAATAAGAAAAATTAATTTGATTGAGTTGAATTAAAATTCGCAAAAAAAATTAATTAAAATAATGGAAAAACAATTTCAATAATTTTTCTAAAAATTAAATTTAAATGAGAAAAAAGTGCCAAAACAATTAAATAACAAATAAAAGTAATTGAATTAAATTAATTAATAATTAGAGTTATGAAAAAACAAACAAAATTGAAAAAAAAAATTAACTAAATTTTTAAAACGCATTTTTTTTTCATTAAATTCAATTTGCACTTTTTTATAAATTAAAAAAAGAAAAATATCAACGCCTATGTAATTATATTGATATAAATTTGTCAATTTTTAAAATAAATATCATTTACACTTCCGCGTTATATAGAAAAATTGCACGCTAAATATTCGTCCCGCCCTGAATATTATGGTACAGACAGAGAAATTTTAAGAGGGAAAGCAAGACTGGAAAAATGTGTGTGCGCGCAAGAGGAAGAGATATATAAACAAGAATTTAAAAAAAAAAATTGCCGTATCCTCTTTTTCTTTTCTTTGTTGATATCCCACATAACTTCCGGTTAATACAAATGATTAACCGCGTTAAAAATGTTAAATTAACGTCTTTCTAATTAATGAAATCCGTTTTATAAATCATTTACCGTAAAATTGGTCTGAGAAAAAGGGGAAGAGAATTTCCCTTCTATTATCCGCCCGTCTTCTAAGTCGCCCTTTTTTCTTCTAATATATAATCTATACATTTATATTGTATATATATATAGATATATTTCGATCGCGACCTCCTGCGGGATGCTGACGACTGCGGCTTTTCGCTGAAAACATGACTCTGTCCCTTCCATTTCCCGGTGCGAAACACCAAGCCCCAGACGTGGACATGCGCTTTTTAGACGAATTCCAGAATTCTAGAAACAAGGATGTAGTCATTCATCCCGTATGCAAAATAAATGGGGTGAACGCACCGGCTTTCCAAACACCTTTTCAAAACAAAAAAATAATTTCAATATACCTGCAAAAAAAGAAACAAAAATTTCAATAATTAGAAAAAATTTTTTCACATATTTTGCAAAAAATAATTCTCATTTCTTGAATTATTTTCGCAAAAAGAAAATACAACAAATTTTGCAAAAATAATTTTAATTGCAACAATTATTTTATTGCAAATGTGTTTTTTTCCAGACTCATTTACAATAAAAATAAATTGATAAAAAAAAATCACTTTCGCAAATTAATAAAGAAAAGCTAATTACTAAACAATTAAGGAATTATTATTACTCCTATAGAATGAAAAAAAAGAAATTACAAAATATTAATTTCAAAACTTAAAACTAATTAAAAATTAATTCTGTAATTAAATTAATTCATTAGAAAAAAAAATTACTTTCAATTTTATATCAAAATTTAAAAAAATTTTCCCCAAAAGTAAAATAGCAAATAACAAAAAAAAAAAAAAAGAAATAAAAATTGCTGCTCTCAATAAATTTTTAATGAATTAATTTAATTCAAGAATCAGTCATAATTATGTTTTATTAATTATTTATTATATATTTAATATTTGTACACGCCCTCAGCATGCCACATACAATCAATATAATACATTTCAACGCAGCCAAGGTAGAATCAAAATACAAAAAATATATTTATACCTATATGTATTCTACATATCGATATTTGTTATCGCGATGTTTATAACGTTTCGATAAAGCTACGAGTATGGTACAAAAAGTATGCGAAATACAATAGGACACAATATGATCCGGCTCGAATCTGGCACGGCTATTTTTTTTTTTTTTTCATCTATTTATTTATTTCACTCTCGCGCCTTCCTTTTCTTTTCTTTTTTTTAAGTAATGGAACTTAAAAAATTCACCAAAAAAATTTTTTTTAATAAAAAACAACTTGCGATGTAATACAAAGAAAGGAAGGTCAATAATTGTTCAGTGCGAACATAAATATATTATTTAAAAAAAAAACCAATTTTCTTAAAAAAAATCGAGAAACAAGAAAAAATTATAAAAGGATGGCCACGCAAAATATTAAATTAGAATTATTCAACTAATTCAAGTCTTCTGAACGATGGAAAACAAAGGTAACATATTAATTATTATATGTAATAATAAAAATGATTCAACGAACAATGAAAAGAAATACTTCAACATTTTTCCTAAATTTTTCAATTATTTTTTTTTTTCTATATTATTACTTCTATTCTCTTGAAGTTCGTCTTTTTTCGTCAATTTGAAAAAAAGGTTAATAATTATAGTAAAATATACAATTGTTTTTTTTTTTTTCCTTATGAAAAGAATTTTTTTTTGAAAAAAATTTACTAAAGATACTTTATGTAATTATTTTTTTCAATTTCAATTATTTAAATAAGTGGCTTTATATTTTTCACGATGCCTTGATAAATAGAAAATGTTTAAGAAATAAAATTATGACTTTAATAAAAAACGTAATTACAATATGTATTATTACGTTAAATATTTTGTTGAAGTTTTGTTGTATATATCTATATATGAATGACTGTATTAATTTGTCACTAATTAATACTATTTAAATTAATGCTATTTTTTCACTGCTTCATATCTCTTACTATTTCTTTTTCTTTAAAAAAAAAGAAAAGAAATAAAAATAATTAAAAAAAAAAACCTCACTCGTTCATTTTATATATATAATATATATCACATTCTCGTGCGATACAAACAAAATAGGACAAAAAAGAAAAACAAAACAGATATAATATAATTAACATTACTTAAATACCTCGGTTCAATATTTTAACTTCATATTTTTTTTTACAACCTTTATTAGTACTCTCTCACACGCACCCTATCGCTCTAACGTAAATTTTTACTATTTAGCATTTTTTTTTATATATATATATATATATATATATTATCAAATACATTAGTTTACAAACAATGTGGATTAAATGTCGGCGTCCCACAAAAACGACTCAACAATTTCAAGAAAATATTTAATAATTGTCTTCGGTTTGACGAAGATATTTTTAGAGAAAGGATGGAAAATCAAATAAATATGAAATTTATAATAAAGAAATTGTATAGTAAAAGAATGTTTTGTGTGAAAATAATTTTTTTTCACAGGAATTTATTTTTTTTTTTGTAGAAAAAAAATAATGAAGATATAATAGAATGTTAATTCATTTGGAAATAATTTCAAAAACCTTTTTTTAAAGAAAAGGGGAAATGAGGAATTCGTAAACCGAAAATTTCAATATAACAAAGAGAAAAGAATCATTGTGATTCTTTGAAGCGATTTTTTTTTCGCAGGTACGTCGACGATTAAAACAATAAATCTATCTTATTGAGCTACATACATATGTACACAACCTCTGGCAATGAGGTTACATTTTTTTTTCTTTTTCTCTTTTTTCTTCGCGAATTTCTTATAATCCGGAATGTTCACTACTTAATACAAGTTAACAAGATGACACCTACTTTTTTTTTTCTTTTAAGCACTTTTAATTTAATTCTTTTTTTTTTTTGTCGGTTATCATGCGGCGAATAATGCCACTTAAAAAAAAAATAATCGCTGCGAATACGTCTTTAGAATACCACAAGTTATGCAAATTTTATTTTTTATCACACACTGCAAAGACTTTTTTGTGGCACAAAAACATTTTTTTTTTTTTTATAATACGAAAAGAAAATTAAGAGAAAATGAAGAAATTTTTCACAAATTTAAAACAAAAACCAATTTAATATTTGTGAAATATTTCACAATAATTGTTATTCCATTATTCTTCTTTCAAATTTCAAAAAAAAATTTTCATTGGAAATTCTTTTCTAACTTTAAATTAAAAAGAATTTTTTTTTAAATCTTCTTTTAGAAATTTTTTTCAAAGAAGAATTTCACATTTAAAACTTAATTTTATTTATTTAAAAATAAATTTTTCAAAAATATACATTTTCAAAAGAAAAATTTCTTCATTTATTTATTTATTTTTTTTTCACTTATTTCACCGAAATAATTTCGTCAAATTATTTTTTTCTTGAGATAAATTTACTTGATAAGAAATAGTTCAAAAACAATATTAGAAAGTACAAAAATTTGAATAAAAATTGTTAAATTATTTCAAGAGAAAAATATAAGAATTCAATAATAAAATAATAAAAAAAAAAAAAGTTTCTAAATACCTTGAAAATTGATTTTTTTTTTTTCTTTTTGCAATCCTCTACAGGTCGGCAGGAATTATGATTAAATAGATCTCTTCGTACTGCGCTAAAACATTTGACCGAAAAAACAATTCGGTATTGAAGAATCTTCTTTGGATTTCATGCAGGCCCAAGTTTTTCATCAGTTTTTCCTTCTTCTTTAATTTCCTTTTTTTTCCACACAGCATTTTGACTATTGTTCTTTTTTTTTTTTTGCCTTCGACAAAAACATTGTTTTCAAACGTTTCTTATTGTCAAGTTTTTCAGTGCAGTTATTATTTGTAATGTTTCCAAAGCGATTCAAAAAAGTTGGACTATTCAATTAAAGTCAAACGTTGACTTGTATATTATATATAATATATTATATATGACACTATTTGTAACCATTTTTTTTTTTTTTTCTTTTTTGCTTCGTAAAGTCTACTAATTAGCAGGTAAATGCTAATTATCAGGCAGATTTAATAATTAGTAGGTAATTTTTACCAATTAGTAGATAAACACTAATTAGCAGTTAAATTTACTAATTAGTTGATAAAACACTAATTAGCCATTAATTTACCCCGATTAGCAGGTAAATACTAATTAGCAGATAATTTACCGCAATTAGCAGTAAGAAACTGCTAATTTAATTTGAAGCTGATAATATTTTTAATGCGCTTTTTTGGTCACAATTTTTTTTTTGTGGAATTTAATAAAAGCCCAGGTATCGATAGCATATTCGCTTTTCAAAATAGTGGCAATTAAAATTTTAAAAAATGGGGGATTTCTAAACTAACTTTTTTTTTTTATAACGTTAAGATGTTCTCGGACCACAATCTTCGGCGAATCCTCGCTCTCTCGCGTCCCTACGAATCCCTGAAAAAAAAAAATATATATAATAAAATCAATTATAAATTTAAAATAATTCGTGAGAGTATTTTGAAATTTTTTGTTATAGACATACCTTAAAATAACTTTTTCCATAAGCACAGATAAGCGACTATCGGAATGATTGGCCGGAAGTAATGCCTTAAGGAGTTCTCTGACGAGAGCTTCGCTCATTCCAGGCGATGTACGCTCTGCCAATTCGAAAGCTCCTCTAAGTTCATCGATCGCTCCACCATTTCTACCAACAGAATTGCCACTCTCGCCATTATCTCTTGACGAATACTGATGCTTTCTCTGTAACTGTAAAAATTATTTTCTCCATTATTTAATGAACGAAAGACAATTGAAAAAATAATAATTTTCCGGAAAATACAGCATTTTTAAATTAAAAAAAAAGGTTTATTTTCTACCTTCTTTAAAAATTTACCTCTGAAAGAAGTGGTACAATAACTGTTGTCAGAACACGGGGATGCTTTAAATCCTGAGAACTTCGTGGCCTTTGTTTTTCTTCTCCAGACCGATGGTCAACAAGCGGTACAACAGGCACTTCCGGTTTGCTATTTCTCTTTTCGCGCGTATTACTCACTCGTTCACCTCGATCACGTTCTCTGTCCATACCACTGTCTGTCCGTTCTCTGCTCTCACGAATTTCGCGTGCTTCCTTTGCGTCCATCATTAAAACTTGTGACTCGCGGATTTTTCGAATTTCTAAATATTTCTGAAGATCCTCGGGAGGTGGTGGTGCCGCTTCATGAGGCCGCATCTAACAAATTATAAAAATGGAAATTATAATTTTTATAATTAAATAAAAAATTTGTCCTGTAATTTCTTATTCTAAAATATCAACAATCTTTATTACCGGCGAGTCTTTAATTTGACCATCACGAGAATCATTTTTATGATGATTCAATGATGATTCTTTCGGTGGCGACCTGGATGCTCCATTCACGTGTGGTTTCCCCTGTAAATTGTGATTCGAAGATTTATGATTTGATGAATGTGTTAAAGCAGGTTGTTGTTCTTCTACTAATGGCATTATTGGTACTGATGAACCTTTCACACCATGAGGACCCTTTACTGTCATTATCCAAGGTTCATTCATATCACTATCTTGTTTCGATTCCTCGCTAAAAAAAAAAAATAAAATAATTACAAAATTGTTAAATAAAACTGAATTCATAATATTTTTTAAATCCTATTACCGATAAAAATGTTCATGCAAAATAATAGCATAAAATAATGACAATGAATTTTTTAAATTCTACACATAAAGTTTCTTTTTGACAAAATTCTACAAATATTTAAAGATGAAATTAATATTTTAAAAATATTGAAAAAATACTGTCAAACCTGTTAGTTATGTTGAATTGAATGTTTGCTTTTAACAAAAAATTGTTTCGTTTTTTTTTTTTTTTTTGAAAAGAAAAACTAGAATTTTTAAAACAAAACGGTATTTGAAGAATATAACTAACGTCGATACTCACGAGTCTGAATTCTCACTCTCTGTTTCCGATTCCTCGCTGTGCTGCAACTTCCATTTCTTGTACCTGTCAATCAGGTCAATCAGGTACGAGTTCTTCTTTGCTTTTCTGATAAACTGGAACTTAAGTAATTCTTTCGCCGTTGGCCTCTGTCAATTCAAAATTTACAAAATTATTCTTTGCAATAAATAATTTAACAAATATTATATAAAATTTCAATTGATTTGTAATAAAAATTGAATTCACATACAAATTTTTAACTTTTCTAATATTCAAACTAAATTTTTGAATTGGAATTTATTATTATTATTTTAAAAAAAAACCTACATTTTCAGGATCTTTATTAAGGCAAGCCTCGACAAATTCTTTAAATTGCTTCGTGTAGTTTCCAGTAAGTTGAGGTGGATTATTTTTAGGTATAAGGAAGAGAACTCTCATAGGATGAAGTTCACTATTTGGAGGTTCACCTTTTGCTAATTCAATAGCCGTAATACCTAGAGACCAAATGTCAGCCTGAAAAAGAAAAATATAAAATTAATTTTTCTTTCATCAAAAAAGAAAGTGTCATTAAAAAAATATTTTACATTTTTAGCAAAAAAAAAAAAAGAAATTTTATTTGCAATTACCTTGGAATCATATGCCGATTGTTTAATAACTTCAGGTGCCATCCAAAATGGTGTGCCAACAAAAGTATTTCGTTTGCTCGTCGTATTCGTCAATTGACCGGCAACACCAAAATCTGCTAATTTCACATCGCCCATTTCACTTAATAGAACATTGGCCGCTGAAAAAAAAATAATATCATTATTAAACTGAAAATTATTTTTCAATTTTTCTTTTCAATAAAATTTGTTATTCTATATTTATACCGATTACTAAAATTAATCAAAAAAATTCACAATTCAGATGTTAGTGGATAGGGGAAAATTAATTTTCTTTTTTTTATTTACGAATTTTGGCAAATGTAAAAATTGGTAAAATGTCAAAGTAGATTTCTCAATTTTTTTATAACATGGCGTCTCGTCAAATTAATACAATTTTTTAAATTAATAAAGGATTAGTGTTATCTCAAATCTATGATTAAATTTTTTTTTTGTTTGTTGAAAAAAAAATACGAAAATTTAATTAATGAACGAGGAAAATTAAAAAAAAAAAAATTTACCTTTAATATCACGATGCAGCTTTCGTTCACTGTGAAGGTAGTCTAAGCCTTTAAGAACCTCCCTCAGGATGACTGCAATGTGCATTTCCTCGAAACTACCTGCTTTCATCAAGTCCAAGGCGGAGCCTCCCCCCAAATATTCCATAATAATCCATAGTTTCGTTCCCTGAAAAATAAATAATAAATTAATTAAATTGTTTCTCTAAAATGTAATTTTTCAAAAAAATAAATAATTAATTTTTTATTCTAAAAAATGTCGGAAAAATTAATTACATTCGAAATATTTGTATTATTGTTATTAAATTCAATTTTTTTTTTGCTATTTCATTGTTTTTTTTGGGGGAAAAAATTTTTTTTTCGTCTATGGAGTTAGTGCGTAGGTGGATAATTTGAGAGCCATTGGGGGTTCATTCAACTCAGACGTATCCACCCTCTTAAGGTTTGTAAACTCTTCCCCAAAGTTTAGTCTTGCTTAAAGCAGCCCCTATATAATGCGTCTTTTTTTTCACTTTCATGTTGCGTTTTAACATTTCCCGAAAAAAAAAAAAATATTAAAAGGGTTCGTCTATGAGTTTGTCAAGTATAATTCAAGGACACTCATGTGCACTTTAAAATTGTTTTACAAAACCTTAAAAATTGTAACTCAAAAATAAAATTAAAAAATTACAATTTTCATAATTTTAGAAAATTATATTATTATTAATTAGTTTTGTTTGTAAATTTTATTCTATCAAAATTTACAAATTCAAATAAAAAAAATCTCAATAAATATAATTCAAAGAAAAAATTAATTGTAAAGTTTATAAAATAAAAAATATCCTATAAAAAAGAAATTGTAAATTTTAATGATAAAAAAAACCTTGAAAATAAAAAAAAATGCGTTTTTGTCACAAAAGTGAAAAACTTGAGAGGGGTTGCATTATATAAAAGTTGATTCATTTGATATGAAAGTATATAAGTGAATTTTTCAATAAGTTTGAAAAATGTGTTCATAAAAGATTCAAACGGTCGAAAGTGCTAACAGGATGAAGATTCTTAAGAGCACTTTAGCTAAAAACTTCTTTAACGATGCATCAATCTATATGCCAATTCATATTTTACTAATGATATAAAGTCACTAAAGAATAAGCTTTTTTTTTTTGTTGCTTAAAATGAATTTCTTCCAAAGAAAAGAAAAAAAGTGGCAGCACATCAAATGGAATCAATATATTAAAAAAAAAAAAAAAAAAAATATTGAATTTATATAAAAAAAAACTTTGATAAACTTTGTATATAAAAAAATTTGATATTTAATTAGTAACAAAAAATATAAATTTTTCTGATTTCATTTTCATGGTTTGAATAATAAAAATTTCTTTGAAAATAATTATTTAAAAAAAAATTCTGGCAAAAAAAATCTGACAAAAAAAATATTTTTCTTTAGAATTAAATTTCAATAAAAATTATTTTCTCTTCAATGAAAAAAAGAGTATAATTGAGATAAAAAAAAAAACAAGACTATACGGAAGTGATTAAGTCTATTCTTGGTTATGGCAGCAAATTATAGGACAACGCCATTAGTAAATTGGTTAGCTAATAATAGTAAATATTACATACATAGAATATCATTCTAAGAAATAATGCGGAGTCGCAATTTTTGTTAATTAATTTAAAAGATTATTTGACTCAACCAAATGATTAAAAAAAATAAATAAACCACTTTTTCCTTTATTTAAAAAAAAAAAAAAATGAAAAAACAAACTGTAAAATTATAATTTCATTGCTATTAAAAATTTGTTTTTTATTTATCAAACTTTTGTAATTTTCTCTAATTATAATTGTATTCTAATTATAAGTTTTTCAGTTAAATTTTTTTTTTTTAAAAAAGAGCAATTAAAAAAATGTACTCTAATTAAAAAAAAATTTTTAATTTAGCAAAAAAAAAAAAAAGTAAAAATTATTTGCAAAAAATAATAATAGAGAAACGTGTGTAGTGTTACTTAGAGAAACTAGTGGAATAAGTAATTATAGTCAGACACATGTATTCGAAACTACAAAAATATAGCAACTGACTCAAACTACTTGTATTACTACTGTCTATATAGTCATTGAGAAAAATATTGATTTCAAAAATTGGTTCATATTTGTAAATTCGATCAGTTTAAAAAAAAAATGTTGATCAAATTAAAGAAAACAAATTTATTAACAAAATTATCAAATAATTTCTCAAAGAAATAAAAAAAAAGTTTACATTTCCTACTATGATTTTAGAATAATTAAAATTCAACATAAAATTATTAATTAAAATAACAAATTTCAGCAAAATTACAAAAAATAATTTTAAATTTCAATTAAAATTATATAATATCCCATTTTTTTTTTGCAAAATACGAACTTTACATAATTGAATAATAATTCACTTTATATAAAATAATAATTATTATTTATTATATTCAATCAAAATAGCGATTAATAATTTCTAATTACTTCATTATTTTATAATTAAAAAGTTTCGATAAAAATTATATAAAAATATCGTATTCCTTTTTTTTATTTCTAATTTTTATTTTTAATTTTTATTTTTAATTTTTAATAAATTAATTCTATTTATAAATATAGCAGAGAAATAAATAAATTATTGCCGTTTGGAAAAAATATATATTTAAAAATTACCAAAAGAAAATTAATTTGCACTCTCACTTAACAGAAATATTTCGTAACTTTATTGTAGGCGACTCGTATTTATATGTGATGCATTCATTGATTCGTGAAAATTAATTAGTCTTTCTCCTTGTTTTGTATATCGATTTAAATTGGCTAATTATAAAATCAGATCAATAAAAATATATCAAAAATATTACGTATACGAATAAAAAAAAAAATTCGATAAATTATCATTATCATCTTGATTACCGAGAAAAACATTTTTTTTCATAATTTTAATTACATAATTTTCAAAAAAATTAATTTTTTAATTTTATTAACCATTTTTTAATTAAAAAATTTAATTTTTAATTTTTAATAATTAATTTTTAATTTTTAATTTTTAATAATAATTAAATTTCCATTTATTGAAATTAATATTAAAATAAATTTTAAATAAATAAAATTCAAAAATCAAAATTTGTTAAATACAGTTAATATTAAACACAGGAGGATATATAATAATAATATGCATTTAAGGTGTGTATTTATTTCACCTACGCGTTGTGATGAAATAAAAACGATTTTTTTTTAAAAAAAGGCAAAATACAGAGGCGTCAAGTCTCGTCGTGTGTTATTGTCAATGAAACAACGATTATAACAACAACATCAACAACGAACAATGATTTTCTTTTGTTATAGGTGGCTTTTATGTTAATCCTTGCCCTCCTTTCAAATTGAGAACATCAACCTTTTATATTATTATTATTTTGCAACTCGTTATGCTACAAATGGAATTTAAACATACAATTATATATACATATATATATGTAATTTTATGATCGCTATACAATTTACCAAATATGTATATTACAATAATTATATCGTTCCTTTACGCGTCTAATGCGAACAAATTATTCCCATAAATGATTTTTACAATTTTCTCTAATCAATATTCAAAGAACAATAATAATTTTGTATTCATGAAAAAATAAATAGTGAAAAAAAATAATAATAATTAAAAATAATTTGTTACTTTTTTTTTAGAAAATTGTATAATTATTATAATTGAAACAACAAAATTTTTTGTTGATTTAATTAAGCCTCTTTGGTCGTATCTCAAGTATGAAATCAATAAGATTATTTTTAGTGATGTCAAAGTCTCACACACTTTATACGCTTTGTTTGTATTAATTTTCAATAAAACGTAACTAGGTTATATGTATATTATTAAATTCCTCAACCTCATTAACAATCGAGATTTTTTACTTTATTACTTCATGTTAAATCACTGTTATATTTTCATTCTATTTTTTTTTTTTTTTTTTTTTTTTTTTTTTTTAACTTTCTCTCCTTTTAAATGAAAAACATGCTCTGATTTTTAAACTAATTTTTTTCTAGTTTCGTCTATAAATAAAAAAAAAGTACCTATTAATTAATATATCCATAACAAAAAAAAGTTAATTTTTATACGAAAGGGAAATTTTCTTTAAAAAAAAATAAAAAATAAATACCTATTAATTAATATATCCATAACAAAAAAAGTGAATTTTTATACGAAAGGGAAATTTTCTTTAAAAAAAAATAAATCAAACTTTTCGAATTAAAAAAAATTATTTTCTATTCAATAAATAATAATCGTGAAAAGATACAATTTCGCGATAAAACGTTTGGAGCATTTGTCATATTAGAAAGAAAATTTAAAAAAAAAAAATAAATAAATTTATATATGGTACTGTAAAAGAAAAAAATATTTGAAAAATCGTCTTATTCTTTAGAGAAAGGTATTATTTGATTTTTTTTTTTTTTAATTTCTCTTTTTCTCCCAGCTTGAATGCTTACGAAACAAGAAATATATATGCAGTGCCATGCAAGATCGATAGTTCAGTAAAACGACGAAGGGAATACTAACGAAATAATTCGCATGCAGAAGAGTTAACTTCACAGACCAGAGTTATATAGTGATTCGTAAAGACGAGAGAGAGAAAGAAAAAAAAGAGAAAGAAACAGAAGAAATAAAAGTGTTCAAACCGTATGGAATCATAATCTCTTTACGTGACATTTTTCTTTTTTTTTTGCAAAAATAATTTTTTACCTTTTTTAAATTTTTTATAATGATATCCCTTTTTAAATCTTTCTTGTGGATATAAGAAATTCTTTTTTTCCTACAAGATTTTACTATATATATATGAATTTTATATACTTATTTCTCTGCTATATATAAATATAAAAAATGTATAAATAATTTTATGCAAAGCGAAATATTTTTTAGCGCAATTAAATAAAAATTTCATTTTAATGAGAATGCAAAAAAAGTGATAATAATTTTTAAATTAATAATAATTTAAAATAAAATATAATTGATACAAAAAATGATTTTATAAAAATAATTAAATGAGTAAATAATATAGTAAAAATAATAAAAAAAAATAATTAAAAAATAATTAAAAAAATAATAAAAAAATAATAATCAAAAAAATAATAATAGTCATAATAATAAAAATAATAGTAATAAAAATAAAAAAAAATTACCTTGAGGTAAGATCCGTAGTACTTGGTAACAAACGGACTGTCACATTGTGACAAGACCATGATCTCCTGTTGAATGTCTTCGATTTCATCTTCAGCTTCCTCGAGATCGATGATTTTGATGGCAACAACTTGTTGGGTCCTATTATCGATTCCTTTGAATACCTCGCCAAAACTTCCCTTTCCAATTCGTTCTTGTTTTGTGAATATTAGTTCTGGGTCCACCTTCTAAATAACAAAAAATAAATAAATAAATTTTCCAATTTAATAATAATTTTATACAATTTTTTTTCGCTTATAAATTATATATTATTAAATAAATAAAATACAAAAATCTTCTAATCTACAATAAAAAATTTTTTTTTTTTGATTTTTAAATAAAATAAAATAACATTTATTCTTTTTATAATATAAAAATAATAATAAATTATAATTATCAAAAATATTTTTCTCTGCTAATAAATTAAATTTTCTATACTAAAAAATAGTAATAATAATAATAATAATAATATAAAGTACACATATCCTATCTTATCTGATATAAAGGGTATTGACAGTCGACATAAACCCATTATCATTAATTATTACTGATACAAATATTCATTCACTTTAATTTTTTTTTTATTATTTATCATTACTTATTGATTTACATTTATATTGTAATCAATTTGAAAGAAATAATGAAAATAAAATTTGAAAGGGGTGGAATAGTAAATTTTATTTTTCCTATTAATTATAAACTTTAGTGAAAATTTTCTTTTCTTTTTTTTACTTAGAAAGTTATAAAAAAAAATAATTGTAAAAATTAAATAAATTATAAATAATAAAGTTGGGAAATTATAATATAAGGAGAGAAAATTAAAATATATAATATATTAGTGAAAGGTTTGTGTAAATGATATTCAAATATAATGATCATTTGCAACCGCAATGAAATCTGTAAAGCAGATTATTCTGTTGAGAAAATGTCGGCATATCTATGATTATCTTTCCGCCGTGTTGTCATTACTGAATGGTCCATAAAACTAGTTCTTTTCAAAAAAAAAAAAAAAAAAAAAAATTCACTTCTATACACTATACTTTCGTGATTTTCTCCAAAGAAATTTTTTTTCTTACAAATAACTAAATTAAAAAACGTCATAAATTGAAAAAAAATACATGATTTTTGACATAAAATTATAATTATAATAAATAAACTGAAAAACAATTTTATTCAATTTGGAAAAACAATTATTATTGCGACTATTATAAATATATCAATTGTATAAATATTTACTTGAACCAAATAATTTTTATTTAAATCAAATAAATTCTATTTTTACGATTATTGCAGTTTTAAACAAATATTATTGAAATAAAAATTATTATTTGATAATACAATTATTATTATAATAATTATTACATTCATATTAATAATAATAACAATAATAATAATAATGAAAATAAATTAATAAGAAATTAATAAATTAATTAATATTATTTTTTATTAATAAATTAATAATTAATAATATTAAAATAATAATGAAAGGCCTCCAAAAATTATTATTAATAATAATTAATTATTATTATTATAATATTAATAATAATTATAATAATTTTTTTTATTATTTTTTTATTATTTTCATCACCTTATTATAATTATTATTGTTATTATTTGATATAAATAATTATTTATTTGAAAAATAGTCAAGTAAACAATTATTTCAATCAGAAAAAAATTTTTTTAAGCGCAGATATAATTAAAAAAAAAAAATAAAAACTAGAATATCTCGGATAGGAATTGAATTATAAAAATCAATAATTTTCTATATAATATAAAATTTCGTCATCGATAATCAATATAAAAAATTGACTGACTCATTCACATATATTATATGTGTGAAAAAAGAATTTAATACTTTCTATAGAAAATTACACACATATAATTATATATATATATATATATATATATATATATATATATATATATATATATATATATATATATCAATCAATATGGGATGAAAAGTCCTTGTGTGGGCCTTGCGTTCAATCTTACATTAAAGAAAGAAAAAAAAAATTTCTCTCTTTTTTTTTTTTTTTTTTTATTTTAATTAAATGCAAGACGAGTCTCTTACGGTCTTTCTCGATCCTGTTATACCGGTACTCTTCTTGACTTTGACTATATAGATTCGCCAAGGAAAAATGCATTCGTTCTCAGCTCATCGCGATGAATTTATATATGAATAATCATGAGTATTTCAAAAGAGGGAACTATTAATAATTTCTTGGTGGAATTTAAAAAAAATTCATTATGGAAAAAAGGTGTGTGATAGAATGATAAAAAAATTATTTTTTTTTAACAGAAATTTTTTTTTCCAATACAAATCCAAGAGAAAAAAAAAATATTTGTCTCAGAGCCAAATAAATATTTGTTTCAAATAAATTATTTGTTTAGTTTAAATACATTTTATTCGGTTTTAAATAAAATTTGCACATAAATAAATTTTTTTCGCTTTTAAATAAAGTTTGCAGTAAACAATTTTTTTCTTTTTATTTAAATCAAATAAAAAAATATTATTACACTCCTGAGACAAAATTTTTATATTTAAAAAAAATTTATTTTGTAATTTTGTTAATTATTAAATTAATAAATTTCTTTTTCTCATATTTTTTAATAAAATAAATATTATAAAAAAAGTAAATATATAAATTTATTATCGTTTTTTTTATAACGAAGACTCACCGATGGCGCTGCACTTTTGTGTGAGCCAGTTCTCGATGGTGGAAGTGATGAACTTTTTAAATTCATTGAAAGGGGTCTTTGCATATCTTTTTTTGAGGGTGGAGGCGGCGGCGGTGGATGTGACAAAGGCCTACCTCCACCACTTCTGTGAAGTTGGGGTTGATATTGACCCCAAGATTGTCGCGACAAATAGCCGACATATCCGCCGGAAATGAACTGAGCTGAGCCATTCAGGTGTGGCGGTGCCATCACGGCCGTTTGTTGTGACTGAACTCCGTTTCGCATTTTTTTTTCTTCTTTTCTTCAACACTCTATTAATAACAATAAAACTTCACTAAAAAAAAAATCCATCAAATTGTCACCTACACTTCCGTCGTCATTCTCTTTTTAATTTTTTATATTTATAAATCCACTTTTTTTTATTTCACTTTTTAATTTTTTTATACACATTAAACTATGATTTCTTTTTAAAATAAAGAAAAATGTTATTGAATTCATTTTTTCCATCACTGTGTGTAAAATAATATTACATTCTGTATAATAAATTAATTATTATAGAATATAAAATTATTACAATGAAAAAAAAAATTATTTGATTCAAATACTCAATTACTTGAGTATTATCAAATAAATATTTATTTGAACCAATTAATTTTTTTTTTGAATTAAATAAATTATATTTGAACCAATAATTTCTGTATTTGAAACAAATACCATATTTAATTGACTCAAATAATAATTATTTGATACAAATAAATATTTATTTGATAATAATCAAGTAATCGAGTATTTGAATCAAATAAAATTTTTTTTCAGTGTAATAATAATAAATTAAAATTAAAAACAAAATTTTGCAACGAAAAAAAATTTATTTGAAACAGCGAAACGTTTTGCAAAAGTTTTATTTATTTCAGTTAAATCTTTCGCTATTTTAGTGAAACCTTTTGCTATTTCAAGTAAATTTTATTTTTCTTCCAGAATATTTTAAAAACTGTTTTTAAAATATTTTGAAAAAAAATATACATAATACCAAGTGGCTGGATTAATTTTCTAATTTTCGTGTTTTTTTTTTTAACGCATTTCCTATATATTCGAAAATAAAATAAAAATGATCGATTTCTGGATTCATCAAAATGCTATCATCATTCTCTTATCATTTTTCACTTATCGTTTTATATCTATAGCGACAAACGGTAAAAAAAATGCCGTAAAGGTACAAAATACGAGATTAGATTCCATTCTCACGACGTAAACGCGTAAAAGTCCAAGTTTACTACGGAAAATTACGCTCCCGTATGATACAGACAATTTACGAAAGAAAAGTAATTGAAGAATTAAATGATTTTATTATTTTTATTTGTTTATTTTATTTATTAATTTTGTAATTAATTTTTTTTATTCAGTTTTTTATTTATTTATTTTTTTTATTAATTTTATTTTTTTTATTTGTTTATTTTATTTATTAATTTTGTAATTAATTTTTTTTATTCAGTTTTTTATTTATTTATTTTTTTTTATTAATTTTATTATTTTTATTTTTTTTTATTTGTTTATTTTATTTATTAATTTTGTAATTAATTTTTTTTATTTAGTTTAGAAATTTAGTTACAAAAAAAATAAAATTAAAAAAAAAATCGAAAACTGACATTTGTCGTAAGTTTAATGTTTTGAAGAATGAGAGTTTTTTCTTTTTTTTTTTTTCCAGAGAGAAACTTGAGTCTATGTTAATGAATACTGCTCGCATATTTTAATGGGGAGGGGGGGAAAAAAGTTTTCAGGAAGTGGTCAAGCACGAGGAACGATCTCGCGCGATTCTCTATGGACGTGATTCAAATTCAATACGAAACGAGTTCACCTTGATGAATATTCAGTGCAATGGTGTCGTATCGTACCGCTCTCATTTGCTCCACATCACACCGTGTACATATATTCGATTGAAATTCATCAACATCCGTTTGCCTCTTCATCATTTTAGATTATTAATTTACAATTTCATTTTCATAATTTTTATTTGATTTAAAAAAAGTAAAATTTTGCAAATAATTTACGTAAATTTATTTAATAAAAATTTTGTTAATAATAATTATTATTTAATAAAATGTAAAAAAAAAATTTTTTTGAAAAAAATATTGTTCTTTGCAAATTGATTATAAAAGGAGCTATGGCTGTTGAAAATTTATTAAAACAAATATATGATAATTAAATGTCATATTATTATAATTTGTGAATATAGTGAGAGACTTGTTCTGTCCACTTTTATTGAGAAAAAGAAAACAAATATACAAAGTGGAGGCGAATTCTTCTCTTCGCAAATGTTGCTTACTGGGAGAAATCTCCAGATAAAATATAAAAATAAAAATAAAAAATACAATAAAGTATATAAAACATCTGTGGATAAGAAAACAAATTTTTCAATATAAATCTCAAGAGAGGAATTCTACTGATTTTGAAAAGAAATATTTTTCTCCATATAAAAAAAAATACAAATCTCAAAAATAAATTT